TTAAAAGTAAAAGTAAGAGTTTTAAATAAAAATAAAAGTATTAAAAGTATTAAAAGGATATTAATTATAAAAAGTTTTATATTAAAAATATTAAAATTTAAAAATTTTAATTAAATATATAGTTTTATATAAACTTTATATATAAATTCTTATATTAAATAAATAGTTAAAAAAATTAAATAAATAAATATAATTATTAAATAAATAAATATTAATTTTAATATTATTTATTATTAAAAATATTTTTTATTAATATATTAAATTATATTAATTTAAATTAATATTATTAACTTTAATATAAATTAATTTATTAAAATTAAAATTATTATAAATTATAAACTATTTAATTTAATATTAATAAATATTATATATAAATATTAAATTTATTATATAATTTAAATAAATTAATTAAAATAAATAAAAATAAAATTATTATTTTAAAGTTTTAATTTTATTTAAATAAATATTTATTTATTAACTTTATTATATTATAAATAAATATTTATTAAATAAAATTATTTAAAATAATTATTTAATTTATTAAAATTAAAAGTAATTAAATAAAATAATTATATTTTATTATTTAAATTTATAATTTTAATAATTTTATTATAAAAAAAAATAATTATTAATAATTAAATTTATAATTATATAAAAATAAATTTTTATTTTAAAAAAGTTATTAATATTTAAAATAATTAATATATTTAAAAATTAAAAGATTATAAATTTAATTTAAAATTAAAATTTATAAAAATTTTAAATTTAAATTTAAAAGTTTTAATTTAATATTTATATTTATAAAAATAAATATTTTATAAAATTTTAAAAACTTAAATTAAATTAAATTAAATTATAATATAATAAAATAATTAAATTAAAATTAATTAAAAATTATAATTATAAGTTTTTAATTTTATATTTAAAAATATTTAAATATATATAATTTAAAAATATATTAAAAAATATTAAAAATATATTAAAATTAAAAAAATATTAAAAACATTTATATTTAAAATATTAAAAATTAAAAAGAATTATATTATAAAGTTTTTTAATATAAATTTAAAAATATTTATAAATATAAAAATTATTAAAAATAAATATTAAATAAATTTAAAAATTTATTAAATAAATAATTATAAAAATTAAATAAATAAATATTAATTTATTATAAATTTATTATAATTTTTAAAAAATAATAATTTTAATAATTTATATTTTTAATAAAAATATTTTAATATTTATAAAAGAAAATTAATTATTTTAAAATATAAAAATATTAATTTTTATATAATTTTAATAAATATATTATAAATATTTTAATATATTTAATTTTTAAAAATAATTTATTTTTAAATTATAAATAAATATATTTTTAAAAATTTATTAAAATAATATTATTATTATATTATAATTATTATTTAATAAATATTTATAATATATAATAAAAATAAATTTTAAAAGTTTTAATAAATAAAATAAATAAAATATTTTTTTAAAAATAATAAAATTTTATATATTAAAATTAAATTTAAAATTAATTTAAAATTAATTTAATTTAATTTTATATATATTATTTAATAAATTAAATAAATATTTTTAAATAATTTTATTTATAATATAATAAAATTAATAATATTTTAAATTAATTAAATAAATATTTATTAATATTAAATTAATTTATAATTTAATATATTAATATAAATTTTTAATAATAAATAATATTATAAATAATTATAAAATAAATTATTTTTAAAATAAAATATATTAAATATTTATAATATATTTTTAATTTAAATTAAAATAAATATTTATTATATTTTAAAATTTTTAATTTTATTTTATAAATATTTAAATATTTTTATAAAAAATTAAAATTAAAATAAATTTATAATATTTTTTTATATTTATAAATTTTATTTATTAAAATTTTATAAATATAAATTTTTAATTTTATTTTTAATATATATATATATATATATAAATATATATAAATATTAATTTATAAATTTATTAAAATATAATTTTAATATTTATAATTAATTTTATTATAAATATATTTATAAATTTATTATAAATATATTTATATTAAATTTATTTTAAATATATTATTTATAATAAATTTATTATAAATATATTTATAATAAATTTATTATAAAGTTAAATAAAAAATAAATAATAAATATTAATTAATTTATAATAAATTTAATTATTTTATATTATATATATTTATTAAAAAAATAAATTTATAATATAAAATTAAATAAATATAAATAAAAAAATAATATTATAATAATAATAAATAATATAAATTTAAAAATAATAAATAAATTTTATAAAAGTTTTTATAAATTCTTTTATTAATAAAGTTATTATATTATTATTTTTATTTTAAAATATAAAATAATCTTTTTTTTAAATAATTTTACTTTTAAATTTATTTTATAAAATAATTTTATAATTTATAATAAAAATTAAAATTATTTATTAAAAACTTTAATTTAAAATTAAAATTATTTAAAAATAATATAAAAATAATAAATTTATAATTTTATATTATAAAAGTATAAAATTATTTAAATTAATAAAATAAATAAAATATATAAATTTATTATTTAATTTTATAAATAATTAATTTATAACTTTTATATTTTATTTAATATAAACTTTAAATTTTTATATTATAAAGTTTAAATAATATTTTAAAATATATTTATAATAAATTTATAGTAAATTTATAATAAAATAATTAAATTTATAGTAAATTTATTATAAAGGAACTAATTTATTATAATGGAATGTGTTAGATATAAAGACTAAGGTTCACTGTGAAAGTATGGTGAATGACTGATTCATAGTAAATTCATTGTAAATTAACGGTTTATCGTGAATTCACGGTAGATTCACGGACCGCTACGGTAAATACCTAAGGTATCCACTCTTTAATGTGATAAAACCAGCCCCCGCAATACAGGGAGTCTACAGGATAGAATAAGTAATATAATATTATTAAGAACTATAATTTCACTATAAAAATCACCTGTGACGTAGTGTTGAATCTGATAGAATGATTAAATGGGCATTCCTAGTCTATGTTGTGTGAACATGGTGGTTTAGCATGTGCACGTGTAGCTCCTTGCTGGCCCTGCACTTGCTCCTTCCCACTGTGTAAGCTCCTGTGGAAAGCCCTTAACCTGTCCCTCTGCTAGTCTCTGTTAGCTTCAGCTCTTTACCTAAGGTCTCTCCAATTAAGTACCTGTGGTGGACCAGCAAGCAACGGTGAAACACGGTGTGCGATAGTAAACTATAAACAAATCATTTCCCACTCTCTCACCCAAAGTATCCCTTTCACCACACCTATCTATAAGATTGTGGCCTTTACGCGCTTTCAGTCCTTCTCGCTGAATACTCAGCAAAGCAATAACTAAAGGCGAGTGGTCAGCGTGACACTGGCTGGTGGGAAAGTTCTTGAACCCGTGGCATTCAAAGTGCCGGCACACGCGTTTCCTATAGACGTGGATGCTTTTAGTGAGACCCTTCAGACAGAGTTATCACCCAACCACTTCTTGCGCACCTTTAACATCGTCGATGCAATCAAGATTCCAGCAAGTAATATGTAGTCCAGAGTGCAGACGACTGCCCAGACATCCTCGGTTAGCATGCTCCCCTTTGTAACAAGTACCTAGGTACCCAAGATTCTAACAACTATTTGCAGATGGCTGCTGTCCGACAGCATCTGAAATCCTCAGTGGATTCCCTTCAAACCGCGAGACGTGCTATTACAGAGGATTCCATTCAAAATAACACTGCGCTTGAGGTGGGTATGTCTGCTCGGAAGGCTGCCATTTCCGGGGCTGCTCAACAAGTCAAAATCGCGGCCAGCACGATGGAGCAAATCCTCGGCGAGCTCCGGGACAGTGGTGTCATTTCTGAGGAACAATATGAAATGGTATGTTCTCTGTTCGAAAAGACCAACGGATTGTAACTAACTGATGACTGAGGCCGCTCGTAAGATCTCGCTGCATGCGTTCGAGTTGCGCGTCGTCAACCACGGTTTCAAAGCCGAGTGGTTCATCTAGGAATGACTTCATGATACCGCAGTCAACTTGTAACAATATCTCCCATCTTTGGAGCTGGGTGGAAAGGACAGGCGTAAGGTGTCGGCAGCCTTGAAAGTCTTGGTGCGCAGGTGGCATTCAATGGCGAAGACAAGGGAGGCTTGGACCAGACAAGGGTAGATCCTGGATGTGGACTTGTTTGAGCTAAAGATTTGCAGTAGTTGCTCTTTTAGATGGCTGTTCAATGAAAGCTCATGGATGGAGGGGCTAGTGCTCAGAAAGTAGCAGTGGAATTGTCTGTAATTGTTTGGCCGTTGAGTACCTACATGGTAGTCTGCAGACACACCAAAGAAAGCCTCATTCAGAGTAAAGAGAACCGCGCGAACATGGAATGAAGGAGCGCATTCACCGACGGGACTACCACAGACTCCGTACGTGCCACCGACCAAATTGCCAATGGAACAATTGCGACTCGAGCGGAATCGTTCCAGGAAGCGCAGTGTCAAATAAGCCCCAGAACGTTCGAAGCTGCCGCAAAGCAAGCTTGACTTCGAGCAGAGCCATTACTCACCTGTCTTGACAGAAAGCAGCCTACGAGCTACGGTGGGGCAGCTAGCTGTCGAAAGCACCACCAACCAACCGTTTGATCACGGTGCTTTCTCTCCCTCCCTCCCTCTCTCTGTTTACCTGGCCACACAGCTGCTCACCCTTTCTTTGTTCGCCTCAGGTTCTGGAAAAAAGCAATTGCAGCCAACGAAACGCTTTTCTCGACGTCATATCACAGGTGCCAACAATACCGTCCCTTGCAGGCAGCCTCAGCCCGCTCTTCAAACGGCTACCACGAGCAACCCACGAGCAACCCACGCCCGAGTTTCTCAGGCAAGACCAAGGAGCAAGCCACACCCATCGCCACACATCGCAAACATACGGTACGTGACCATGCCGTTCTTCCACGCAGTACCATACCCCACGCCCTCCGATCCTGGTGTTGCCTACCCGAGGCGTTCCAGGACAACGGAGTACGTCAAGCTCGTCTACAAAGCCACTCGAGCTGGGAAACTCAGCTTGGACGGGTACCGCTATGCCCTTTACCTCTTTGGCGGCGAAAACCACGTGCATGTCCGCACCTCCGCGACCGACCTCAAGTTCGCAGCATGGCTCAACAGAAACGACTCATGGTGTCAAGCATTTCGCGACACCATGACGGATGAAGAATACGACGAGTACCAGACCAGAGAAGTTGAATGGAACGTCTATGTGCCCAACCACGAGCTGCCCGCGCCGGGCTTCGGAAAACGAATCACTACCCAAGAGGCCAGTCGCCTTCTCGCTAAATACCCACTGCCTCGATGGCTCGTCCGCGAAAGCCCTGTGTACAGAAACATAAAGCTCTGTGAGCACACATGGACGGGGAGAGAGCAATTCCATGCAGATGGAACCATTACGTGGAACCATGACAGTTCAGAGAACGGTAGCGCTGAGATTACTGATGATAACGATGGACAGCAATCCGACGCGAGTGCCGTCCAAGAACAAGAAGACGACCCACACATGAGCTCTCCATTCACCGAAGGACCTCAGACCCCACCGACCCGTCCCCCTCGAACCCCGGCCCGAGCAGCTGCGATGTCTTCCCGCAACCGCAGTCGCGATCAGACCGGACGGTTCTCCGCTGGCAGCCCAGCGGCGGCCCAGACGTCCAGCCCCGCTACCAGGCAGGGCAAGATCAACGTCACCGAGGATGAGCTCAAGACTCTCCAGGACGCTCACGTGCTGGCCGAGATGGCGAAGACTGCGACCACTAGCATGGACGCCGATACCGTCGGTGATTTCAAGACCCTTGCCACTGCCACCTCAGCGAGCTTGGGAAAGATCATCAAGAAAGCCGTCGTCCCCAATACCTTGTCCCAAGTGGACCGTATCACTCCGCTGCGCCAACGTCTTGGGTACGCCTCCGCGGAGTCTGCGCTGGGCGAGCGGTCCAATCCGGTCAACGTCGCGGATGACGAGGGCACCCATGTCAATCGTGTGCTGTTTCCGGACGCCAAAAAGCGCAAGTTTGACGGGAGCCCCGATGCGCGTTCCAGGATCATGGCAACCCCGGGCGCAAATGTTGGCACGACGGACCAGGTGGCCTACTGGCGCCGTCTGGCGCAGCAGCTGGGAAACCTTCACGAGAACAAGATGATTTTCAAGCCAGTCGCATTTGAGGTGAATGCTGAGGATTTGAAGATCACCGGCAAGACGTTCACCTTTGGCATTGAAGGAGTCGACACCGACATGTTCATGTTCATGCAGGCTAAAACCTACGCCGTCGTCCTGCCCAAGGGCCTGGTTCAAGGCTTTGTCAGCTTCAACCACACGACGGCGTTCGCCCGGAAGGATGAGCTCTCCCATGCCATGCCCCTTCCGTTCATGATGCGCTACATCCTTGGCTGCAAAGTGAACGGCCCATTTGACGCCATCAAGGTCATGGAGAAACCAGATCGCCCCAACGCATTTGACAAGGCGGCCACTATCAACAAGTGGTCGGTGGGTCCAGGGTCCACCTTGACCATTGCAGCCATCCGGGAGGCTCAGGTCTCATTCACCGCATGCCTGGAGTATGTGGAGAAGCACGGCTTCACCAAAGCGGCCAGCCTGACTGCAGAGGAGCGTGAAGCGCTAAATGATGAGGTCCAGGAGGACGAGATTGCGCTCCGGTTCGGCCCAGTGGTGAACCAGGCAGAGTCTCGCAGGGATGAGCGGGACGAACTTCCGGCGTGAACGGCACTGGTCAGCATGCGCCTAAAATTTCCAGGACGATGCCAGGTGGCTCGAGAAGGCGCCATTTCCCCCAGAGAGGCAGAGACTCCATGGTCTACATAATCAACATCTCCAACCAGCAAGTCAAGAATTCGGGCGTCGGCATCACGTGTGTCTTCGTTATTACCTTGAACATGCTGCTGAATGTCGTGTTGTGGGCTATCTCGTACCGCGATGTCCATGGAGTTCACTCCAAGGATGATGTGGAAGATATCATCAATATTGCGCTGGAGGTCGTCAACCAGTGTTCTGAAGGGTGGCCTGAGACCAGGAATACAACGCAGTAATACTATGCGTTTGGCCGTGCCTACCTCCAGAGTTACGACATTAACGACGAAGACGCAGAGCAAACGCACCATTAATCCCGTTACCACCTCAGCCATCACATACGCGGCCACCATGGCTTCGCCTGCCGAGACCTTTTTTCGCTTTTCGCGTGTCGAGCCCATCGAGGGGCATAATTATTTTGCGACCCGCGGCCATGAAAGGGCTTGTTTTGTTTCATATGACCTAGGTAGTTCTGACCATAAGTCAACGTCGTAGCCTAATGACGTGCACTTATGAATACCTTTCTACATGTGCATTGTGAATTCACCCAAGATTCAATCCACCTTTCCCATTCCTAAAAATACATGTTTTGTGTCATGCAAGGAAGAACCACATGGTTCTGAGCTACTGTTTCCTGGTTCATGTCGTCTCAAAAAATGGCCCTGGCACTTTCTGTCATCCCCCAGACTTTTTAGTCGGCATGAACCACCAAATGTGCTACTATATCGCTTGGGGGATTGGTATGAAACGCAAAAGAGGCTGCAGGTCCAGTGGACGGTCAAAGCTTCAGGTTGCGGTTGCTGGGATACTCCTTCCTAAGTAGGTATTGTTCTTCCCTCCACGGAAGCTCTACACCACAGCGCAGGAGCCGAGAATGAGCCCAACTGATAGGAAGGAACAATTTACCAAAGTCCAGGCTACGTAGGTACCTACCTAGGTACAGCGAGTAAACTTGATTTCACTCACCAAGTCTTTCCGATCCAGAATTCGGAACCTCTCATCAAGCACCAAACACTGGCACATCACTGCGCCCTATTTCTTCTCGTTCTACTATCCCACGTTCAAACCTACGCCTGACACACCCAGATGACATGAATTCCTCCAAAAGACAGCCCCTTGACCTCATTTCCTCGAACCCATCTCAAAAGAAGGCACGTACCAGAGAGTCCCTCCAAGAAGACCTTCCATTCGGCCGACCCTCTGCGAGCGCCAATACATTCGCCCTTTCCCAAGAAGAGAGCGCCACCACTCGGGCGAAAGACATTCCTGCCGCACACGTGAACTATCTTGAATCCCAATCCTCTGAAATCCATGACTCGGCGAAAGGTATCGCTGCAGAATTTGGGGGGGATGACTTCCTGGAGATCTCTATCGAAGATTTGATTGCAGCCGATATCCCAGGCATCTCAGATCAGCTTCGGAACACCAATGACAACATCAGCACCGAGGTTGAGGTAGTGGTGAATGATACAGTTCTGGACGTCTCTAATAAAGACCTCTCGGTGAAGAACTCCTACTATGAGACTCTGGGAGTCCCGCATACTGCCGAGAACACTCCTGGAGAATGCCTCCTCAATCTCCTGCAAGGAGAGCATAATATCAAGAAGCAAGTGGTCAGCTTCGCTCGCGCATGTATGATCTCGGATAGAGACATTTCCGCCGAACCTACTGACGATTTCCTTAATCAACCTGAACCTACGACATGGGAATCTCAGGACTCGGTCTCAGATGTGCTTTGGGACACCTGGCTGTCCGAGTGCCGAGAACTCGGTGTTCCTGATGATACCCTCAACAATGCTTCCAAGATCTCTGGTCCTGCGAGGGGGAATCTTCACATTATTTGGCACTACCCAACATATAACGTCAGCAGATCTATGTTCGGATTTACCGCGGATCCTAAAAACCCCTGTATCAACTTCCAGAATCGGAAAATTGGCCCAAATCCCCGTGTCTGCACGAACGACATCATCCCAATCCGCGCGAACTACCCGAGATCTCAGTCCAATGGAGTACAATGGACAAGTATCATCCCGAACTCAGCCCAGGTTCTCAGCAGGTCGGCGGACTTGACGATAGGATTGCTTAATATGGCCCGTGTTGCTATTCTTGTGGGTCAAGAGACTTACGAGATCGTCAAGACGAGACTAGAGAGTGACCCTTCCAAGGAAATCCACCAGTTGTACCTGCCTATCAACGTCTTCAACGTCTTTGGGGAAAAGCCGCATGTCTTGGCTATACTATGCAAGGCTACCCAACAGATCGAGAATCTGTTTTTTATCTCATTTCATACCCAGGCTTTCTTCTACATCCACAATCCCCTGATCGGTGTGTACTTCGATTTCATCTGGAATGCTGCCTGCGCAATCGCCAACATCCCTGTCATCAGCCACGATATTTTCTACCAAACAGTGTCATCCAGACAAGTGAGGGATAAGGTCACCGAGAAGTACGGCCAACTCGCCCTTGCTATAATGTATAGAGGCATGGAAAAGAATAACAGAGTATATCTACCGGAGGGCATAGCTGAACAGATCTTTCACCGAACTATCAGCTCCAACATCGACTGGTGGGCCGCGAATTCCCCAAATAAGGGTGCCTTTACAGTGGTCCAGCTCATCCTCAAGCTATTCTCCGACAAAGCCAATTCGACTTCCAGACGTTTAGGTTTCCCGAATCTAGCCAAGGGGCGGGACACCCAACGCGCTGGGGGATGGCAGTCCCTTAAGAAGGCCACCGAGGCCCAGAGGGAATCTGGATTTAACAACCAAAAGAAGGCCCAGGCAGTAGGCCATGTTTCCCAGAGCGCCCAGAAGGTTGCAAGGCTCCAGGCATTTCTCGATACATATCAAGTCCGACAGCTCCTTTCCAAGCCGAAATCGACACTAACATCCAAGGAGTTGAGCACCGTGGAATCTTTACAAGACATTAGCGATTGTGTCCAAACACGGGAGACAACACCAAAGTGCAGGAAGTTCATCAACACCCATGTCATTTTCTGGTTAAAGAAGAACCCTTTTGGGCTTCGTTTCAAAGGTGATAATGCACCAGCAAATGCGCTATCCTTTACTGCTTACTAGACATCTGAACACCCCTGTGTTTGCTTAGATAGTTAGTTAAAGCCAGCCCACAAGAGGTTTGCACATAGTGGCAACTAGCTTATACTCTTTAGCTTACATCTTATATATATATATATATAAGTAGCTCCTTTCTTCTTAGTTCACTATTAAACTAAGATATTAAATAAATAAATTAGAGCTTTAATTAATTTAAGGTGAATTTAAGGTGAATTTATATAATATCCTTATAATAAATTTATTTATTTATAATGAATTTACTATGAATTCACCTACTTATAATATATTTATTTATTTATAATAAATTCACTATTGATGCATCCCACCGTGAATTCACGGTGAATTCACCGTCCCACCGTGAATTCACGGTGAATTCATAGTGCTTACTAATCCACCGTGAATTCACGGTGGATTCACTATATAGGAATGCCTGGTGAATTCACTAGGAATTCACCAGGCCATCAATCTATTTTATTTCCCATTAACTATAAATTCACCTACTTATAATATATTTATTTATTTATAATAAATTCACCATGAATTCACCTACTTATAATAAATTTACTATAAATTCACTTATAAGTAATAGATTTAATGTATAAGGGCTGAGCACCTGGTAAAATCAAAGTTTGCTTTATTGTGGTGCCTTAGTTGCTGCTTCGTTGCGGAGCCTTAGTTGCAAGTGAGCCCCTCGCCGCACAGGCGATTCTAACTGACTGGCACAACACATTATAATATGTACGAAGTACAGTGCAACAACAGCAAGCAAGAGCTCAAGCTCATGCACGTGAAAACGGACCTAGTTACCTAGGTACCTACATTCCAGTTGTTAAAAACGTCACGAGGCCGGGCGTTTCTTCTTTCCCAGAAACAACATCGCCTGACTTCAAATTTCACCATCATTCAAGGGATGAACAGACGGAGATTTATGACCATGAAATCTGCCGCCAATCTGCTCTGGACTAGATTAGAACTTAAGAACCACAATCTTCCAAGACTCGTTATTCAACATGAAATCCCTATATTAAGTCAATTCTGCTCACCTCACCTAGGCATGATATAAAAGGCGGTGCGCATTTCATCTATCCGCTGGGCAGCTCCTACTGCTCATACGTGATGGGATGACTCGCTTATCACGTATTAGCATTCCATGTATCAGCGGAACTATGGCAGAACATGTGCATGCTCTGTAATGGCGCTGTTTCAAACTCAAGTTGCAAGTCATTCTGCACCCCACCTGCCAAAATCCTACCTAGGTAGAAAAGAGTAGCTATGAATGTCACCAGGGCGGGCTTCTGGAATGTTGCGAGGTTTTCTCAGATGTCGATTGGCGAATGGTTGTCCCTGATCATCGATGCTAGAGAATACGAGGAAAGGCACGTTGGATAGTGGGGCTCTAAGCACTTGAGTCCTACCTGGGTACGTAAGTAAGACAGGAGGGTGGCACCAGTCCTTGCGAGCTGTGCCGTCCATGCCTCCGGCAACCTCAGGGAAAGGTTGTGAGCAGGCCCAAGAGCAACAATCAATTCTCTATGAAACTTAGATAATTGTTTAGCTGGATTGATTTTAACATCCCATGTTTTCTTCAGGCTTGAAAGTAACCGGCGAGGGAACGAAATAGCCTTTTTAGAGCTCGAAGCAAGGGCCCACACGATGTGTTACAAATAAGACTATAATGTCTCAGACGGGAGAACATGCTCGTGATTGAGCATAAGGCCCCCACCCCCTTGAGAATATACCCGTTGAACTGACTGAAACTCAACGGTGAAGGCCTTTCCTATTCTAATCATAAAACATTCCTTTGATCTGAGTCCATGCCTGTCTGAAGCGGCTATAGCCGTGGTATTTGCCTACATGGAGGTGCAAAGAAGGCATTCAAGTCCTAGCCAGCCACCTTCGGTAGCATGAAGCTCACCCTGAATTGAGGGTTGTGCCAATCTAGGCCTTGGGGAGGGCTGACATGGCAGACTGTCAGCCACACGAGAGACCGATGGGATGATCAACGGCCCAGCGTCTCCCTGGCGGTTGCCGCGTCAGATCCGATCTGTATGGACTTGACTACGGCTTATTCCATTGATAACAGTCGGAAGCCCTGTGACATGTCGGGCTGTGCCGTGGGATGTTTACTGGAAATTAGACAAGGCAGACTTATGAATTCTGTCAAGTCCCGGTGCGCCGTAGGAGGACGTGTCCATCTTTTACTACTGATCTCGTTGTCTTTCCTCACGCACCACATTGGTGTGTACACGTGGAGCCATGAGGTTCTCCTTGCTTACGCTCGTCCCTACAATTGGGCTTTGCCTTAGCAAGGCGATCGAAGAGAAACTAGATCCACGGCAAAATGGTGCGCAAGAAGACCCCGATTCTATCTGCGTCACGTATTTAACAACTTACTTGGCTACTTTAGAGCCCCGAGACAACACGAAGACAGGTCAGATGCTTCCTATGGCAAACACAAAGGTTTTAATGTCATGACTTACAGTATGGAATGCAGAACTGCCAGACCTACAGCCTCCACTACCAGCTAGATCATACGGTGACGATGCACCTGACCCGTCATATACCTTGCCTCCGTCAAACGGATACGGTGGCCAGCCTCAGCCTCCTCCTTATGGCAACCCACCACCGAATCCATGGGGTCCTCAATATCCACCGCCAAATCCTTGGGGTCCCCAATGGCCACCGACAAACCCATGGGGTCCTCAGTACCCACCGCCAGGAAATCCTTGGGGACCGCAATATCCGCCTGAGCCGCCGCCTGGGTACGGCCAACCACCGGGTCCGCCGCCCTACTCGCCGAATCCGCCGAATCCTGGCCCAACGACCCCCGTCATCCCGCCTATTGATACTGCTGCGAGCAGCGCATCGCCTCCACCGGGACCCTCAGCTTCGCCCAATCCGTCAGGCCCAGGCCTGTATATCGTCAACGTGCAGGCTATCGTACCTGAAATAGTACCACAGCTTGGTCCGGGAAGGCGAAGCAACAGACATCGCAGGGCTCCTATCGACCCCATGATCCACAAAAATATCGGATTTGTTGGAAATAACAATGTGCGCTTCAGTTGTTCGAACGCTGCTCCATATTATATTTTCAATGGCCAGTTGTTGGAGTACGCCTCGGGGTTGCCGCTATCTGTCAATCCTGGAGTGCCGTACATCAACTTCACGATCGCGGCTCAAGGTTCAATATCGACAAGGTTCCAGATCGTTGATGATGTTTTGCATTGGTATAACCCACAGTTTCTCGATGGAGAGTCTATATTCTGCGTGGTGGGACGCGCGATCTTCGCAACCTTCGCCGGGTCCGACAGGCCAACTGGCTGTGTCATTGTCCAACTCGTTCTTCTCAGAGGTCAGTGCCCGCTTTGAACCACGCAATTTCTTTTTGTGACCATTTTTGCTAAATTATGTGCCCCTGTATGAAGTCGACCAATGTAAGAATGGTGTTGTCAGCGAATTGCCTCCAGTAACTCGACTGCCATCAACTACTCCGTTACAAGCGAGCTCATCTTCGCAAGCGGTAACGACCCCGAACGTTGTATCCACCAGCCCAACGCCTGCTGTATCCTCCCCTGCGTCTTCGCAACCACCGGCCTCTTCACCAACAGGGGGTTCTTCCGGTTCTTCCCAAGCAGGGGGTTCTTCCCAAGCAGGGGCTTCCTCACAAGCTCCTGGCTCTTCACAAGCGCCTGGTTCTTCACAAGCACCTGGTTCTTCACAATCACCAGGGGCTTCAGTGTCCCGGATTTCAACTCCGTCAGCTGCGGCTGGTTCCACAGGTGGACTCTCAAGCGTGCAGTCTCCAGCCTCGAGTCCCGCCTCACTCAGGCCGTCCAGTCCATCTTTCCCTCCAGTATCAGGAGGCTCGACTCCCGTTGTGTCCACAGTCCCCAACTCAATCTCGCCACCATCAGTCGGCCCTACAAGCGGACCATCTGGTGCTCAACCTTCAACACCTAGTGCGGCCGCTCCCTCAACGGCGTCTCTCACGCCTCGTTCTCAAGAATCAAGCGGCGCTGGTACTTCACGCGGGTCAACGCCTATAATCCCGACCTCGAATGTGTTGCCATCCTCTGCGTCTGGATTTCTGCCCTCGTCTGGATCGCCTAGCCTGGCTCCATCACCGTCCGCGTCGGGGGCGAATCCTATCCAGACGGTCATTGCAGGAACGCCTTTCAACATACCTTTGACACAGTACCTTAATAACCCGCTTGACGAGATCAACAGTATCACCACAAGCCCCAACACCGCTTTCCTGAATAATTTGGATCCAGTCCTCAAGACCCTCTCGGGAACGGTTCCAGTCACGGTCACCCCGTCGACTCTTGAGGTGACTTTATCCGCCGCTGGGCTGCTGGGAGATGTCTATACGAAGACCTTCCAGGTAGCAATACTTGAGGTGCAACGGATTTACGCTGGGCAGCGTTTCGATATCCTCCTGAATAAATACCTGCAAGACGCGTCAGACGTTCTAATCGGTGTCGTTTCGCTCCCAAACGCAGTTTTCCTGGACGGAATCAACATTCTGGACAAGACCATATCAGGTATTGCCCCGGAATCAGCCGTCGGGGACGTCATCACCGTGACTCTCACGGCACTTAACCTGGCGAATGGCAACTATGTCAGAAGCTTTGTGGTATCGGTCTTGCCATCTCTGACTGTAGTACCCGGCCAGCCTTTTGACATCGACCTGAAAGCATTCCTGAATGACCCAAATGACTTCATCACTGGCTTTTCTACCAGTCCGATTGTTGGATTCTTGGAAGACGGGTTCAATGAAGCTGAGCGGCAAATAATCGGCACAGCCCCAGTCAGTGCAGCCCCAGAAACTATCACCGCCACTCTGACTGTCACGGGCCAGGCTGGGGAGTACACAAGGCTGGTGTCTATTGTGATTGCTCCCCTACAGAAGGTCTTCTCTGGGCAGGCCTTCGAGATACCGTTACAGGACTACCTGGTGAGCGTGGCAGATACGATCACTGGTATTAGCACCAACCCTGAGACATCTTTCCTGGAAAATGTTCTGAACCCCGCCACTAAGCAAATCATCGGCACTGCCCCGCTTGATGCTGCCGCGGGTCTCGTCCAGGTCACTTTGAGCATTACAGGGGTATCTGGCCCGTACACAAAACTGCTCTACATTGTGGTGGTTCCAACCAACATCATTACTATTGGGCAGTCGTTCGTCATTGACTTGTCGCAGTACCTGGCCAACCCGGCGGATACCATCAGTGGTCTCATCTCTCTTCCGGGTCTATTATCGTTCCTCCAGGACGACCTGGACATTGCTCAACGGCGGATTGCTGGTATAGTTCCGCTCACAACGATTCCAGGATCCTTTTCGGTATCTTTGAGTGTGACGAGTCCGCTGGGTGTTGCCTACCTCCAGCTATTCTATGTGATAATTATCCCACAAAGCTCGTCAAGCTCGTCCATTCTATCCAGCACTTCGACAGTGTCGTCTCAGGTTTCGAGCGGATCCACCCCAGTTTTCATCACCACCTTCTCCAGTACATTTTCTCAAACCACCCAAAGCTTGTCCACTCCCTCAGAAACCGATTCAGTCTCTACGACTCCATCCGCGTCCTCTGGGTCAAGCGTCGGGTCATCTGAGACCGAGTCTACTACGCAGCTCTCTACTCCGCCGCTGTCAACTCAAAGCTCTGAGACTCAGTTAAGCAGCGGGTCAACATCAATCTCGGAATCATTGGGCACGACTAGTGCCGGAGGCTCTTCGAGCCTCGCGGAGTCAACAACAGAGTCGGACATGAGCAGTTCCATTTCATCTATCGAGACCTCTCAGGGCAGCATTTCCACCGAGGTGACCTCAACCTCAGGTCCCACGCCAGGCCCAAGTACTACGGTGGCGAGCACCGGCAGTGAAGAAACCTCGTTCTCCACTCCTCTGTCATCCAGCGAGCCTGAGAGCGCGATTACAAGTAGTGTGGCGTCGCCTTCTTCGACAGAAGTTACTAGCACTGCGTTGTCGACTGAGTCTGGCAGTACCACCGGGGAAAGTAGTCCGCCTAGCTCATTTGAAAGCTCACAAACTTCCGCTGCAACCTCAACAGAATACTCCACAAGTGGTCTCGAAAGTACAATTGAGAGCTCGATTACTATTTCCGGCACGAGCAGTAGCGAGGAAGCGACGTCAACACCCACTGGCTCAGACTTCTCCACCAGCACGTCCGAAATCCCAACTCTTAGCAGCCAAGGGAGTACTGAAGGGCCAACATCCATCAGCGAATCATTTAGCTCTTCAGCTGGGTCAGAATCGCTCTCAAGTACTTCCCAAGCAAGTGAGGTGCCGTCGACCTCATCTCCAGTCGATGAGTCGAGCACAACATCGATTGGATTCATTTCTTCCGCGTTTAGTATTACGCCATCTAGTTCGTCATCGATCCAGGAGCTCAGCAGCACCTCTACAGATTCGGCTTCATCTCAGAGTAGTGACACAGCGGCAACTTCGTCGTCAGAGATAGAGGAGAGCACAAGCGAAACCTTCTCCACGTCAGAGGCTAGCACTTCGGAAGCAACGAGCCCGATATCCTCTGCGTCTTCAGAAGAACAATCTAGCAGTGGGAGCAGCGAATCAGAGAGCCTGAGCACCGGCGCCCTTAGTTCGACAAGCGAGATCCTCACTTCTAGTCTGTCTGAAACAAGCCAGACACAATCGAGCTCTCCCGGTGCAACAAGTTCCATACCTGCTAGTTCTGAAGCCTCGTCCCTGACCAGCTCTGCGACCGAGGAGTCGGCATCAAGCTCATTCAGCTCTGCAGCCTCCGAGACCGAGACCACGAGTTCGGTTGAGTTGACCACGTCAATATCATCTGAGGCATCTGAGTCTACGTCAATCGAATCGACGGGACCTACAGAGACCAGCAGCATTGGCCCAAGCTCCACCGAGGCAATACCGTCAGAGTCCACGTTCTCTGCAACAACGTCTATAGGTGAAAGCTCCTCTGCGGAGAGCTCAACGCTTTCAAGCTCACCTGAGCCAACCACGTCCGAGCCTGCCTCCACGTGGCAGTCATCTTCAGAATCCGTATCTTTGGAACCCACGTCAACTGGTGCAACCTCGACCGAGGAGAGTACTTCAGGTGCCACTTCAACAGAGGAGAGCACCACTGGTCCAAGCCCGACGGAGTCCAGCTCTATTGGCGAAAGCTCGACGGCATTGACTACGCAAGAGCCAAGTTCCACCGAACAGAGTACTTCTGCAGAACGCACTTCGTCCGGTGAGAGTACCTCCGAGGAAGCATCAACAGGGTCGAGCTTTTCTCAGTCCACCACAACTGGAGCAAGTTCCACGGAAGGCAGCAGCTCGTTCTCAAGTTCCGAACCGACATCGACTGAGCAGACATCCAGTGAATCTACGCAACTTGAGTCTACTTTCACCGAATCAGCATCCTCCGAGTTGACTTCCTCGGCACAGACATCGATCGAGCCTACATCTTCTGAAATTACATCATCAGAGTCTACAGCTTTTGAGCCAACGTCGACGGCTCTCAGTGGCTCCGAGTCTACATTTGCTAGCCAGACCTCAAGTGAGACGACGTCTTTTGAAGCTTCATCAACAGAGACTTACTCGTCCGAGTCTACTTCTTCCGAACAGACTTCCAGTGAGCCAACCTTAACGTCTTCGGTACAAAGTTCTAGTGAGACTGCGTTGTCCGAGTCGTCATCGACTGAGCCCACATCGACAGAGATTACATCTTCTGAGTCCACATCATTCGGGGCCACCTCCTCCATTGCTAGCTCTGAGAGTTTCACAAGCAGCAGTGAAGATCAGAGCAGTTTCACCACCAGCTTTCAAGACACATCAACTATCTCTTCAGAATCGAGCGCCTCCGAATCCAGCTTTCCTGATACTTCGTCTGATCTGTCTACAAGCAGTGACAGCGTTCTTTCATCAACCGAAAGCTCGTCGCAGCCATTATCTTCCGAATCCACCTCATTTGAGCCTTCCTCATCTGAGGCGACTTCACGCGAACCGAGCTTTACAGGTACTTCTGCTGAGCAGAGCGCCAGCACCATTGACACGAGCACCTTTGCGACAAGTACCTTTGCGACAAGTACCTTTGCGACAAGTACATTCGAGACGAGCACGTTAGCTACGAGCACTCTGGAGCCGAGTTCTGAATCGACCTCTTTCGGAACAAGCTCATCCGAGGACCTGTCCAGTGGCACCAGCACATCATTGGAGACAACAAGCTCTGAAACGGAAACTTCGACTTCCTCTGTGGACAGCAGCAGCCTATCAGAACTGCTCAGTTCTTCTTCCGAAGGGCCTTCGAGTACTGAAAGTGGATTTACGTCGGAGTCAACATCATCTGGAGACGCCACGAGCAGCGTCAGCGAGGCGAGTTCAGAGTCCACATCATCTGAACAGGCCACTAGTACCAGCGAAATCAGCTCTGGATCAACTTCATCAAGCGAGCCAACAAGTAGCGAGCCAACTTCGTCTGGAGAGAGTGCGACTACCAGTGGTATTAGCTCAGAACCAACGTCATCAAGCGAAGCCACAAGCAGTGTCAGTGAGACCAGTTCTGAGTCGACTTCATCGGGAGAGGCCACGAGTACCAGCGATACGATCTCAGAGTCGACTTCGACGGGCCAGCCAACGAGCAGCGAGACATTTTCGTCCGAAGCAACAACAAGTGCCAGTGGTATAAGCTCCGAGTCAACTTCAACGGGCGAAATTACAAGCAGCACCAGCGATACCAGTTCAGAGCCTACATCTTCGACAGAGCAGACCAGTTTTAGCACTTTCGAGTCGACTTCTTCTGAGGGTAGTACGAGTAGTGAGGCCACTTCAAGCTCTGAAGAGCCGACCAGCACCACCAGTTCTGAGCTCATCTCAAGCTCTGCAGAGCCGACTAGCACTAGCGGTACCAGTTCTGAGCCCACCTCTTCAGCAGAGCAGACTAGTAGTAGTACTCTCGAGTCAACGTCTTCTGAGGGTAGTACAAGTAGTGAGGCTACCTCAAGCTCTGAAGAACCTACCAGCACCAGCGGTACCAGTTCTGAGCCCACCTCTTCAACAGAGCAGACTAGTAGTAGTACTCTCGAGTCGACGTCTTCTGAGGGTAGTACAAGTAGTGAGGCCACTTCAAGCTCTGAAGAACCGACCAGCTCTAGCTTTGAGGCAACTTCATCCGTGTCAACCTCATCTGGAGAGCCGACCTCATCTGCACAGACCACGAGCAGTGGCAGCAGCTCAACCGAAGAGCTGACAAGTGCTAGCACTGGGTCAAGCTCGGTGGAGGCTACCAGTACGAGTCTCGGATCTACATCAGAAGAATCTGATAGCACGAGTTCCGAATCCACCCCTGAACTATCCACGAGTACGAGCTTTATTCCGACATCTTCCTCGGAGCCTACTAGTACAACCTTAGAATCGACATCGCAAGAATCAACTAGTACGTCAACAGAAGCATCTCTCAGCAGCACCTCGGAGTCTTCATCGACAGAAGCCCCCACGAGCACAAGTTGGGATGCGACTTCCTCGGAAGCGTCTACAAGCATCACTTCTGAACCAACGTCCTCCGAGGAGCCGACGAGCACTACTTTCGCATCCACATCGCAGGAGTTGACAGGCACGAGCTCTGAATCCACATCTTCGGAAGAACCAACAAGCAGCAGTAGCGGAACAAGTGCTCAGTCAACATCATCCAGCGAGTTCACAAGTAGCACTTCCGAATCATCCCAGACCAGCACCATCCCATCCCAGAGCTCCTCCGAAACGACCACAACAACTTCCAGCACTGAAACGAGCTCAGTCCCACAAACATCTTCCGATTTCACCTCTTCCGAGAGTGGGTCGACTACAAGTTCAAGTACCGCCCAGGAAACGACATCGTCCACCTCCTCCGAGAGTGGGTCGACTACAAATTCAAGTACCGCCCAGGAAACGACATCGTCCACTACTAGTGAGACAACCACGTCAAGTCCCAGTACAACTGAGTCGACAAGCAGCAGCTCCTCAAGCTCAAGTTCCAGTACGGCTGAGTCAACGAGCAGCAGTTCCTCGAGCTCATCCTCGACAGCTGAGACGACAAGCAGTTCGTCAAGCTCGAGTTCCAGTACAGCTGAATCGACGAGCAGTAGTTCTTCAAGCTCATCGTCCACAGCTCAGACAACAAGCAGCTCCTCGAGCTCAAGTTCCAGTACGGCTCTTGAGACAACTAGCAGTAGCTCGTCTTCAAGTTCGAGTTCCAGTACAACTCCCCAGACAACTAGCAGCAGCTCTTCCTCAAGTTCAAGCTCTAGCACCGCTCCTGAGACAACTAGCACCAGCTCTTCTTCAAGTTCGAGTTCCAGTACCGTTCCCTCAACCTCGAGTAGCAGCTCTTCGTCAAGCTCGAGTACAAGTTCAGGACCAACTACGACTAGCAGTAGCTCATCTTCAAGCTCAAGCTCTAGTACGGTTTCTACCACATCTAGTAGTAGTTCCTCTAGTTCAAGCTCAACGGTCTCGAGTACAAGTAGCTCCAGCTCAAGTTCGACCACGGCTCCCACAACAACCAGCAGCAGTAGTTCGTCTACTTCGTCCAGCTCCAGCTCCAGTACGGTTCCTACAACATCCAGCAGCAGTAGTTCGTCTACTTCGTCCAGCTCCAGCTCTAGTACGGTTCCTACAACATCAAGCAGTAGCTCTTCAAGCTCAAGTTCCAGTTCGACAGCTCCATCTACTAGTAGCTCGAGTTCAAGCTCAAGTTCTTCTAGTTCCTCAAGTTCGAGCACGACACCGATCATCACCACCACATCCAGCTCTTCCAGCTCGTCTAGTTCTAGCTCATCTAGTTCGAGTACGGTACCGCGGACAACAAGCTCAAGCTCTTCGTCCAGCTCGAGCTCTTCTACTTCAACCTCAAGTGGCTCGTCCAGCTCAAGCTCGTCCAGTTCAAGTTCCAGTGCCTCATCTACTTCAAGCTCGTCTAGTTCGAGCTCTTCTCGATCTAGCAGCAGTTCTAGCAGCAGTTCTAGCAGTAGTTCTAGCAGCACGAGCACTTCGAGTAGCACGAGCAGTTCCCGAAGTTCGACCAGCTCGAGTAGCTCAAGCAGTTCATCTAGCACGAGGTCGACTACGACGACGACAACATCGAGTTCCAGCTCCAGCTCAAGTTCTAGTTCAAGCTCCAGCTCAACTTCGCGACTCCCGACGGTTACTTCGACATACACGACCGGCACAAGTACATTCACTCGGACAGCATCTGGTACAGCCACAGTCTTCTCCCCATTCCCAACATTCCCATGCGACGAATATGGATACCTCGTCCAGGGTGGCAACGACTTCATCCGGGTCGACATTACTGCCGGCACGTTCTCGACGATTACCACTGACTTGGCGTACCCTGGAGCTACTATCAATGCCATTGGCTACAACCACCTTGACAACTTCATATACGGCGCCGTAGGGCCACAAACGACGGAGAACATTCTTCAGATCTCTCCATCCGGGTCGTCAGTGATCTTGCAGCCGGGACTCTCCGTACCATACCCGCTCAGGGTGGCCGATTTCGACGGTATAGGGAACTACTGGGCGTCATCAGTCGTCCAGGTGGTGAATGGTGTAGGCACAACTTACTGGACGGAGGTCAATCTGGCTCCGAACACAGCCAATTACAGTAGGCAGATCGCTAGTGGCAGTGCAACGTTTCCTGCTAATCTGGGCATGTATGATTGGGTTTATTTGCCGGAAGGAGGTGCCAGCATGGTAGGTCTCGTCACGCAACCACCTTCACCCCCTGCATAAGCGATGAGGAGCGATGACCTTGGATACTAACGCACATCTCTCTTACAGTGGACGATTGCGACTGGCCTGACTATTTCAGGGTTCCAACTCTATCGTTTTGATCTTGGTGACAAGAAATGGTACGCGTCGACTAATTTCGGCCCCCTACTTGGCTTGACCATAAACTCCGGCTTTGGTGCGCTGTACCCAGGCGACGTGGGCTACTTCTACGGGTCAGAAAACGTCGGTGGAAGTATATGGAAGTTCCCATTGCCCGGAAATAACGGCGATAAAGCCGTAAAGGTTGCTCAGGGGCCGGCTTCTAGTCAGAATGACGGCGCTAGGTGTTGGGCGCAGGGGGAGTGATTGTTTGATACCGTCCTGGTTTAAACATTCTCTTCTCGTGGATGGCTTTTATGAATGTTGATGATGCTTTATGAAGCTTACGACCTCATGTTTGGTGGAACTCGGTCGTAAACAGCGGTGGTTGTCAGAGCTGTTGTTGCTGTTTCTTAGCAACTCTGTCCTGAAGTCAACCTGAGAAAGGACATACCTTCAGAGGCCTTAGATAGAGTACCTAGGTAGATGACCTGGAATTTCTCCAGTATGGCAATGACAAATGATTTCATGATGGATAGTCTAGGCTGCGGTCCATAGAAGTGCAGCCAAATTATGTGAAAATCCTCTTTTAATTTTGCTTCTAATACTTGTCTCGATGAGAGCTTACAACCGACGTCACAGTCGGTATTGCATTGCTAAGAGATATCCTAAAACTCTTCCTAGTTTCGTGATCCAATTGACAGTAGCCAGGTATTTACTAGTAGAAAGTAGATGATGGGGTTGAGAAAAAGATCGATAGTGCACAACAGAGGCAAAGTCTGTTAGCTCAATGGGCAGGAAAGAGCAAATGAGAGCGCGTTGCATCTAACGAGTGTCGTCGTCTTTATGTATTTATTTATTACTTGAGTTGATTACACTGGTTCTCGCTTTACAATAGGAAGGCAATGATCACTGATTGGCAAGTACATGCCTAAGTCAGGTATGTAACCTAGAAGGTTTGTCGCCACTAGACCCTCTACTCACTAGAGCATTGCGTGCGGGATGCAAACCGGCTGCCTACTCCCAAGCCAGTATGGGTAGCTTGATGTGACTCTCTCCACTCCCAGGAACGCCCTTGGACTTTTCATGACCACCTCATGAAAGTTCGGAGTGTTCAGACGCCAAAAAGTATTGGCTTGAAGCTCAGTCGAACTCTCTTGCTGCACCTCGGGTGTCTTCTGGGCCATATATTTCTTGGACACAACTTGTGCCTCTGAGATGACAGGTTCCGGAATCCAGATGAATGTCGATTTGTAGTCGTTATCAGTAATGTACACACATATTTCATAACTGTTGTCATTTGAGTCTCAGATGTCCGAGTCTGGGATTCCACATATACTACCACCACATCTTTCAAAGGTTTTTCAATGTCATCATACAGCCTATATAGCTTACGTATGTCTACCATTTTATCATCTAGGAGGATATCTTCTTATTAAAAAATCTTAGAAAAAGATATTTTCATTAATTTAATTAGTACTTCTTATATTATAGGTAAACATTTACATAGGGGTAATAGTATTAGCTAATCTAATAAGGATATAACTATAAAGATAAGTATAAATAGAGATATCGTAATTCCGACGTAGGACGGGTCTGCATAATGCTAGGATCTACCGATAGGTAGGAGGAGGGTTAATGACTCGTTTAACTTCTTCATCAACAATGCATGGCGATTGGTATCTAATGCCTTATCCCGACTCGTTCGAATGTGACCCCGACAAGTCGAACCCCGGGGCCCCGGGATGTTACTCTTAAAGCTGACAAGCCTACTTGCTATCTTATCTCCACCGGGACGGTGATCACCGGGAGCCCCGGCTATCATGTCGCAACGGCGCGGCGGCGATGGGGTTCAAGATGCGGTTTGCCGGCCCTGGGCATAGCAACAGTAATCGGCAATCGCTGGATGTCGGGCTCGTGACTGCTTTCTGTCGCCCGGGGGTCATCTCGCAGGCCTGCCCCCCACGCCCCAATTACCACGCAGGGCATCGTGCATTTGCGGTGGGCCTTCTCGCGTGCCTATCTGGTCTGAATCGTCTCGGATGGATGGGCCCTCTTGTGCGAGACGAATCACACCTCCTGCAATGGTAATAAAGCCCACCCAGCATTGGCTGTCTACCACCTGACTCCACGTTCGAGGTAACATCTCTTTTTTGACAGGCACAGCTTCCAGGGAATTGACATAAGACACTGGTTCCTCGTGACCCATTAGGCAACTTTCATTACATAGGAGGCCAGCCCGCCCCTCACTCAGCCTGACCCGAGTTTTGTCTGGTCGCCCGCCCGACCTGCATCTCCGTCAGGACCGGTCCTCCTCTCTTCACCATGGCTGCACCAGAATCCAAAGGCGACCAAGCGAAAGTCGCAACCATGTCTGAAAATGCGACCGACGTCGTTCGCGTCAGCTCCAACCAGGAGACCCAAGTTATCGATGTGGATACGGCATATTTGACCAGCAGCCGTTTCAACAAAATCTTTCGAAGCGTTCTCTTCCAGATGATCATGTTCGGAGCGCTGTCTTTTGTTGGCCCGGCTATGTCGGACGCGATTTCCAACCTAGGCGGAGGAGGCTTGTCGTCTCCTTACCTCGGGAACCTTGCCAACGCTCTCAACTACGCCGCCGGATGTATGATCACTCTCTTCGGCGGACCGCTGATCAACAAGATTGGAATCAAGTGGAGCTGTATGATTGCTGCTGTGACTTTTCCTCTTGCGGGCTCAGGATATTACACAGCTGCAAGATATGGGACACAGTGGTACCTACTATTTGAAACAATACTTGGTGGATTCACGGGCGGCTTCCTGTACGTGGGAGAGACGACTGCTATGCTGTCATATCCGCCACAGAACGACCGTGGCTTGTACCTTGGCATCTGGTCTGCCATGAGGAGCTCAGGCTCTATCGTTGGTGGTGCCATCAGTAAGCCCTGACTCCCTTTCATGACCCTCTCCCCATTCAGCGCTTCGGAACTTCCAAGAACAAGACTATTCTGAAAAACAAGACGGGTGGCTAATAAGCACTAGACTTTGCTACGAACTATGGTAAGGACTCAGCTGGCGGTATTGCCTGGGCTACCTACTTGGTGTTTGTCGGACTCGAGTGCACTGGTGTTCTTTGGGCTTTCTTGCTGTCTCCTACTAAACAAGTCCGACGCAAGGACGGAACTAAGGTGCCCACAACTGGAACTGTCACTTGGAAAGGCGAATTCGCGGCACTCTGGCTACACGCGCAGCGGAAGAAGACCTGGCTTGTCTTCCTCCCTGCGTTCTACAGCTTTTTCTACGGAGGCACCATGGGGACCTATCTGTCGTTGCACTTCTCCGTGCGTGCCCGCGCTCTATCCACACTCATCGTCCCCATCATCACTATCGTCATGGTGCTTGCGTATGGCAAGATGTTGGACACGAAGCGCTGGTCCCAGGCTGGCCGTGCGTGGACTGCATTTGGTCTGTGGCTGGTACCGCAGATTTGCTGCTTCATCTGGATCGGGATTGAGTATTCGAAATTTGGAACCTCGAGCGGGAACGGCCTTGACTACATCTTGCACGGCAAGCGATGGGCTGAGGCATACCTCCCTTACCTGATCATCTTCACGACTGGTTACTGGACACAATTGTCCCTTTACTGGATCTTGGGTACATTCTCCACGGACGTCAAGTCAAGCGCCAGGACGGGCGGGCTGTTCCGTGCCTTCGAGACGGCGGGTCAGGCCGTTTCATACGCTATCAACTCAAACTACGGCAGCGACCCGCGCATACCATTCTACGTCAACTGCGCGGTCTTGGCGCTGGCCATCCCGTGCATGGTCTTCCTCATCAGAATGGTCCCAGAGGCGCCGGCCGAATTTGATATCGACGCTATCGAGGTGCCCCAGGACGGAGGAGAGACTAGTAGCAAGGCGGTCGAGGCGTGAGTTGGAGCAGGGATTCTGTTATCTTTTAGCCGGCACATTTTGTGATCTTCTGCGTTATTTTCGCCGAGCGTCAAGCCTAATGCATTTCCATTACAGCACAGCTTCCCGGCATGACTCTCGATTTGTAACAATCACCGTGAATGAGTCAGTGGGGCAAGGGAGTCAGGCCAGAGCAGCTAGCCGGTGTCAGTCACTGCGGGCTCTTTGCAAACCAGGCACAAGCCGGATGGGCCACGCAGGCAACTGATTGTCATTGACGCGTTGCGAGCGTCCGCGTGCCTATCAGCCGGTATCTCGGCAAGCACTGACGGAGTACCAGCACAATCCGAGACGCGAACACAATCACAACGGGACGGTGGCTTATCAGATCCGGGGCAGTTTTGGTGGTGGAGGCGGCCCGGGTGACCGGTGCTTCTGATCGTTTCCGGTCAGGGGTAGACCCACAGGGCTCCACACCGAGGCTGATACTGCCGGGGAACTGCTCATCGGGGCAGCGCGTGTGCACTTCCGGATCCGATCTCGCCAGCGTGTCGACAGCCTCTGCCTGGGGATCCGGATCGAGGCGACAGTGAATGATTCCACTCTCGTCCCACCTCAGACTTGGCCCTCATAGGGAAATATGGTACGTCAGCTAGGCGGGAGATTGTCCCGGCCTGAGGCAGGATTAGAAGAGTCTGACCGCCACATCTCATCCGGCCTTCGACTTGCCTTCATCACCACTCTCCACATCAGCCAGAGTCAACGCGAACAAACCAGATCAAACTCATTGACGAACCCGACTACTATCTTTGACTGTCTTTGACGGACCTTGTTCTCGACAATAAGCCCCAATCTTTATAATCAGCACCCACATCCGAGCCCACCCTAGGCAATCCATGGTGATTGCAACCTTGGAAGACAGCACTCCCTCACATCAACACCATGGTCCTTCCGATTAGCAACCCGACAAAGTCCTACTGGATCGAGGCCGCTGAGTCTCCTCTGAGGAATTTTCAGTCAACCCCAGACCTCCCCAAGGAGACGGATGTTGTGATTGTTGGGAGCGGTTACACAGGCACCACAACGGCATATTGGTTGCACAAGGTGAGAATCTGAAACATTAATATCCGTCAGTGAGGTTCTGACAGGGCGAGCAGCACACCGCCAAAGATGGGACCACTCCGCGTATGCTTATGCTAGAGGCCCGAGATGTATGTGGTGGCGCCACAGGGCGGAACGGTAAGTGCCGAGCCAAATGTTCTTCTCAAAGCAGCCATGCTGCCGCGAAGACGAAGTATTGAATGCAGGGCTGACATCCTGCTTCTCCATTTCTCCAGGCGGTCAGCTTCGGCCACATGCCTACTCTCGGTACTCGAGCTGGTCTAGCCGGTTCGGGCCTGATGGGGCATTGAAATTGGTCAAGCATGAGATGGCCCATCTCGACGCCTTCAAGGCTCTTCTGACCGAGGAAGGCGTTGCAGACAAGGTATGCTTCAAGCTGGGTGAGACATTCGACGCGGCTATGACGCAGGAAGCCTGGGCGCGTCTCAAAGGAGCATTCGATGCGTTCGTCAGGGATCACGGCAGGGACGGCGAGGTGATTCGAGAATGCCGAATTATTGAAGACCCCAAGGAGGCGGAGGCCTTCACACAGATGAAAGGTTGTATTGCAGCTGTTGTGCACCCTACTGGTCAAGTGTAAGTGGCACAACAAGCATGATGTTCTTTGACCTTCCAAGCTGACTTGTTGGGAACAGTTGGCCATACAGATTCGTTCACGCTTTGCTTCAAATCGTGCTGGACACGGGCAAGCTAAATCTGCAAGCCAACACACCAGCTTTGAAAATTTCTGAGAGAGGTGAAGACGGATACATCACCGTGTCAACACCACGCGGCGACGTTCGCGCCAAGACTGTTGTGCACGCCACCGTATGTCCTGGACTTTCTTTTTACTCAATTCCATTTGAATGATCAAGCGCTGACAACAGAAACGCACAAGAACCGATGGGCTTCTCATCTCCTGCCCGAGTATTCTAACCTAATCTTCCCTTCGGTCTGTACTATTGGCGCGATCAAGGCCCCCGAAGGCTTCATCAAACACTCCGGCGCTCAGCACTGGGACAGCCATGTCAACAACTACCACGTGCAGCAGCCCCCACCCTATAACACGCTCATAGTCGGCGGCGCGAAGGCCGTTCTCTCGCACTACCCGCACGATTGGGTTCGCTCCGATGCGGAGGACAAGCTTAACCCCGGGGTAGCCGAGTTCTACAAGACGTGGCCAAAGAACGACATCGTGGGCTGGCCGGGGAAAGAGGACGAGGCGGAACTCGCGCTCGAAACAAATGAGGGCGGAAACTGGACGGGAGTCGAGTCGACCAGCATCGATTCCTTCCCGTTCGTTGGCCCAGCCCCGGCCCACCCCGGCCATTTCGTGGCGGCCGGTTTCAACGGCCATGGCATGCCCAGGATCCTCCTCTCGACGGCTCATATCACGCCTCTCATCCTCCAGGAGCTCGGCGTCAAGTGGACCGCCCCTGAGCTGGTGGCCTCTTATCCCCCTCTGCCCGAGCCATTTGTCGTCACGGATAAGCGGATCAAGCAGTTCACGGAAGCGGACGCGAAGAGGAGCTATGACGAAAGTGTAAGGGGCCATGAGGAAAGCGCCGCGAAGCCGTTCTGCAACGAGCCTCGGTGTCTGTTCTGGAAGTCAAAGGGGACGACGGGGCAGGCGGAGGCTCCTATTGCTGCAACTCAGGGGCCGGACCTCATCGAGCATGATATGATGGACGAGAAGCTGTACTTGAAGCATGCTCTGAACGATAACGGAAACGTTGATGTGGTGGGTTGAGCGTGGTATTGGTCATTTTGGGAGTTATTCGGCGTTAACCATTGCCTACATTATTGCACACAATTAATGCTTGGATATGTGACGGCGCAATCACGTGGGTCATTGAACGGCATACAACCAGTTTCAGAGCATAGATCATCTGGGTCATAACCCACATAGTTAAAGTACAATGCTAGCTGTTAGTCTATTGCTTGATAACAAAAATCCAATCCTGAATCGCCGCATGCGAAGTCCCCAGTTTTGACTTGAGCCAGCAGACATCAGAACCCGCCACGCTGGAATCCGGTTGGTACCAGCCCCATCCAGCACCCACACAGCTATCGTTCGAAGCGCACATGTTGATGCAGTCCTCAGCTCTGTCTGTCTCCATGTGAGCCAGATCCTTGGTGTTGTGGTCAGCATTGCCGTTGTAGTCGATACCACAGGAGATGTTAAATTCGACTGGGTTTGTTTCCGATGTGAATGTCGTTCCATTTGACGTAGGGCAGGATATCGACGACTCGGGAACAGACGCTGAAGAAGGCCTCGGCGTTGATGAAGGGGAGGACCCGCTACGTGCAGAGATGTTAGCTTTGGCAACCATTTGAAAAGCCTTCTCGGTATTCTGGAAGTTCACCTGCTTGATCCATCACCACTCTGGCCCAGGCCTAAGCCGAGGCCGAGACCAAGAGATAATCCCAATACTAGTATGGCTACTAGAGCTCCTAGTATCAACCAGAGCTTCCTCTTTCCTATCTTGAGGACATGCTCATCGACCGGATTATTCTCCCTCCCCGTGGGTGGTGCTCCGTCAAATAGTATCTTGCCGTCACTCGCCGGCGTCAAGAATGAAAAAGCTGGTGATGATCCTGTCTTGTATGATTGTCGGTTGTAAGGGTCGAACTGAGGCGGCGGTCCGTATTGCTGCCCGTATGGATGTGCATTGTAGTGTCCGAGGTTGGAGTTGTGCTGTGCTGGGTTGAATTCCAAACCCTGCTCATAATGCACCCTGTTCAGGTCTACGGTCAGAACATTTGAAACTCATAATGAGCCTGCTGTCGTGGCAGTTGGCTTCGAGTGTACCCTTGGCGGCGCACGGAACCAATTAAAGCTGGTGGAGAAGACTGGACGTCGGAGTGATATGGACATACTGAGGAGCTTCAGCTTCGCGGGCAACCTCCAGCCCCGGCTGCTCTTCGTTAGCTCTGTATTGAGCCATGGACACACTGTGCTGCGCCTGGGCAAAGCTCTTCCTCCTGTCAGGCCCGCACTCTCTACCTAGGTATCGACTCTGGAGCCTTCGTGAATACTCGCTCGCACTGTTGGAGATGTGTGGGTTTGTGGGGTATCAATGAATGTTGAAAGAGTGTGCATTTTGAACACGGAGTCGAGTGAGAAACGATGAATAGCTCATGGATCGCTCAAGGTTTGACCGGTTTGCCCTGATTCCGCAGGTCTGGGGAGAAGGATCCGAGATCTGCACACGATATCGCCCTGGCTATGGCCTGCATCCTTGTCAGCGCGCAGCCGGAGCACCTACAAGAGGATTAGACGAGCCACAAGCGCTTACCTGTTAGCTCCGCAATTAGAAAATAGGCTCAAGCTGTCCCCGATCCATTGGGTTTCGATCTCCCGCCCCTGTCTAAAGTGGCGTATCGGAAATATTCTTCTGCGGTATGATATAACCAGGCTGCCATCTCTGTCTCATTGCTGATCCCTTCGTACTACTGTGGCACGTTCCAGGCCCAGCTCTATGGGTCACCAGTTGACTGCAGCTTGTCACATTTAAGTACCTAGGTATACATCCCTTCCCAAGTAAGGCACATGGAATTCGCCTCGCCACCAGCACCGCAAAACTGCAGAACACAATGTGGTAGATTTCGCCTGCCTGTGTTACTCGATAATGCACCTTTGAGGATTGTGACGACACCACGCAACCACTATCGCCCGACTGCGCCCCGGCAGGCGGGCGGGCAGTCCACTGGGGGCAGCCCTCGGGGCCCTGGCTTTCAGCCTTCAGTCAGCTTGCCTTCACCTGTCGCTTCTTAAGTCCCTAATGACCCATCTGCAAGCTTCGGCATGCGGCATTTGTCCACTTCCGAACACCGGAATAAGTTTGAGATGCTACCCGTGGATGTCGGTTCTGCTTACCCACTGCTGGCACAGTCGGTACTAATTGCTTTCGCTTCTATTCCGTATACGTCCGAGGACATACATGGCGCCCTCATACGGTGGTAAGCACTCAAGACCCAGCACTTGGAAAGAACACGGTGTCGATAACGATAGTTATAATACGATAGGTGATGTTGAATATATACATGAAAGATAATCTCTCATATTTACATAGTGACCCTCCCAACACCGACATATATACACTCCAGCTCGCCGCCACTGCCACCCACAACAGTCAGCAGTGCTCAAGGCTTGTACGTCCTGAGCAAAGAGTCATAGTACTTGTAGCCAATCCCGCTAGGCGGCTCATAGCTATAGATATAGTCGCCCCACCATGGTCCACCTCCCCACCAGAGAGCACCGAGCCAGACATCGGAGTTCGACTTGAGAGTGTTGAGCAGCCCAGTGACGGCGGATTTGCACTGGTCGTTGGCGCCTCCCGCAAACTCGCCGATGATTCCGAGCTTGCCGTTAGTCTTGAGCCACTGAGTCGCACTGGCAACGCGCTCTGCGCCGATGGTCCCCGACACGCAGGTAGCAGACGTACCCGAGCCGTCCGAGTCGAGGTACTGGTGCATTTCGTAGACGATCTTGTTTTGGGGGTCTGTCAGGGCCTTGAGGTTGTCGTTGACCTGAGTCCAAGTCCAAGCACCCGAGTACGAGTTACCCTCGACAAAGATGTACTGCGAGGTTGCGCCTGCGGCACGAATACCATTGATGGCGGCCTGGTTCAGGTTCAAAACGAGCGTCTGGTCCATATCGTGGTACTCATTATTGGTATCGAAGATGACCTTGGAGTTGCTCTTGTACACGCTGGCGAGGTTCTTCCAGAAGGTCTGGAAGCCGGCGGTGTCGGTGATGATGTTGCCGTAGAACCGACCGTAGTTGTGCGGGTCAATGATGGCGTAGCCTCCGGCATTGGTAATGAAGTTTACCGTTGCGGTGTAGTTGTTAAGATATGCGGTTGCCAATGAGGACGAGATCGTGTTGCCAGTAACCATTCTCTCCATGGAGAAGGGAACGCGGAGGGCGTTATAGCCCGAGCTGATCAAGGTCTGGTCCCTTTTCAGTTCCCACTTGCTGATTGCATTGACAAGACTTTATGAGTGTCAGAACTCATCGATCTAGGGGCTCACCTGAAGAGCTGTGTTGTCTGGGAATATGAAGTCTTTCCCATAGGTTCCGGGGAAGTTCTGGTTGCCAAATTCGGCTCCAGACTCATCCACGCCAAGGAACTTCCAGCCTCCTGTAGCTGAAGGTGCCTTCGAGGTCGTCGCGCTCGGCTGGGACGATGAGGTCGTGCTGGGCCGGGCGGAAGTTGACAGCGTAGTCGATGCGCTGCCAGGAAGACACTGGGAGTAGTACTGGTTGGAGTACGTGCACGTGTATCCAGACACACATGTTGTCGCTCCAGTCCATCCCTGGCCTCCACATTGAGCATAAGCTGCGCCCTGCGCAAGAGCGCCAGCAATGAATGCGGCCGAGGCGATCAAGGATTTCATGATGGGGCTGAGATCGTCGGTCCTTGGTATCCGCGATCACATCTGCCAAAAGCTTGACCACGGGGTGCCAACACCATTTATACGAAGGCGGGAGCAGCGGTGCCACCCAGTTGGTGTGAGACCAAGTCAGCGATGCGTTCTCCAATGCAATGGTAATTCTGCTCCAGACGTAAGAACGCGGGAGCAGGGCCGCCGATACCCACATTAAGACGAGCATCTAAGGCGAGAAGCTTACTTCTAACTAGCTTGGTCGCCTTCGGGACATCCAGCCGACAGTAGTCGCATCAGACAGGTCGAAATTCACCTTAGCGGCGGGCTCTCGCGAGCCGCATGCCATGATGAGCTTGGCCCTGGCTCTAAGCCCTTGCAGTGTTCAACGAGTTGTTCTCAGGAACGCACAAACGGCTAAGACTCAGTCGCGCCCATGGGCCGGTAGCACAACGACACTTGAGACATGACGGTTGGTGACGGGGGTGGCTCTAAAGTCTGATCCCGTGATACCGCTTGTTATGTGACTTCGCAACAGCACACGGTGGGTCATCTGGGATCATGGACTGTTTTCTCCGTTAAACGCGGATGGAGACTCTCCGTCGCCGGTTTGGGCGTCACAAGGCCTCATCTTAACCTTTAGCCTTCCAATCATTTGACCCCTCGGCAGGGAAGTTGCCTTACATAATCAGCATAATGCCGGACAGCGACAACTTTTTGCTCCAGGCTTGCTGGAATCCAGAGCGGAAAGAGGTCTATCGTGACTTTGGCCGTATTTGGACATGTAGTCTTCGCAAAAGCGGGAGGGCCTTCCGGCCAACACCTCTAGGGCTAAGGGTCTGGAGTGGTTGAATCTTACTAGTAGGTGGTAAATTTAAGCTGTTATCTGAAGTACTCGACGACCCCGGAAATGTATCACATGTAAGCAATGTGTGACCCATGACCTAGCTATGATCTCCATGATACACTTGTCGGTAGTCTTATCCGCCTGTGTGAATGTTGCCAATTGTCCGAGTAATTGATACCAGCCGTCATCAAAATGTGTCAATCTGAGCCATGCCTTCCCACTTAAATTATTTCGACTGCCTGGCCAAGTAGTTGGCGGCGGGCCTCAAGTATTCCTCCTCCAGGATACGCATGGTGTCCGACACGTTGTGAAATGCTCCGTTGGCAGCGAGGACGTACGCCGGCTGCAGCATTTTGTCGAGGATCCCTTTGGGATCCATTCCAGTCACCAGGTTCGACCCTGTCACGCCGCGGTGGCTCACCCGAGCTGTTCCGTGTGGCGCATCGTCATGGACCATCACGCGCTTGCTGGCACCGATACCCTGATTGTATTCTGACTCTCCTGATATTTCCTGGTGTCAGCCTGGCATACCTACGGCATCGAAGCTGCGGGGACGGGGAACGGGGAGATTATACCATGCTGGAAGCGTCTCTTCTGCCTGCCGTCGTTGGCGTCACGGCCGACAGTCGGTATGATGGACGGCTAGTCGTCGTCGTCCCCGTTGTTGTGCTGCGTGGGCTCCTGCTTGATTGCGTTGTCTGGCACACCCCGGCCCACACGGGTGGTCGACACGCCGTGTCGTCGGCCCACCCGGTCTGACAACCCAGGCTCTGCCTTGGGCTGCTCGTCGTCGCTCTCTATGCCAGTAAGGTCGATCAGATCGGCTAAGATGTGGACTTAGGGGTGTGTATGTCAGCACGGGGTGACCAGGCTATCTTACATGGGCTCTCCTGCCGGTCCTGTGGAGGTGGTCTAGGACGCCGGGGCTCTCGCTTATGTGACGGCGACGGCGTGCAGTGTCGTGGTGTCGGTCCTCTGGCGTAGTTATTCTGGAAAAGCCCGGTGTGACGGGACTGGCAGCTTCGTGATCCTGGTGACCACCTCGTGCTACGAGCCTGAAGTCAAACATGGCGTGGATATCATCGCCCGTGAGACTGGATAGTGGCTTGGTGTAGATCCCGGTTGCCTTGGCTGGTGTGGTCGTGCTCGTGCTCTGCCGAAAGGGTCAGCACGCGGGATATATAAGGTGCTTGCCTGGCACTGACCTGGAAACTGTCCATAATCGTGGTCTGCCGGGTGTTCAACTTGCGTGCAAGGTGGTGATGGCGGCCGGATCTCTGCCCGCCAGAGCGACCCGTGGCTCTGGCAGTCGTGAGCATGGTGACAGGCAGTCTGGGCTTTGGCTATGTGTCCGATGGGGAAGGGTGTCTGGTGGGAAAGAGCCTGACGAGAAACATGAATGTGTCTGACGAGGAAGAGTCTGATGGGAACTTGGACGGGCGCCCTGTGATGATGTGGCGTGCGTGTGTCATGCTCGTCGCGACCAGTATCTGGCAAGTGGCGTCCCGGACTTGTGTGCTGGGGGTTTGGCACCGGGGAAGGCACCGCCTGGCAGCTGACGTACTGTAAGGGGTGCTCATTGTGCTCATGCGGCAGGTCCAGGCAGGAGTCTGGGTGAAGGTGCCGTGTGCAGCATTAGTGACAATATCTGGGTGGGTAGGCACACAGGGAGGTAGGTGCTTAGGTGCTTTATCGTGTCGGCAGCGAGCGTCTGGCCGTGCGTTGCTCCCAGTAAGGGGAGTCGTCTCCTCTTGTCATGAGGCAGGTGCTGCGATAGGTGTGGGCAGACCCGTGGCGGTTGTTGGATCTTGCCTTGCCCTCGCCGAACATTCAAGCTGGTTGGTCCCTGGTGCTTCTTGCCTGTCAGCTGCCCTCAGTCACCCCCGTCGCTAGGTTGAGCGTTTATCAGGCCACCTTCCGACGTCAGTGGAGCAGGATGGCTTGTACTGCTTCCTGGTTGTGGTTTGGCATTGACTTACTGGGCGTGGCTGTTATCTTGTTGCTTTAGGTCCGTGCCTGCCTCCTGCCCCCTCTGCTGATGCGGGCGCTCCTATGGTTGCCCTCCCTCTTATCTGACTCACTCTCCCTCTTATCTAACTCACTGGGAGGTAGGAGCACGGGAGGCGTTGGGCGAGAGCGAGTGGTGTTGCGGCAATGGGAGGTTGTCTGATGGGAGGTTGTCCGATAGGAGGTTGTCCCTTATGAGGTTGTCTGATAGGAGGTTATCTGATAGGAGGTTGTCTGATAGGAGGTTGTCTGATGGGAGGTTGTCTGATGGGAGTTACGGCACAAATAAAGGAGCAGAAAGAAAAACGCCCACTTCCACCCAGCACCCACACCCATCTCTCTCAACCTTCTTACACCACGACGTCGTCTGGTCCTGGGACCCTCTCATAAACATCCACCTCCTCCCCTGCCTTGTTTCCATTCTATTCCACTCGTTTCCGAGCTGCTATCAACGGCTTCCGCCCTCACTCTGGGACGCTCGTCCGATCCTTTCCTCGCCACGGCGGTCGTCTGCCCCTCCCTCGCCTTGTTACCATACTGAGTCACTCGTCCTCAGGTTGTCATCGACTGCTCCCCGTGGGACACCCATCCAGTCCTTTCCTCGTCACGGCGGTCGTCTACCCCTCCCTCACCTTGTTTCCACTCTAGGTCATTTGTTCCTAGGCTGTCGTTAACTGCTTCTGCCCTCACTGTGTGAAGCCTATCCAATCCTTTTATTGTCGCAGCGGTCGTCCGCCTGGTTGCCGACCACACAGTCTGCGCACAGCACGCCGCAGCCATCCCAGCCGCTGCTGACCACGGTACCCCTTTTTGGTACGATGCCGCCAGCCTCCAAACCGTGCGCGAGGGCATCGATAACGCGCAGAAGCTACACGACAATGCGGCAAGCCTACTGTCCATGATTCACCTCGTGGAGCCTGGTCAGATCGATAAGTGCCAGCTCGACGCCAACAACGCAATCAAGAAACTCCATAACTCCTGGGTCGAGTTGTATTCCGAGTTCTCCCGCGCCAGGTATGATCTAACCTGTTATCATGTTGTAACACATGCCTCATTTATTAACCAGATCGCAGATGTGCCAAGCACAAGCTTGAGGATATGCCTGGTTTTTACAACGCGACTGATCATGCCAAGCTCAATGACCTGCTGGCCAGCGTATATCAATGCAACATTAAGGGTGCCGGGCTTTCTTTTCATATGGTTTTCAACGAGTCTGCACTTGGTCCGCTACCCCCTCCATCGGAGGCGCCACGGGTCACCGCCGGTACTACTGCTGTCGTCGCTGGGCGTGTACCACAGTGTATGTTCATACCGTCTGTCTGCCGTGCTGTTCTCGAGCCCCGTGCTAACCATTACTCGCAGCTCCCGCCGAGCCCCGGGTGAACACGCGTTCTCTAGGTGTCGGAGACTCCTCGGACTCCATGCCATTACGCCCGACGTTTGCGCCCCCACTCGACGTACAGAACCTACAGGCCAAGGCTGAAGAGCGGATCGGGATGACCTTGGGGCCAATCGCGGCCAATCTGACATCAGATGGTTTCACGGCCAGAGTCGAAGCTGCCATTAACAATGGCCAGTTTGCCGTCGACCCCAGGGTACTGTGTGTCTCTGCCTTGGGTGACCAGTTTGACAGCCGGTCAATTGACTTAATCTTCCGGGGACCACCCAGCACCAAGAAGGCGTTCGGGCATGACCCGACAGGGAAGAACACCAGTCTTCACAAGCTCATTGCCCTCCGTGGTCTATCCGTGGCCGATATGGATGTGACCTTAGAGGGGTCCCACAGGTGCCACCACAATGCCTGCTGCGTACCGGACCACATCCACCCAACATCCACCCAGCTACCAGGACCGACAACAACGGTCGCAAGGTGTGTCAACAGCTGGCCAAGACACTGCGAGAGCAGGGAGAGCGGATACCCCTGTTATGTGCCCGACGTGATCATGAACCCCCTTGTCTTCTCGGGTCCGCCGGCCTGCAGTGGCAGGAGTTCCACTTCGCGTCGTGGATGTACTATCGCGGGTACGCATCGATCAATGAGGTACCACCTGCTCGGTTGAGGAGCATCTCGGCCGATAGCGAGTTCATGGGGCTCGAGCTACGGACTTACAGAGTCGACCATACTGACGGCGAGGGATCCCTGGTTCTCGTCAACTCCTACACCATGCAGGAATACATCACTAAGGTCAATATCACTGGTCATGGCCCGTCGCCCCGTGTGGTCGCACCCACTCATGGTGCAGTCGCACCCGCTCCTCGTGTCCTGCGCCAGAGAGTTGCCCTCACAGCGGGGTTGGCCCAGCCTCACACTCGGCCTGCGAACCGGGCTACGATCCAAGTGAAGGAGGTCAAAAGCGCGCGTGTTGCGGGTCTAGTTCGTCGATTCGGTGATTTATTGCCCCGCTCGAATGCCACCCCAATTGCGTTGACCGTTGACGATGTCGATGACCTCAAGGAACTCGCTGAACTTGCCGCAGCCGACCCGGTCGAAGACCCATCCAGCATCGAGGATGCATTGGAAGCAAAAGCCCGACTGCACGCGTCCGAGATGAGATGTTATCAGAAATGGCTCGCCAGCGAAGAGGCGAATCAGATCCATGCGGTCAACTTGCATCTGGTTGGGAACGACGACATTTCCGATAGCATATTATGTACGATATGCATCAGTGAGATCCACCGATGCCTTCCCACGGGTTGTTCAAATCGCTATCCAGAACCCAATTCGGAATACCAGGCCGGTGACATACCAAAGCAAATCGTCAACCATACCTACTTAAGTAAGTAGGTATATAGCTCTATTAGACAACCTCCTATAAGACAACCTCCTATCAGACAACCTCCTATTAGATATCCTCTTATGGGATAACCTTTTATAGGAATAGAGTAAAATGATCCCTTACTAATAACTTGCCTTGAAAGGAGATAGTATTGGTTAAGATCCTATGGTAACAGCTTACCTATCTAGGTACTCAATACTTAGTCTAGCTAGTGGACAATCTATTTAGTGTCAGTAACTCTAGCTGAAAAGTAACACTAATTGATTGACATTTTCACTAAGTCACAAGTAATGAGATTTAAACTTCGTTGACTGCTTGCAACATCTCTGGCTAACTAGGTGTCCGCACAGATTGGTGATTGACGTATCTACGAATGGACGGCGCTTCACAACAGGGCCTTGTGTGACTGAGTGTGGTGTTACTGAGAAATTATTCTAAGGCAAACATATCGGGTGACTGAGAATTCCTACCCCAGACGAAAGTTTTGTCCAGCGCCAAGTTAGTGTGTCAAGGGTGGCTGCTCAAGGCGCGGTGAAAATTGCACCTCCTCACTCAACATCATAGAATGACCACTATCTGCTGCTAGATACGCCATGCCGCCAACATTTTCCATTTTTCATTTTGAGCAATAGAAAACTGGAATTTGCCAGGTTGGATGTCCACCAGAACACCTGCCGTACATTAGAGAGTCCCAATACACGCTGAGATAAGGATGAGTAGTGGCACACCACTTACAGGCCATGGACGACTGAGCCACCGCCAACTGAGCAGTGGCTGATAAGTACATGGGTGCCTCTGCACCTAGGTACTTAGTTAAGTACCTACTAGGTATATATCCGACGCAATGATTGATTTCACTTCACACCTCGCCGGAGCGATCACTAATGCCACTTCATGTTCCACGAACTTGCGGCCTCTTGTGTAGTTATTCGCATATAACGTAGCTTGGCACTCCCATCAAATACCGATCCCTTAGCTTGGATCACTAATACTCAATCAAGTAGGGATGCAGGATTCAAGATGCGGGTGTCAGCAGCTGCATTTCGAATCCCGCACGCCTCTTTCTTACATATATTTGACACTCTAAGTAGTAGTAAGTAATCATTCAAGCTGACACGATTTTGGGTCCAACGCAGCACTTATGAAAGTTTTGCAATCGAAAATATTGTAATCACCTGTTGTGAAACACTCTCCAGCATCATGCCGCCTAATCATCCATCCGCCTTTCCGTCTTTCAGAGATGCTCAATCATTTCTATTGGATCCTCAACCTTGTGCGGACTTGTATTGAGGCAGCCAAGTCAAAATCCTTGCGCTCAGCAGAATACAGCTTCCACTAATCGGAGGAGGTTTGAATGTGAACACATCGATCGGAACTCGGGGTTTGGTTGGCGAAGCAATTCGAGTTGTAATCATGATGATGCGGCGCGTCTTAGTGGTCTTTGAAATTCTATACTTGTGTTTGTTGCTCAGTACACGGCTCGATCATCGAGACCACTCTATTTGGCACAATCACCTAGCCCAGAAAGCTTCCAGGATATGAGGAATCATCATGTTGTGATGGGAACTCGCCATTCAAATGCTGCAACTTGGCAGCGGACCGCATATTGGCAGCAGTTGAGTGGGATCAAGATCGGGTACCAGACGATCAGTAATACACCTAGGGCCAAACTTGACACTCCGGGGGCTCGATTGAAATGGTGCATAGGCTGCAGAACTCATATATGTGGTTTCGCTTCTATTCCGTATACATCCGAGGACATACATGGCGCCTTCATACGGTGGTAAGCACTCAAGACCCAGCGCTTGGAAAGAACACGATGCCGATAACAATAGTTATAATACGATAGGTGCTTGTGGCCTCAGCCTTGCGACGCACAGACAAGGCTAAGGGGCACCGTCTTGACGACGAGAACTCATATATATACCATCAGTTCGTACTTCTTTTCCCTGAATATATGTCGCGAGCAATCACCGCTGAAGCACACTTTGCACATGCTACCAAAACATCGCCAACTTCTATCACCCACCAAAATGCCATTCGGAAATCCAGCAAATGCAGCTTCGGCTGAGGAGCTTCTGCATCGGAACAAGTATGCAACTGCGCAGAACAGATAAGATTGTGGTGGAAATGTTCTGATTTCGTGACAGGGATGCTGCCAAAGCTCATCAACCCGAGCCTCTTCTCGAAGAGAGGCCCACAGGTTCCCCAAAACCCAAGACGTTCATTTGTTAGAATATTGACGACCCTCTCTAATAATAGACTTAGAGGCTGACTTACTATCGTCAGTCTGCTGTTTCGATCCACGTGTGGATCCCACCACCTTCCTTGGGCTCAATCCTTGGGGTTAGGCATCCCATCTTCGCTCCTAGCAGAAGCACAATACCCTCGTGGTAGATGTCTCAGGTGGCCACGTGCCTAACTTCACGACACAGATCTCTGTTGCGTGTGAGTTTGCTAACTCCATGGGATCAATATAGATGCGCTCGTCGTGAGAAATGCGGGTGGCGCTGTCGGTCCGGGCGTCCAGATGCTCCCCCTAATGGACCATTTCCTCGGCACACTAGAGGACATTTTCGTGATTCAGCACACTGGTGCGTTGCCTATCAAAATCATTACCTTATACTTACATGCTAATATAACACAGACTGTGGTGCGTTGCACATGACCGAGGACGACGTAAAGGGCTATCTGAGAGATCGACACCTGGGTGATGACGAGCAGATCGACAAGCTTGTTTTTGGGGTTGGGGATGTGTAAGTGACGTTCATCTCACAATTAGACAGGGTCTTAGATCTCGGGGACTATTCTATTCTGACTGGAATAACAGGCTCGAGCAGCGCGTCCGTGACAATGTCAAACTCATCAAGGAGTCACCTTTTGTCCGCGAGGAGCTCAAGGCTCGCACCAAGGGACTAATCTACGATATCAAGACGGGTGTCCTCAGTGAGGTTCCGTAGAGTCTCTGCCTTCTACGAAGTTACCTCAATGAGTGTATCTGGAATATCTGTTTTCCTTTTCACACACGTTTGTGTCATTGAGCTTTCATTCCTTCTGCGAGTTGAATTGTTATATCTTGGCAACGTCGCTGGGAGGCAGAGGGTCCGGGACATTCCACCATGACTTGAACCTGAAGATGCGTATCATCGGTCAATCTCCACCCCGTGTCCAGTTCTGTGCTCTTGCGGGACCACAGCCGGAGAAGGTGCTATTACATAGGCTCCAATGTTGAATACAGTCATGGACGAGAATGTTCAAGTGCTATTCGCCGTGGTATGTGCTAAGCTGAGCACCTGGGCATATGTTCCACTTCAGTGTTGCTACCGTCTGCATCCACCACAGCAAGCTGGCGGGCGTTTGGCCACTTCTTTGTAGAACATGCATCCTATCGGGTAATATCCGCGTTCACGGAACAACTGCGGCAAGACACCTTTGGTGCCTACGCAGATGCGGTGGCATGCAGTTCTGCAAATAATCTCCGCAGAAACAAATGCTTACCCGATCCTAGGCGCAGAAGGTCGGGCTTACCCTTGTTGCACGCCACCTGTGGTAAATCTATTTGAGACAGACCGGCTACGGTCTGGATCCTTTGTCATTCTACACCCCAGCAGGTAAGGAAGGGATTAAATCCGAGCAGGGAGTCGAATTTTCCGAGTACAACGGGGAAGACCAAGCACTGAGGAGCTGCGAAATAGTGAACGGACCTCTGTACTAAATGTCACCTCGGTCATCTTGAGGGGCATATACCGAGATGACTACTGCTACAGTAGACTCGATCGGGTGGCAACGCCTAGATGGCCTAGATCTTGCAAACCTCAGCTTGAGATTACTTGCAGCTGCGAGCTTGGACATCGCAACAGGGTGATGCTAGTGTAGATTGGAATGGAAGTGATGGTCTCACGATGTCTGCACGGACAAGCCTGCTGAGCATAAATGCTGATGAGCAGAGGTTGGCGCCAGCTGCTCAGATCTGTTGGGCACACTCCTAAAACGCCGGCCAAGTATCGAGAGTGGGACTGGGAGGTCAAAGCATGTGAGCACAGAATGGCCGTCTGCTTCAATCTCCGTCTTCATCATGCGCCTTGAGCAAGGACGTGGTGGTAGTCGAACGGTTTCATTTGTCGCTTCAACTGTTTCCCTGGCAGGACGTTCTGTCTTCTGGTGTGCGTATTTTCAAATGTTGGCACAAGCTTGGCGGGGAAATGAATCGGAGCCGCCGCAAATGCGACCACGGGCTCTGAGGGCAATATATTTCTCGAAATTGGCATGTTATCTATTCTCACATATTACCAGAATCCGAGCCTCGGCGTTTAAACCCAGGTAACATGACGGAAGTCAGGCGGCATATTGATCGGGGTGAAGATCGAGGAGGCTCGCGCAGGGTCTAGAACGCAACACAACGCAGAGTACTCTAATTTCTGGCTACCCAGGCAGACAACGGGAGTGATGGGGTGCGCAGGTAGGGCTGACCATGCACGTCCTCGCAGCACAGTGGATCCCAAGTGAGGAGCCGGGGGCTGGCTGTGACACATGAGTCGTAGCACCTGGGCAGAGGTCACTGGCAAATTGCAGCAAGCGCTGCCCCGGAGCTGAGGTCATCGAGGTTGCTTCCCGGCAGCGAGCTCGCGCAAGGATGGCTGGTCCCTTGCAGGAACAGTTCATCTCATGTTGGGCTCATGGAAGGCATCTCAGGCCGTGGCCCCCTGTCAGCACCGGGTTGCCGCCTGGGCGGCTGGAGGCGGGTGGGATACCCCTGAGTCGGCTCATTTGACACCACCACATGGTGAAACGAGTGCGGAAATGAGCCCCCAGATTGCGGTCAAAATAAACTCATGTCGATTCGACTCGCCCACCACTCCTTCCGCCGGCTGCACGCTAGTCGAGGCCCCTCGCGTACGTAGAGATTGTTTCCCCCACCACGAGTGATTGAGCAACTTTGAACGGATCCAACTTGCGGATGCCCGGCACTGGGCAGGAGATCTCCGCCTTCTGCCCATTATTAGACTCAAGTGCTATGCTGTGGTTTGATGGCTGCCGCCAGTCTCGGCGCCCCCCGTAGTTTATTGTGTACCTAAGGTCCCCTCATCATGATTTGCGCGGCAGGATCAGATCACGCTGTGTCCCGACGGCGCGGCACACCTGCCATGTCCCGGGCGGATGCCGATCCGCCAATCCAAGATGATCCAAGATTCATGGCGTGCCACCAGCCGATGTGACTCGGAAGAGCTAGATCCCATGAGAACAGGCGAACATACTAGGCCACAATTTGGCTGAAACGCACAGCTGCCCCAGTCGTGTTAAATGAGTGCGCGAAAAAAAACCACCTCCAACCCTTGCTTCGGCACACTGAGCTGCCCAGGCTGGACAAGGCTTGACAAGGCCCTCTGCTCGACGGGAAAGCAGAGCGAAGAAGCAAGAAACCCAGCTAATTCATATTATTCCTGCACGGTGTGATGACGTGCCCCGCCCTGCCCCAGATATCCCAAGCCCCTGGATCCCGGGCGGCATCACACCCACACTCAGATACAAATCTACCGCGGGCCCGCGATGCCTCCATTGTTAGATTCCTTTCTGGCCTCACCCACTGAGCAAGCCTCATAGCGTCTGTCTCTCCTTCAGCCCATCGGCACTCCGACGTCACGACACTCTTTTGAAAAAAAAACATTCCACCCGCGGCAGCGCCAGCTTGAACAAAATACTCCGGATATCACCGTCGAGTCACTACAGCAGACCTCACCTCACGATCCTCTCCGGCACAAAAACCACACAGTCAAGATGCAGTTCTCAACTCGCTCAGCCCTAGTGGCCCTCCTCATGGCCGCCGATGCCATGGCATGCGGCAAGGGTTATCACCGCAAGCACCACAAGCACACGACTCTGTCCACCTCGACCCTGGTCGCAACTACCGTGCCGTCGTCTACCCCCGTTGCCGAGGCCCCTGCGATCCCCACCATCCTTCCCCCAGTCGTCGAGAGCCCTGCGCCGTCGCCGTCGCCGTCGTCGTCGTCGTCTTCGATCGTCATCGAGCCCAGCACGACCTCGTCGTCCACCGCGGCCTCTACGCCGACCGCGCCTGCCACATCCGGCCTCACCGCCGACGAGCAGGCGGCCCTGGACAGCCAGAACAACGCCCGTGCCGAAGTTGGCGCTACCGCCCTCACCTGGGACGCCGGCCTCGCCGCTGACGCTCTGGAGTGGGCCCAGCACCTCGCCTCCACGGCTGGGTCCTCCGGCACGCTGACTCACTCCGACACCACCTCGGACGGTGAGAACCTGTACTGGCAGAGCAACTCTCCTTCGCCCTACGCCAACGCCGCGAACGCCTGGGTCGGTGAGAAGAACCTCTACAACGGCGAGCCCATCACCGGCTCCGGCAACTTCCATGAGTACGGCCACTACACCCAGGTCATCTGGGCCTCGACCTCCAAGGTCGGTATGGCCGTCGCTGATGACGGTGCCGGTGGCTTCTACGTCGTCGCTCGCTACAACCCTGCGGGTAACATGTAAGCAGCCATCCTGCAATTTCTTCCCGGCTGTCCAAGAATATACATACTGACATGGTGGAACCAGGATTGGCGAGACCCCCTCTTCGGGTTAAGTCTTCTCTCTTTTTCGAAAGCATGTTGCATATGCCAGCGATCGCTCGGGCTCCAGTGACGCGGCATCTGGGAGGCACAAAGCGTTGACCGCGTAGACGTCAAAAGGTTCTTTCTTGGGGATCTTGCCCTGGTCAAGACCAAAACCACAATTCAAAACCACACCAAAGATGGCTTTCATCGTTTCGGGGATGGAAGAGTTGGAAGACAGCTCTCGTCCTAATTGCGCAGGCCTGTTCCTTCGCAGGACGGCCCCGCAAACCTTTTGTTTCGTTCATTCTGTACATATTTGCATTCCACGATCATCACGAACGAGATCACGTTGACATTATGAAGTCGGCAACTGTTTTGTCCGCATCCTCTTTTTGGTGACTGGTAGTAAACGTGACACGTGGAGAGAGAAGTGTTGGTCGCTGCCAGTTGAAGAGAGACGCGTTGCGGTCAGGATCTTCAGGTGCTCTGGCGCGCGTGGGTGTAATTCCGCCCCTTGGCACTGGTGGTCTACCTAACGTGTACATACCTAGAAGTCTGCAGGGTTACCCTGGGCCGTCATAATGGCGTTACCTGTGAGGTCCACCCAATCTCCGGGTTACATTGACTATGTTCATGCAGATTTCGAGCCGCAACGATTTCACTCTACATCCATGGATGTTTGAAAGATGGAATATGGGAACATCGAGCGAATTGAGCGCTGTTTGTTGTTGGGTTGAAGTGTTTCAGTTGTAGGGATTTGGGTGTCTGCGGGTAACATCCCATGGTATATGTAAGGTCAGAAATCCAACCTCGAATACCATCCAGACAGCAGCCTCGACAGCAGCCTCTTCGAGGATTACGCTGCGTCGTAAGCGAAGATAAGCAAAGAGCTCGTGTTATCTCACAAGGTCTGAGCGATAAATTCTGAGAGAAATGTGCGTGTTGTACTCAGTGCACAGGTAGCCTTGCAGATTCGAGGCGTGGAGGAGCCGGTCTTCCGGATTTGTTCTGCTTGACTAGCAGTGAACTCGGGGGGACATGTCCGCCAGGCTCCGAGAGCCTCTGCTTCACTCACTGCTGATGAACCTCCTTCGAATGTCACTTGCTCTTTGATATGTTGCCTGCAACATCACACTGCCACAGGACATATCGACACCTCCTCGTTGAGACTATTGTGATAACTGACTTAAATCTGTTCCGGCCACCGGCCCGGTGGCCGCATGCGCTGGATTGATAGCGAAGAGGACCTCAAAAGTCACTCTGGCCTGTGCGCCAACTTGGCAACACGGGGCTGCGTGCGGATCCGCAACGAAGGCGGATACCTCTCGGTATCAATACTACTACTCCAGGGGGTTGGCAGAGTGGATGCCCCGATGCCAACCCGCGGGAGCCGGACGCAGTACAGAGCTCCGCTGTTTTGATTGCTACACCGACATCTGTATTCGATGTCGGGTTATCTTGACCATACGGGAAGCAACTGCTGGAGCATCGCAGGACGGCCCAGAGCAGGTTGTCTGGCAGCCAGGGATACACGTCTCGTCGCTGAGTACCTAGGTAATTGTCAGGTAACACGTTGCGATTAGTTTTCGCCACTGCGGAACGATATTGGAGTCGCCTGGGTCGCCTCATCCATCAAAAGAATCCATTCTCACGTTCCCAAATTCTTCAACTGCATGCAACCCAGCGTGGCTGTCTTGGACCTACCATTTATACTCAGCTGATGAGAAGTGTTTCCCTCCCGTCAAGTCTGTCCGCGGCTCGTGCCGTGGACCTGGGACAATTACGTACCATGACACTTGTTACACTGGATAGGTATAGAAGCGCGAGCGGAAGTTTTACCATGATTGCGGTCAAGCCAAAAGCGGCTGTACACTATTTCTTACAGGGGCATCAGGCAACGTGGCCCAGTAACAGTAATGTGTGTCGTGTAGTCCGATACGTGTCTGGAATCTGCACACACAAAGATCGACAGCGCGTCTCGGAGCTCTCATGCAGGCCCCAATATATGGCTGGATTGAGCAGCAGTCCTTGTCTGGCTGACTGGTTGACTGGTTGACCCGGATCCGACGATGGGGGCTGGCGTTCCCAACATCAAGTCTCACCCCTGCTCAGCTGCAAGAACAGATCCTATCAGGGCTTCCCAAGCGGTCTTTGTGGCGACTCTTCCGGCTGGACGCAGTGTGCAGGCGACGGCTCCCTGAACAACTGACACCCAACACCCTCCCACACGTCTACAGCCTTGTCTCTAATGATCGACGGCCATCTTTGATGCTGCTTTCCTTGAGCTAACGACGCTGGAAGAGTAGTTCGCTCCGCAGTGACGAAGCTTTATATTAAAACTACAGCGTTTCCAGAAATAAGAATGCATCCGTTCGAATGAGGAACTGTACTTCCCTTCCCCCCCTCCCTGTTGGTTTCTTTTTTTTTTTTTAAAAAAAAAAAAAAAGGAGGAAATCTGTGTTTTTGATCCCCAAGAGCTCTCTCAACCACGGAAGGCCAGTGCTTACCAGGGTGTGATTTCCGGCGCACGTGAGTGTCAACAAAGTTCCGGCGGTGACAGCTTCCTCGCAGATCTTGGCGGCCGCTTAGGACGGACCGTTTGGGGCACTGGCCTCATGGGAAGCAACAGTTACTGCGGCCACTATTGATCGGACAGCCTTAATGGCCCCCTAGAGAACGTCGCACCCAGCGCCCCTCGGCACCTAGTGATATGTCAAATGCTTGGTCTAGCTGGAATCGGTTCATCGACCCGAACAATCGCACGGCTTAGCGCAGGGCGAGGTATGGGGCCTGGCCATGGATGGGTACACGCATACCTTTGCAGTGCGTCCACTGGTGATGCTTACATCCAGATGTCAATGTGTCCTTGGTTTCTACCGCGCCCTTTGGTTTCAGAAAAAACTACTCTGGTCTCGGCAAATCCCGCACATCTTCGAGATTCCTTTTCTTCGTGGCGTCCAGCGCTGGGCCACTGTTGTTGGCTGCTTGGGTCCTCAAGCCCGGAAACCGGGCAGAGGCTATCAAACGCCACATCTTCCGTGTCAAGCATTGCTGGCTTTCCGGCCAATCGTCGTGATTCCATGCTCTTTCCATTAGATGGGTGCTTTTGTGCCTTCTTCCACCGATAACGCGGCTCGTCGGTCTGTTTCAGTTTCAGTCCACACTCCCATCTGTGCCCGTCCAATCCAAGGCCAGGATTATGGGGGGCTACGGTCTAGCCCGCAAGAAGAAGCGAAGGGAAGATGGTGGGGATAATCCATCCACACCTCGACCAGACCTGCAAGTGATAAATGATTCCCATGATGGTTCGGAAATTCGATGTACCCTCCAGAATGCTTGATACTCTCAATGCCTCTCGTACTCGCACGTAACAAGACGCATTGCCTTCCAAAATTGGTAGCAGAGGATTCGAAGACTTGATCTGTAATAATGTTATAAGCCACCAACCAAACAGTGTTGTTCGGGATCGTTTACTTCATTGGGGCATGATCGCCTGGCCATCAAAGACAATTCTGTGACCCCCACTGTTCCTTGGGTGCTCATTTTGCCACACTCATGTTTGGCTTGAATCGCCGAAACGGCTTTCTGAGTCCGAAAGACACCCCAGGGGTCGATTGTTCGCGTATGCTTCCCTCTTTCAAATTGGGGTCCTATCAGGTAATGAGTCTCCCGTCTTATTAGTCGTCGGCGACCCTTACCTGTGTACGTACTTCGGCGTACCAATTTACGCCCGATGGGACAAGCTAGGAGAAGCAAAGCACTTGAGTCCAGGGAAGTCCAGCCGCAATGCCAGCGGTGGTTGGAGCGCATATAGTCCATATGCAGACTGCAAAGGACCTGAGGACCTGCAATTCTGCAATGTACTGCTCCATCCGGTATAGCTCTCGTTTCTCGAGACGTTGAGCCTCAACGGTTACGACCAACACATGCAGGCATTGCGGCCCAGCCTGGGGCGATCGCTGTTGGCATCCGCTTGCCCAAAGTCACGTCTTACTCTGTTGCCCCAGCTGCATGAATAGAGGGGCTGAAGGGGGACACCCTGGCCAAGGAAGAAGCAGAGACAGTGCATAGTGGCAAGTCAACAACCCGATCAGCAACTAGTAGCTTGGGTCTAGAACCTCACGTCCCGTGGCTATTCTTGCTTACGGTTAGGCCACATGCAGATCGACCCAAGCCGGCTCGCGGCAGTAGCACTACTCTGGAGCCCGATCCGCGAATCCTGAATGGATGGCATTCCATCGGATGGCATTCCACAATCCCATGAAGCAATATCTGCCACGGCAGGGTATGTGAGGAAATCTCGATCTGCATATCCATGGGAAGTCGGACTTGCGTGGATTTCAATGTCATCTGAGACAGGGATCGGCCTGATCAAGGAAGGGGGTGTCTTTATTTGAGTACATACCCAGGTGGTGTCACTGTACCTCTCTTGTTCAGCATATGCACACCGACGGCAACTTCCATCATTTCGATCGAAGGCAACAGGCAGTCAAGTTCAAATCAACTCGCCCTTTAATTTTTCATCATGGTAAGAGCCGTTCAACCCCCTCGTCCCCTTCCCTCAGTCTTCCTGTGCTCGATGGAAAGCCTTCTCCACCTACCTTAGAGATCGGCTGATAAGGCCCAAACCTGAATCACGATATCTTCAGGCAGTTTCAAACTCCCCTGGAGGTGTTTCCATTTCAATCTGCGCTGGTCATCGTTATAGTCGATTATTCTTGTTCGCGCCAATGAGTGTTGACAAACTCTGAACGACTTGTATTAGGCATTCACTTCACGCCGTCGTTGGCACTACATCCGGAGAATTTCGTCTAGTGCCACATAGTTGCATAGTGCTAGTCTAGATCTTTGCAGATCCACATCTGGTCCTGTATCCATGGCCTCACTTGTTGAGCAACCCTGGCGACGGCCGGTCGTCAGTGGGCCTTCACCCTCGTCCCCAAAGAATGTCCACTGTCTCTCAGGAGGAGCAGAAAACCTCGACAACAAGCGCCAAAACCTTGGAAAGCCTCCTTCCCCTCCTCGAAGTTCTAGCCCTACTTGTCCACCTGCAAAAGACGTGGACTCTGACTCGTCCGATGGCTCTATACCGAACACTCCACCACGGCCGACATCGTCTAGCACAACTAGATCTAACGTGTGTTCGGACATAACAAAAGGCAGGAAGGGAAGCCTCTCGAGCTCTCTCCCTTCAGCTGTTCCCCCAGCAGTAGGAGACGCTGCGGTGCATAGAACACAAGTCCGGCAATACCATGTTGTCGAGCGGGATTGGAACGATATCCACGATACCACTCATGGACTTCTTCCCACCATCCCATCTCCCCAAAATGCGGGAGGGAGTAGGGAAAATGGCGCCGGTGACAATACGACACGCATCACCCTGCCGTCCCTTGACATACCGAGATACAGGACCCACTCGGGCACTCAACACCTAGTCAACAATACTCGCTCTCCAGACTCAACGCCGTCAACTAGATCATCCTCCAACAGCATCGCCGACAGCACCCGGAGAGCATCTTTTGCGTCGGAAAGAACGGGTTGGTCGTCCTCTCCACCCATCTTGATGCCACCGCCTCCGTTGCCACCGCAATCCTACACAGCACAGCTAGATACCTACGCTCGCGTTGCAGAGAAGGCGTCGGGCGTACCTCGAGCAAACCCACTCTCGGTCTCCGAATTAATTCACCGGGAGGCCATCGGCACACACCCCCAGCCGACACCGCGCACGAGTACCCCCGCAGCCACTGGCGACCGACTTCCGTCCCTCATGAACGAGTTTGTAGAGGTGTTAAACATCTACGAAAGGGTATCAGATGTCGACATGTCCAAGTTCCTTGAGGAGCTTAACTACCAGCTGTCCCTAACGGGTCTGCTCCGCGAGGCGCGCGAGCACATCTGCAGTAGCTTCGAGCTCGGAGACAGACAGCGCAGCACCTTCACCACATATACTAGGGCCATGTTGAGGGCGGAGATCGAGCCGGTGCGGGGCATGCGTGAGGTTGTTGCCCGGGCGGTGGTGGGCATGAGCCAGCGGGAGATGGGCCGATTCGAGGAGGAGGTTGGCCACATGATCGACAACAGCCAGTATCACCCCACCAGCCCGTACCGCGAGGCCATCTGCTGCGCGGCGTACGCGGCCAGGTTCCCCGAGGACCAGCTGGAGGAGCTCAGGCGGCAGCTCAGGAGGACGCCGTTGGCCGCGTTCCAGGCCAATCGGCAGCGGCAGCAGCAGCAGCAGCAGCAGCAGCAGCAGCATCAACCGCACAGCAACAGCAGCGCCGCGGGAACTATTGGCCAGCAGCAGCATACGAGCATCCACAACCTGCCGCCGCCGAGGGAGTGCGAGAAAATCGTTGAACCCCGGCGGCCTGGGGCTGGCGGCGCCACGGGCCGCAAGGATCCGCCTCGACCTGTGAATTATAGCCTGAGGGAGTTTCCCATACTCTCAAGTGGCTGAGGTGGCGCAAGCCATGTCTTCGTTTGACGTGTGAGGAATGAAAACTTGCTCAACTAGGCTGATTGGGGAACAGCGGTCTGCCGTACTTCCACTCGTCTGGTCGACATGCCTGGAGGCTGGAAAGACAATGCGTGTTGCATGTGGTCAAGGGTGCTGGCGTACTGGCGGCTAACAAGGTATTTACGAATAATGACAATTTTCGGTTAGAATACATGAGCCATGGAGTAACATGGTGCTGTCCTTGGTTTGGGATATTTGCCTAGGTACCAGTTGACAGGCCTTGCCTTTGCCCCGGTAGTTTTGGATCGTAACCGGTCACAAAGCTTGCCTTGATGGCTCCAAAACATGATACACAGGGGCAGCATCTCGATGAGTTGGTCAGTGAGACTTGGGGCTTGATTGCCAGCCCGTACCAGCGTCTTCCCGTAAACATGCAATGCACCGGTGACGAGTCCCCCCCCACCCCGAAGTAATAGACGTTGAAGTGGACCGGTTGAGCAGTGACCAACAATGCTTTGTTGGACGTGCTGCTTCTATCTTAATGCTGAACCTCAAGAATTACTGCTGGATTAAATTGCACACGGGATGTCATGTGTATGGGTCAAGGAGCCTGCATACTTAGGTATGGCAGAGCAGGGCTGTCCCATCATATAAGAAATGAATGCATGTTTGGTGTTGACTACCTTCAGAACCTTGGAAGAGGTTTCTGCCCCGGGGTCGCGGCACAAACTCGATGGAAATATTGCAGTGATAAAGTTTGGTCACACTTATCATATTATACCTATAGTTATCGACATAGTGTCCTTTTCAAGCGCTGGGTCTTGAGCGCTTACCACCGTATGAAGGCGCCATGTATGTACTCGGATGTATACGGAATAGAAACGAAACCAACCCATAGTCTGGTCAGCTTGTCAAGCAAGTTCGACCAACAAGTGTCCAGGCCACGGTTGCGCACCTCTCAACACTATATTGTGTGAGATTCAGAAAATGATCATCTTGACTGCGCACTACGATCGCATATGTCGTACCAGTTGACACTACAAGCAGCGCCTAGAACATAGACTATCGCGCTTACGATGGAGAGCTTGGTCCACCCATAAAAGGGGCGGCTCCGCAATATGATCGACGGATAACCATACTTCATGGCATGCGTTACGAGACTTGGCACCATCCCCACGTTAATCTTTCCACGGCAGGACCATTGCTTGCGGAGATCAGTCAGTTCGGTAAAGTGAATACGGATGTTCTCACGTGTCCCCGGGTCCCCAGTGATCGTCACTCGCGACTCCAGTCGGGTGACACGTCTGTTTGGAAGGCAGACGATCCAAGGAGCCTGACATCTGGACCGGTACTGAAATTCAGATCACACTCGGTCCACGGTGCGACGGCTGGCCACAAAACGATAAGCGTGGGTGGAGAACCTTGGGATATCTTTCACCTCGACAATTCACCAAGTGAAGCACTAGTTTTGATGAAAGGACTCTGCAAAAGGAATATTTGAATTTGACTTGCTGGAGTAAAATACACCTCCTCGATAGCATCAGGGTCAACTTGAACTTGTATCAAGATATATAGGTAGGTAGAGATGGCCGTCCCCGGTAGGTGGGTGGTTGACTTTGGGTCCAGGGGGGGAGGCTATCATGAAGATCAGGGTTCGGGGAGGACAAAAATGACTTGAGCGATACTGTGTACCGGTAGGTAGAGACTTCTGCACTGAAAAGGATCGTCCCGCCTGCCTGCTGCATTCTTTGAGGCTGAAAGCACCGGGGAGCCGACATCCAACCCCCCAGCCTCCCAGCCTCCCTTGTTGCGGTCAGAGAACTTGCTCGCAGCCAGCGCATCCAGACCTGAGCCAGGAACACAAGTGCGGATGCAGGAACAGATGCAAATGCAAACGCAAATGCAGGTACAGCGGGGTCGCCCCACAGTCTGGGAGCCGGACAGCCAAACAACAAGGACCAGCGGGCACAGGGAGCCAGGAACAGGGCGCATGAACAGACAATCAAACCTACTGTCCCACAAGGAATCCAACATCAGCAGCCCCACGATCACCCACGATCACCCACCCAACCCACGATACCAACTCTGCGGCCTGCCAGCTCAGCAGCTAGCAGCAGCTGCGCCCCTGTTTCCCAGATGCCAGATGCCAGACAGCCAGACAGCCCAGGCCCACCAGCAAGGCGACGACGGGCCGACAGAGTGGAAATTCCCCGAGCTCATTTCCTCACCACGCTTCCAAAGGTCCACAGAACCTGTTCTGCAGCAGGCTTGATCGCCTCGGTTCCCTCGCCAGTCACAGTCAGCCAGTCCGTGCAGCCTACACATCAAGGCCACTCTGCAGGCGTGAGCGCAGGCCCACGGCTGGCTGCCTCTGAACATCCAGGCCGTGGCACATGACGAGATGACGACAGACCCTGGCGTGGAGGATCGCACTCGAGTCGATGGGCACAGCACAATCCTCTCGGATCCAACACCATCTGTCTCACGGGCGAAGAGCTCACCTGGGCATGCTGTCAGGAGAAAAGCAATGACGCCCCTATTCCCAAGAATAATGGCCTTCTGGTTGGCCAGCTCCCGACGGCAGCGGCGTTATTTGCGTGCTGTTCCCCAAAAGTGGGCTGAGATGGCTTTCGCCGATGCCGTTAGATTTGGGACAACATCGGTAGTGTTCCACATCACAGTACCTATTTTTACTAATGAATTCCGCCGTCTTTTTGGGCCTCGGTGTTGGTTCACTTGGCAGCGGACCTGATGCGACTCATTCGCCACCACTTTGTTTTGGTGCTCGCCAGAACTTTTCAATTAAAGTTACGGACACGAGCCCTGGCCAACGGGGTCTCGGTTGACCCGGCAAGCGAACACTGCCGCTTCCCAGTGTGCCAAGGTCCAGAAGCCTCTCCCTACCCATTCTCCTGATGCGTTCCGTTCCAACTGGATGCGGCCACTGCAAGTGTGGTGTACTGTCTGCAAAGGCTTGCCCGTGGAAGACCTGATGGGGGTGTCCAATAGTTCACGCTCACAATTCAGAGTCTGTTCGCACCAAGCGAGACCTGTCATCCGATCACAGTATGCCCACCTAAATCGAGGGATAAGCTTATTCGACAGACACACGATGATCACCGCGTCGACTCACATGCGCAGACACAGGAACGGTGCACGGGCCCAGCCAGACCAGACCAGACCAGAAAGCCAGCCTTAAAAGCTTGCTCACCTACACAGTAGGTACCCAGTCTCGGCACAGGCAGAGCCCGCCCTGACCGTTGACCGCCCGGCCCGTCTCAAAGGCGTGATTCGCCAGCCAACGTGCGGCTGTTCCCTTGAGTGTTGTTTACTACGGCTCATTATTCAATCATATTGGACAATATGACGGGCCAGCAGGGGAAATTGCGACGTAAAGCCTGGCAGACGGTGGACGGGCAGACGGGCAACGGGGAGGGTCCTACTCTTCCAATTTGCCCCTGAATCTTATTAGCGCAGTGGCCCGGGCTGTGCCTGGGCCGAGTCATTTCTCACCAACGCAATGGATGACCCCTGAACACCCCCCGCATAAGCCAGATGCAGGCCCCTCCTTACACTGGCGCCCGCCATACACACTACGACGACGGCATCCACCTGACTGACGGGCGAGGCGCCGACTGAGGCGCCGACTGAGGCGCAGAATCCCAAATAAATCTCTCGCCCCAGCGACGACGGCCATCTTCCACGACGCACTTCCTTCCTGCCTCTTCAACCCCGAAGTAGAAACCGGTCTTGCATAATCACCCGGAATCATTCACCAGTCACTCTTTTGAATCGAATTAGTATAATTCAGCCACTCTTTAATCACCACCCTGCTACTTTCCAGCTCGCACTGCTCAACTCGTCTTCAGTATCCAACAGAATATAATTCATAAAAATCAGCCAAAATGCAGGTCACCATCACCGCCGCTACTCTCCTCGCCTGGGTCTCCGCCGCCCTCGCCCAGACCGCCGGCTTTGACCCTATCACCACTCCTGCCAAGGATGAGTCCGTCGCCGCTGGCTCTACCTACACTGTCAAGTGGGACTACTCTGCCGACTACGCCGGCACCGTCTCGATCCAGCTGCTCCAGGGCGCTGACCCCACCACTCTCCAGCTTGGACCTGTCGTTGCCAGTATGTCACCTCACCTCGCCATGGATTCAATTTTGTAAATCAGACAGTCACTTACACATATATCTCTAGGCGGCCTTGACAACAGCGCCGGCTCTTTTGCCTGGGCTGTCGATGCCGGCCTCGGCGCTGACGCCACCTACGGCCTGAAGATCACCTACGACTCCAACCCCGAGGTGTTCCAGTACTCCTTCCCCTTCCACATCGCCCAGGCCGCCGCCGTCAGCTCTGCCGCCGCCCCGGCCACCACCGCCGCGGCCGAGGTCCCCGCCAACCAGGGCGGCGCCGCCGAGTCCACCATCTACTCGACCGAGATGATCACCATCACCTCGTGCGCCGCCACCGTCACCGACTGCCCGGCCCGCTCCACCGTGACCAGCTCCACCATCAGGCCCGTCACCACCGGCGGCTCTGAGGCGAGCGCCCCGGCCCCTTCGGCCCCGGTCCCCGCCCCTAGCGAGGTCAACGTCCCTCCCCAGCCCCAGACCACCCTCACCCCGGCCTACCCCGTCGGCAACGGCACCACCCCCGGCGGTGCCGTCGGAACCGTCACCCTCAAGACCTCCTCTGTCGCCGCCGGCACTGGAAACATCCCCGCCCCTACCGCCACCGGCTCCGTCCCCGTCACCGCCAACGGTGCCGGCCGCCTCGCTGCTGGCTCCGTTGCCTTGGTTGCCGGTGTCATGGCTGCCGTCTTTGCCCTGTAAGATGGGTTAAAAGATGCAGGAATCTTTTTTCTGAGGAGACAATTGGTTATTTGGAGGCTACGTGGAACATAATGTTTGGATACCCATCCCTAGACGCCGCCGCCAGGCAGACAGGTCAATTTTGAATGAAGACGATTTTCGGTGTGACCTGATGCTTCCAGGAACTGTGAATGTGTGACGACGGTGCTGTCGGACATGATGTGATGATCTATACCGTGACTTTTGCGGAGTATTAAAGGTGACTGCCGCACATGTCTGCAATGTAAGCGATCTTTTTAGGTAGGAAGATGGGAACTGCGGTCTTGTGTATCACAGGGCACTGTTGAGTCTCGAGGCAAAAAGCGAAACAATCATTCAAAAAGTGAAACAATCATTGAACTCAAAAGTCAAGCTGTGTCCACGGTGGCTCCGCCGATATTCTCGTAGAACCATCTCTTCGAAGTCCGAGGGACAAAGGCGGAAGCTTTCAACCACTGTATCAAGTAATCATGAGCTGACTCCTTCAACCAGCAAGCCATGCCTCAATTACCAGCCCACATGGCTCCGAGCCTCCATTCCATTTCGGGTCGACATTCAATAATGTCCACCGACGCAGTTCGTGCTCCTTGCACGGATGGTTGTTTTTGTCCCCAAGAAGGGTATCAATTCTTCAGGTGCCCATCACATATTGCCAATCAGACAGAACCCGGCTCAGCGGGCAATTTTGAGATCATAGTGTCCAGCAAGGACTTGATCCAGGGACGGGCGCAGCTACCACACCATTTCACGAATCCCACTGAAAACGGATCCAGCGTCATGTCCCACAAGTCGTTCTGCGCGAGATTGCACGTCCTAAGGTTTCTGTTACAATCGAAACAATGGCGGTTTTGCACAATGTCAAACGGCACCGTAGCATCCACGAATTGCTCGGTGGGCTTCGTGAAATGGAGGGCAGTGAATGTAGCGCACATGTCCTTCTGAAATCCGGGAGTCTCCATCAGATCCCCAAAAACGGACTTCGGTACGTGCTTGCGCAGAGCACAAATGGTGACTGCCAACAACTTCTGAATCTCTCGCGCACGAGGGAATTTGTAGGCCTTTTCGATTGCCCTGGAGAAATCAGCGAAGAAGGTGTCATCGTGAGGCTGAGCTTCGCTATCCCTGCCGGGCGTAGAATCGGTCAGCCTGAGCCTGCGAGTGTGGAAACAGCGCAGCACGGCGGTGGTTCGATCGTATAGGTAGTTGTAAACCGCAGTCTCTAGGCTTGGAAGCAGGAAAAAGTCGGCGGCTTGCCACAGAGAGACATTGGTCTCTAGATTGGGGTTTGAGATGACTTTGGCATTGGATGCCAAATGCGGAGTGAATCCTGAAGATGCACACTTAGATCTTGGAAGATGCTTCACTGCATTATAATGCGGAGACTTACGACCCGTGTAAATGAACTTTAAAAGGTCATCAATCTGTTCCGGTTGTTGGTCTTGTAACTGGACTCGGCCTGTCTGTGCTTCCTTCCAATTGTTTGCGAATGCCTTGTCGAACCAAACACAGCCACTTCGAAGAATAAGTCTATGCACCTTCCAGGTTTTTCCCTTGCAGATGATTACTGCGTCCGCAAAATTGCCAGACTTCAGAAGCCTGTCACTGATTGTCAGATCAGGGATGCTACATATGTACTTCAAGAAGTAAGCATTTCAAAGCAGAGAGAAGGCACTCACTCCAGGTTTCGCTTGACCAAAGGGTCAGACTCAGATGCCTCTCCCATCTTGTCAGGATCTTCACAACTTGGAGTTTTGTCCATGGGCTGTTGTGTTCTGAGTGAAGGTACTGAATTGGTCTGGCGCGAGGTTTTGGGGGTAGAGATGCCTTGACCCGTGTCGCCGTGGGCTCGAGTGTTCCGTCGATTTGTGCCGTGGTTTGCGGAGGCAGACTCGTTGACACGTTCTGGAGTAGCAGAAGGTGTCGCTAAAGAAGTCTCTCGGTGACTGAGAAAGTTTGCGAAGATGTGAGATTGCCCATAGTTGAATCGGGCCATTTGGCACTGTTTCCAGTCGAAAATTTGAGCATGTGTGTTCAGCGCGCGTTGCTGCAAAGTGTGCGTGCGTATCTGGCGCTCGAGATTGATGGAAGTCAGCCGCCTGCTTCAAGGCTTAGTCGCAAACAGAATTGCAAAGCTCAAAGGTGCCTGCCCAAAAACCCCACAAATGGTGCCGACCCAATTTGCTTTGTACAATGGCAGGTCTCAGTGGAACTGTTGACGGTGCCTCGTCTGTCTGGAGATGACCGAAGAGGAAAAGTATCTCCGTTTGTCAAGTTCCCTTCTCCACAACCAATCCAAACCCCAGCGTCGTCTTCCGGTACACTTTCACACTTTCCTCTGTAGACTGCGATTGTCCAAACATTTCTCTAATTAAGGTGAATTTGCCATGTTGCCTGCAACTCGGCAGTCGCTGTTCAAGTCTCTAAAGGGTCCTTCCAACTTGACGTCATCAGCCCAGGCACACAAAAGGAATGCCCACAACATCTCAGCTCTGTTGCTGTCGTCACCGCCACAGAGACTACCACAATCCCCCTTCAGCAAGAGCTCGAGACTACCTAAAGCCATGCCATCCACGTCAACCAACCCAGAAGTACGAAGCACCACACACGGCGAGGAGACCATCAAGCAGGAAGAAGCCGCCTGGATGACCGCGGACCCGTACCGGAAGCCCTCAGACGATGATGCCGACTTCAAGGCGGAATGGGAGGGCTCATGTCACTGCGGGGGCATCAAGTACCTACTAGGCAGGGAGAAGCCGTTGTCGTCGAAATACTGCCATTGCGTTGATTGCCAAAGGATGCACGCTGTGAGTGAACGGCCCCCGGGTGAGGCCTTTGGAGAGGCCGCTGCGTTGGTGTGTGTGTGATGTCACAACGGCGTTCTGCTAGTAACTTACAAACATGTCGTCACAGGCTCCGTTCCAATGGGCGGCCATCTTCCACAAGTCCGACTTCCGTTTTCTCAACGGCGCCGAGGGCCTGAATTTCTACTCTCCCTCGCTGAGACGGCCGCTTCATGATCTGCCGTGTAAAGTTTACTGCGATACCTGTCACACCCCTATTATGGACGAGGGGAGGCGGATGATCATGCTGTTTCCTGAGCTCGTCAAGGGTATTCACTCGCAGAGGGGCAAGGAGGCATTTAAGATTGGGGATCACATCTGCTGGGGCGGTCGGGTTGTAGATGAAGGCGTGTTCGATGGGGACGGCGTGAGGAAGTGGAAAGGGGTTGACAAGCAGAGTGAGCTGATTGACGATGGCAAGAGCGGGAAGTTGTAGCGAAATAGACAACATGTTGCGACAGATCTCATCATGAAATTCCCATGAGTTACAACGCCACGCCCACAGGAAGCGCCACGACCTGCTCGTTCGTCAGGTACCCGCAGCTCGCGACCGTCGCAGTCGAACTCCCATCAACAGCAGCCTGGTCCTCAGTGAGACACAGCCCAGACGCACCATTTACCAGGTTGCCCGAGACGAAGTAGTCCCACCTGTTCTCCTTCCCGGCCGCACACCCAGACTCCTGGGACGCAAGCTGGCCATCTGCGCCGGCTGTCAGACATTTCTTGGGGCTCAGAAGACTACTGATGTGGCCGTCCGGCTTGACCTTCCAGACCTGAGCGTCCGAGCCGCTGCAGTTGTACCACGTCATTGCCCCGCCGGCCGAGTCGGTCAGGCAGTGCAGCGAGAACGTGTTGAAGATCATGCCCGTCGGGATGGTGCGGATGGCGTCTCCGGCCGAGGGGTTCGACAGCCGGAAGACGGCCGTGCCGCGGGACGGGACGGATGATGCCTTGATGCCCCCATCTCCAAGGGCTACGGATGTTGTCTGGTTCGTCCACAGGTCCTTGACGTTGATCGAAGACGGGGTGGGCAGTTCGTCGGGGAAGATACCGATGCGGCCCCACGACACTTCCAGGTCCCCGGTGTCGTTGCCGCGGTTGAGAACCGTGACCAGCCGATCGCCGTTGTACAGGCTCTTTGTGAGCACGTCCCAGGTTTCGTCCTGGCTGACCAAAGTCGCCTGCTGGACCAGTGGGTCCTGGTCCACGTCGATCAGGTCTCTGTTTGTGAGGTATTCGACCTCGGCGTCCGTGATGTTCAGCAGATCCGTGCTGAGGATCAATGGGGCCGAGAGACTGCACCACAGGGCAAAGTGGCTCTTTTTCTCAGTAAGTGTGTAGTCGAAATGGTCGACATTGAGGAAGTCTGGGTCATTGAAGTAGCCAGGGCGTTGGAACCTCGCCAGCCGGACCTCCTGGCCATAGTTGAACATGATCGAGTCCCAGCCTGTGATATCCGGCCAGTAATTGGTGCTGTTCCACACCAGCGTGTCTCTCGAGTGCCTCGCAAGCTGGCCGAACTGCGGAACCCACCCCATCACTGCGTACCAGCTGCTGAGGTTGCTGGCCTCGGCAAAGTATGCCGGGGCAGACTCGGAGAACAGCATCTGCTTTGGCCACATGGACGACAGGATATCATGCCACTTCCCATAGACCCTCCTGTACGTCGCCTCGGTAGTGTCTGGCATGTTGCAGCCGTCCAGCTTCAGGTACTCGAACCCCCAGTTCACAAAGTCCTGGGCGTCGATCTCCTCGTAGCCGTAAGCACCAGGATACCCGGCACAGGACTTGTTCCCTGCGTCTGTGTATATGCCAGGGATGAAGCCCTTGGATTTGATGAAGTCGGTGAGCCAATGCGGCCCGCGGGGGAACTTGTTGGGGTCCCAGGCCATGGAGCCGTTGGGCAGGCGCTCCATGAGCGACCAGGCGTCGTCGAGGTTCAGGCGGTTGTAGCCGGCTGTCAACAAGCCCCTGGAGACCATGGCCTCTGCCGTGTCGACAAAGAGGGACTCGTTGAGGCCCTCCATGTACCTGGCCCAGTTGTTGAACCCCATGGGTGGCAGTGGGGAGAGCACGCCAGGGGGGCTGAAGCCTGCCGCAGCAGGACTTGCGAGGAGGAGCTGGGCCATTGCGAGGAGCATCACGTATCTGCGTGTGAGGTTTTGGTGATACAGCGGTCACTGCAGAGAGTCGACGAGACCAAGGGAGGGAGAGATAGAGCTGGTGCCACTTGGAAGGGCCTCACAGATGCCGGCGACTGAGATTAGCCAGCATTCTAATGTTGTGTGATCGAGCCATACTCCGTAATATCCTCAACTCATCAAGCTAGCTGCCTGTCTGTTGGACCATCGATGCATGTATTGAATGCACGCATGCAGACGATGGGTTCCGGTCGAAGCTCAGTGGTCGCCTGGCTGAAAGGGAGGGTCGGGGATGCGCTTAGAGCCCCTTTGAGCGGGGTCCCCCATCGTATCCGACCTGAACTGCCTGATTACAGCCGGGCCAGCGGTGGGGCTGCCGGTTAGCAGTGCCTGAAGCCATGAGCAGGCAGCCAGGGCAGCATCGTGCAGCAACGCAAGCCTGTAACGTTCCATGCATACACGATGATGACTTGCAGGTGCGTGGCCTGCGTCGAGCGTGTCGCTGGAGCTGAGCTTAGAAGTGCAGTGCAGTGCAGTGCAAGGCAAGGCAAGGCAAGGACACCCTTTAAAACCACTCACTTGCTGTGGCAGAGCGGGTCAAACCCGTGCTTCTTCTGCTGAACAGGGGGTCCTGTCCTAACTCTGTGCATGTCAGTCAACCTCACTCCATGACTGCTTGGAATCAGTCGTCAACACATATCCAGATTCTCAATCCCACCCTGTCCTGCCAGATGCACCTTCGATCCTGCATACCGACTGAATACTAAAGAGAAAAAAATACTAGATACAGAGTCGGACACCTTCCATGATGGCTGCTGACTCCCTCCTCGACCGTCTCAACCGCGACGGCTTCGTCGTCATCCCATCAGCCATCACACCCGACCAGCTCACCAAGCTGCGCGAGGCCACCGCCGAGGTGGCCTCACTGGCCAGGGCAGGGGAGTGGCCCTCGGTCCGCACCCTGCCCAAGCAGTTCCCGCCCTGGCCCAAGAACAGCCCCGAGGTGGCAAAGGGCGGCATCTGGGGCGTCCAGGGCATGATGCACCCGGACCTGCCCAACAGCTCCACCTTCGTCCAGGTCTACTTCAGCGACGCCATCGTCGACCCCACAAAGGAGCTGCTCCAGTGCGGCGACGACGAGCTCGTCATGGAGCTGTTCAACCTGCTCGTGCGCCCCGACGCCGACTTTGAGCTGCGCTGGCACCGCGACGACATCCCTGCGACCGCCACCCCGGACGAGGAGCTCGAGAGGCTGAACAAGCCTGCCTTCTCGGCCCAGTGGAACCTGGCGCTGTACGATGACGCCAGCCTGATTGCCGTCCCCGGGAGTCACACCCGCGCGAGGACCGAGTTTGAGAGGAACGCCGACCCGTTTGAGAAGGACATCCCCGGGCAGATGATTGTCAAGCTGAATGCTGGTGATGTCGTGTTTTATAATAACAATATCCTCCACCGTGGTGTCTACAGCGCCGAAAAGGAGAGGATGACGCTGCATGGGAGTGCTGGGCATGTGGACGGCTCGGCGCTGAGGGCGAGGAATGTGCTCCAGCATGGACTGCGGGACTGGATAGATCGGGTTGATTTCAGCGGGCTGGATGAGAAGACACTTGCTCGCGCCCAGAAGATGAAGGCGAGCCTGGTCAAGCTCGGACAGGAGGCCGGTGATGTTGGGTACTCCTTGGATGGCTGAACATGCCAGTATTGATCTTGAGATTGCCGACTTAGCATGCATACATGTGGTTTCCCTTCTATTCCGTATACGTCCAAGGACATACATGGCGCCTTCATACGGTGGTAAGCGCTCAAGACCTATGTTTTTTAAGAGAACTTCGTAATCATCGGTGGGGCCTTACTGGAGAGCGGCTGAAGGATGAGGCTCACATTGTGGAAAGCAACGGACGCCTATACAGGAATAAAGAAGACTTTGGAATTTTCAACACGGATTCCCAGAATCTAGGCATCAATTTCGAAACGGCGACAATGTTTAAGTCAAACAATGTGCGTTTCTGATGTGGGTCACACTCAAATCGCTTTGCTTTGCTTTCTTTCCATTGTTGTAGTCGGTCATCCATTTGGGCCTGCTATGAGGCTGACTCGGGCATGTGAGTCGCCTTTATACTCCCAATGACAACAAGATATGAGACATCCAGACACAAACACAATGGTCTCTAATAAGCTCACAAAATTTCCCGAGTCAAGCTGGCTTCCAAGCAGTATAAGAGATTCCAGTATTGCCACAGCTAAGTTGTTGAACCGTCTCATGTTAAGACTGCCAAAGAGGAGCAAATCGACTGTCTAGTCAAATTGAAGCTATTCCGCCATGGCCAAGTCTTACCTTGGCCCGTCTGACAAGGGGTTTTGGAAAATTCCAGACGACCTCGACTTGAACGGAAAGCTGGAGAAAATACTCGCAAAAGCGACTGATACGAGGTCGGGATTGCCAAAATGGGACAATGATATCAAGTAAGGAACACCCCCAGAGGAATTCTCGAAATGGATCTCGACTGACTTGAGTATTTTAGGATGCTCAGAACTGGAAACTTCACCGACTGTGATGTTTTCTGTGGGGACCAAAAGTGGGAAACCCACAAACATATTCTCAACCGATGTCGTTTCTTCAGACATGCCTTTGCATCTGGAAGTGGCTTCAAGGTATGTACGAACAAAGCGTCAAACTAGTATCCCTTGGGGAGACATCTGGAGCTGATTCTAAGTCGGTGACCAACCGAAGGAAGCGCGCGAGTCACAGATCAAGATTGAAGATTTTGAGCCATTTGAAATTAAATGGTTGGTCGAGTTCATTTATGGAAAGCGTAAGGAAACCCTGGGGCAGTCCTGAGTACCACCCACCTATCTAAATCGTGACTTTTGAGAAGCAATGGGTAACAAGATCCATCGTATGCAGCAATTGATTCCGAGGAAATAAAAAGCACCAGCCCAAACAAGTCGTTCCTCGAGAGCTGCATACTTCTTTGGAGCATTGGCGACTTCTTCCTCCTGGACGATTTATGCGAATACGCCTTGACTCAGCTTCGACACCGTTGCAGGGTCTTCCTACTGAGATCTCGAAGTCTTACCATAATGCTCAAGAGCATCGATTTCCTGGCTGACCTGGAAGCTGGGGTGCGCGCTGCTTGGCGAAATGACAGGGCTGCCTCACCGGGGCGAAAGGATCTCATCAGCCTCTGCGTCAGCATCCACCCGTTCGTCAAAGATCACGAATCTTTCATCACTCTCCTGGACGAGATTCCTGAGTTTACAGCACAGTATCTGAAGGCTCTTCTCGGCTGTCCCGGGTTGCAATCTGTCGAATCATTCGTACCACTTAAAACAAACTGCGAGTCTTGTCACGAGCCCGTCTTCGACACCGAAGGGCGGCAGGTGAGCAGTCAGGCCTTTGTGTGGACGCCGACCTCCGTGAGCCTTTGGGACGGCTGCCCCTACTGGTGCTGCTCCAGAGATTGCTATAACGCAGTGGTCGACGAATATGTTCTTCAGAACCGACGGAGGCGTCGGATCCGACGAGGTCCTTGAAGCCCTGGAGCCCTCCTGAAGTCGAATCTTTGGAACCATCAAGCTTGGAAGCCAACGATAGGCTATGACGCATGGAGTAAAGGATATGCGATGTCATAGGGAGCCGAAGGTGTGATAGGCAAATACGTGTTGTATGACTGGATAGCAAGACTGTCGCTTGATTCTGAGGTTCCCGGGCGCCAGTTGCTCTAATTCCATGCTCCCATAAAGCAATATTCTAAGCACGGCCAGCGTGGAGAAGCGGCCTGTCAAGACCATTGTGACGAACATATTCCAAGAACAGACAAAGCATTCATCTCGTGCAAGGTTGACCAGATTTGCTGCTGAGATTCATCTGACACTAAATTACTGTGCGCTGTTGATGTCGTGATGGCTCCAGAAATGTATTACTGAGGACGTCACTAAGTACCTAGAGGTAGGTAGAAAATCATAATTTACCGACAACCCTATCGACATCAAATGTATGAATCACCTCTAGTGCTCAACAAAAAGTCGCAAAGACAGCTTGAGACGTTCGGCTTCCTCGCCTCGGTGTCCAACAATCCAGCCCCAGTCTACTCAGCGCCGCCCGTGCCAGGAGCACCGCCTCGAACATAACACACCTCAATCTCATCGTCCACATTGGGCTGTACACGGTAGGTGGCGATGCCCTGGCCCTCCTTGATCTCATCCTCGATCTCAAGGTAGTGGTCAATCACCTCGCCCTCGATCATCCGGTTGACGCCGTTGATGACGCTCCTCGCCCCCAGGTGCTCCACGTACTCGTCGTGGGCGATGATGCGGCAGACGCTGTAGTCCTTGGGGACCTGGAGGTCGACGTTGCCCACGAAGCGCTGCTTGTCCTCCTCGCGGGTGACCACGACCGGTTTAGCGAGCTCCTTGCCCACCTCGGTCAGGTACTTGTGGGCGACGGCGGCCTGCTCCACCTGCGAGAAGGTCAAGAACGGGACGAACTCCGTGATACGTCCGGTCCTTGTAGATGTTAGCCACTTTCCAATCCGTGTTGTTAGAACAGGAAAGTATACTTACAGGGGCGCACCAAATTGCGAGATGGACTCGGTTCGAAGGGTCTTGCAGAGACCCTTGACGAGCTTCTCCGAGGCAGCCGGGTCCTCGGCCTTGAAGAGCTTCTCTTCATTGTCCTTGCAGAACTCGTGAATGGTATCGTCAAAGGCATTGGTGGCCAAGATCCAGATTGCCTTGGAGCAGTTCACAGTGGCCCTGGCCTTCCTATCCTCGTATTCGCCTGGAGATGCCATTAGGAATGAGTCAAGGAGGATTGTTGTGTTGAAAATGAGAATCTTACCATTCTGGAATGGGAGCAGAAGAGTCTGGTGAACACCCTTGCTGGTCTTCTCAAACTCGTCGAGAAAGACGATGCATCTCTTGCCGGCGTTGCGAGCCAGGAAGCTGTTCAGGGGTGAGCTGTTTTCCCAGCCCTGGTAGGGAGCCCTCGCGCCAAACATCTCCTTCTCATCGCTCTTGTTCGTGCAGTCCACAATCTCCATCTCGAGGGAGATCAGCTCGCCAAGCCTGCGGGCGAGCTCTGTCTTGCCGTGGCCGGAGGGGCCAGCAAAGACCATGACGAGGGGCGCCTTGGACGGCTTTGCGAGATGGCGAAGGAGCCGCTTGATGAGGAACTGTCCCGCCGGCGTCTGTCCGATGAGGAAGTAGGGCACACCCAAGAGGTTCTCGGCGTCCTTGTACCACGTCACCTGCTTGGCCCGGGGACCATGAGTTCGCAAGATGCTGGCCATGTGCATGTAGTATCGCTGCCTGAAGTTGATACGAGCAGCGATCAAAGCCCTCGCAGCAGGAGTGCACCACTGCATGGTGTCGGGCAACGGCTCAGGAATCTCCTGTCCCTGTGGTCCGTTGGTAGGCAAGTCTCGCGTCAGGGGGAAATAGAAAGCCTTGGGGATGGGTGCAGGGTCTGCACCAAGGCTGAGAAGTGTGGCGACTAGATCAGTGGTGTCATTCCTGAACGAGCCGCCCAGGGCAACAGCGTAGGCCAGCAGAGGCACGTCCTTGGACAGTCCGCACGAAGCTGTGGCGTTGACGTCTCCGCCGTACTTGCACCAGAGCCTGATAAGCTCGGGGTTGCGCGTCTCTGCCACGTAGAAGATGGCGGGGAAGCCCTCGACAGGTGCGTTGATCTCGGCGCGAACCTTGTCGGGGTTGTAGTAGGCCAGGTAGTTGCGGACCCTGTCGCAGCCCTCGCCATGTTGGATGGCGCCGACCAGCTCACGCAGGAAGAAGAGACCGCTCTCATCCTTGCCTCCGTTGATGAGTGCCTTGGGGGGTGGGATGCGAGGGAGGACGAAGTCCCACTCCTGAGCATTGTCTTCATCGTTTCCTGCTTCGGTCTCTGATGGCGTAACACTCGCCGCGGTGCTGCATACCTGGTCGGATTCCTCCGCTCCGTCGAACATTTTCCTGAGTTTTAGAGGAGGCCGAGGCAAGTGGATGGTGGTCTTGTTGTAGTGCTTGATTGCCTCGTCAACGTCTTGGTTCTTGGCTCGGAGGAGAGCTCGAGCCCGGCCATCAGTGATTCCAAGGGTCTCTGCTACCTGTCTCTCGGCGTCTGGGGTCTTCATTGTGGTGGAATGGTATACCTAGGTACTCGTTCCAGATGCAGAGCAAGAGTGTTGACTCGGGAAGTGTACAGGTCCAAGTTGGGTCGCGCTCGAAGAGTTGCGGTCAAGCCCTCAAATAGCAGAGCAGGCCAACAATCTGAGACCATTCACTTGCACAGGTGTTAGCAAAGTAAACATCTCAGGTTACTGATAAAGGTGACGCATTGCTGGTGGCGGTCGGCCTCCTGCATGACCCCAACACCGTTACTCGTTTGTCCACAGCACAGAAAACGCTTGAGCAAAACAACAATTCACTCTCGTTCAACTCCGAGTCTCACCTTGGCCACATCTAAATCTCGTCCAAACCGATCAAAATGCACTTCGAACTGATTGTCTTTCCTTTCCTTTGCCTCACAACCCACCTCACACCATCTCGTACCCAAGGCGCTCGCTCTTGGGACCTGTTGGTTGATGTCCAATCTGCACCACACGATAATCACACATAACCAAACACTTCGCAGATTGCTGCATCATTCGTTCAGGCAAAATGCCGCAAAAGACAGACCACTGGCGTGATCGCCCACTCGCGGGCCAGAGCGGCAGCACCGCTGCTGCCTTTGCCTTCGCAATCGAGTCCCCCGAAGATGCTCAGCCACCGCCGCCCAGTAACGAACCATCCGTCAACTCTGGACCAAACGAGCCTTTCACCATGCCGGATGCAAGTGATCAATCCCCTACGATCGCCAAACCCGCCAGCAATAATGGTATTGAGAGCCCTCTTGTCACGACAGGCACAGTCCAGGACGAGCTTGACCAGCTGGAGAGCGAGGTGATCCACTACATGAACATCTCGCTGGAGGAGAAGGAGAAGTCGGATGCTCTGACCGGGCGCCTCGAATCAGTCACGCAAGAGAAGAAGGACCTCGAGCGCCAGGTCGACGACCTCGATGAACAACTCAGCCGGGATGTTTTGCTCGACCAAGAGGACGGTGCCTCCGCCACTGAGGCTGGAAGTACAATTTCCAGAGTGAGCGACAAGATTGCCAAGCTGAGGAGTTCAGCTCAGGCCTTGCAGAAAGACTTCAATGATCTCAACATGATTAGCGACCGACGTGCCGACCAAATTGCCGAGCTACAAGAACAGCTCCACAACAAGAAACAGCAGCTCGTCCAGAAGACCCAGGAGGAAGACCGCTTGCGCAGGGAGCTTGCGTCGGCGGAGGAGACTCTCAAGTCTGAAAAGAAGAACTATAACAAACTCCTGGGCAGCCAGAAGGCACTTGAGCTGCGGTCCAATGGGCTCCGAGCTTGGGGAGACAATATCAATCAGAAATTGGCAGAATCTGAGCAGACCAGAGAGACTCTCAGCGGCCTGCTCAACCAGAAGGCCACTGAGCTTCAGAACGTCCGTAAGGGAGCAGCTGCTCATGCTCAGAACTTGCAGCAATTTCTCGACCACAAGCAGGAAGAAATTAAGAACCTGCGCGCCTATCAAAAGGATCTGCTCGAGCAACACACCACCGAGCGTGAAAACACCCAACAGGCAGGAGTTGTTCAGATCCAGAAATTGCAAAAATTGCTCTTGAGCAAGCAGGAAGAGGTCAAGAGCCTCAAGGCCACTCAGAGGGATCTTGTGGTCAGGTGCGAACAGGCCGAGGCCGTTGCTCTGCAATATTCTCAGACCATTTCCCAACTACAGGCTCAGCTCGCTTCTCAACCGGAACCGCAGCCTGTTTCACCATACCAGTGCGAGCCCGCTGCCCAACAGCAGGACCTACTCAGGCGCATCGAGGATCTCACCACGGCACTTGTGCGCAACCAGAAGCGCCGCATGCGCGTCGTGGGCATCGGCATTGACCTCAGCGGCAGTGCGGCCGGCAGTCTCGAGGGAGGCATCAAGCGCGTGTATGCTCATCTAATCGATACGCTGCAGTCCTCCCCCTGCCAGACCTACGTCATGACAGTCGTCCACGGCCCCGGCTCCGCGGCGACAGTGACGACGACCTTCGCCGACGACTGGGCCACCCACAAGAGAGCATTGGAGGGCCGGAGGGCGGACGGGGTGGGAAGGGATGTCGAGTGTCTTCGCAAGATCAAAGAGGCTGCCGTGGAGGCGGGGGCGGTCCTTGACCTGCAGGTCGTCCTGATCGGGGACAACGACACCAACTACGCCGCTCACGAGGGGATGCAGGAGGTGTGCGCCGACTTCGCGAGGAGCAACCCACCCGTTCATATTCACTCGGTCGTGGTGAGCACGGGCACTGCAACGATGTCCGAAAACTTCGGACTCAAGCTCAGCCCAGAGGCATGGACTCCGTGGGACTATGTCACCGCAACTGGAGGCAACCGGGTTCTCTGGTTCCAGAACAACGAACTCCCCGACCTGAGCGATCTTGTGCACTAAACAGCGGATCAAACAACTGGCCAGACAGAAGCCTGGAAACTTGCCGGAGACCGGCGGAGATTCGTACCGGGGCGTTCCGAGGGCTCCAGGTATTAATATCCTGGCAATGTAAGGGTTCCGGGTGTAAGGAAGGTTTGACTTGTGTATCCACAATGTCTCCTAATGCTCCAGGTTGGGTTTGCAAGCATGTCAAAGCTAAGGATTGAGAATTCAGATATTATTCAGAAGCCTAAGATGAGGACTGGATTGCTTTTTGAGAGATAGTATTGCAATGCCAAACTTCTTGGACTGGACTTCGGCAGTGCACGCCCGCCAATCAGAAACTCGAAAGCGTCAACAGATGCAGTGCTATGAAAATGCAGAGAACCAAGGTGCGACGCCTTACTGAACTTAATTGAACTTCCCACGTAAGAAGCTATCCTGTGCTGGGTCTTTGGGTCTTATCAAGTGCCCAGCTAGGCTTATTTGACCCTTGCTATTGTCGTCCAGAAGCGGAATCGAGTGCCGGTATAAGCTTGGTTTGCTGTGCTCGGTTTCGTGCACCGCAATCTTAAATATGGACCCTAAAGGGCAGGTCGTCCATCAAGTAGCGAAATTCTCCCCAGACCCTGAGCTCACCTGCATAAGCTTTCATCTCATACCGAGCCGCCGGACTAGGCACAAAGGGGACATGGATGCCACCCTCAGGGAAATATTCGACCCGCAGCTACTATTGCGACGCTATCGATACCAAGGCAGGACGGCAGAACAACATTGAAACGATCCGTGCCTGGAGGAGAGAGATCACCGTCCATTTTCCAGTCGCAGGCAGCCGGCGATCTCGGTACCAAATCGATCATCAATCAGAAGGAGGGGACAAGCCGGGTGGGGCCGCCCTCGGCTCGCGATGCCTCACGTTTGACGTTTCTGTGACCGAGGGAGGGGCCGAGACCGCGTGGTAGGCATGCATGTGCTGTGCCGTTGTAGCCCGTCTTATCATCATCATTCGTGTAATCATCTCTGGAAATCCTGGGCGCGGTGCCCACCCTGTCGGTGCTATCACATCGTGGGCACACCTGCCAGCTTCCCCAGCGGGCACGGTGACATGGTTCGCGCTATGACACGGCCTTTCCATGCATTATACTGATTCTGGAACTTAGCGGGCGACAGTTCCCAGCGTGAGAACGAGCTACGGGTCGAGACCACGTGCCGCACCGCCCAGGGCCAGGGTGCGGAGGTAGGGTTTTGTCTCTCGACATATCTCGTCTGGACCATGGCCCTCAAGCCACGCACGCCACGATATTCTCCGCAGGCTGTCCGATGTTGGTTTGTTTCGTCATGTGGGGATTCGGGCAGGGAGGGAGGTGTGATAAGAGCTTTCCGAGGACAGGTCTGCGGAGAAGTCGACCTATACCACGACCCAATTATAGTCCCTCCCCTGACTGCAACCCTTCCAAACGTAGCTCTTCTGCAGCCACATCCCCACACACATGTCCTCCCAATCCGGAAGGGCATTGGCGGTGGGCAGTCCCGCCCAATCACCGCGACTGCCGCTTCCGCGAGGGGGCCAGGGGGGGACAACAGAGTTTGGAGCCTCCTGTCACCGGTGGCCTAGTTGGTGAGGTTGGTGAGAGGCACAGGCCCTGGCGAGCAGGCGAGTGGCTAGCCGGCCCCACAGTTTTTTGTCTTCCTGCAAGCGAGGCAGGCTGGCAGGCGAGGAGGAGCCGGGCCTTGAGCTGTCCCAACGGGCACGCTACACTATTTTGGGTGTCCTACGCCGCACGGCACATACTGCAGATATGAGGATCGCCTCCACACCCAGCAGCCCTCGCGCCCGCACGCCAACCGTGCCCCCCGAGGAGGAGCACCAAGGAGCGAGACAGGACCGGGGCTGGCGGAAGTTGGGAGGAAAGAAACCTCGGGATGCAGCACCTGTCCCTGCCCGTCGTATGAACCTGGGGTGTCATGTCGTGTGGCACCGGGGCAAACGACGATGTCGCATCGCTTGACAGGCACCCTCGCCTGGTGTTGCTCGTTGGCTCGTGTCGAGGACTCTTGGCCCTGATCTGAGTTGGCCCCTAGTGTGCATTTGCGGATCGATCTGCAAGAAATCCCAACTTGTTGCAAGATGAATAAAAGAGAGCACGGCCGGCTTTCTCGCCCGGCTCTGGTCGTATGTACTGTGGAACCTGAGATCTGCTCTTCTCATTCTATTCTCTTCTCCTTCTGATCTACATTGCGGTCCGTCCCACCCCCATCGGAGCGCACCGAATTTTCTTTCCCCTCTGTGGTCATGGCCTCGTCAGGCCAGTTGCCGCCAGAGATGGCGGCCGAGAACAAAGGCCCTGGGATCCTGGCTGCGTGCTACACTGTCGAGGTCATTGCCAGCTGCTTCGTGGCGGCCCGCCTTTTTGTGCGCGGCCGGATGATGGGCAAGTGGCAGCTCGACGACTGGCTTATAATCGTGTCTATGGTTTGTGGCTGCCCGTTCATATCTCTCTTGGCCGGATGATCGTTGGCTGACGATATGGGTTGATTCCATCTAGCTGTTCGGATGGATTGCTGTCGCCTTCACAACCGCCGCCGTCGCCAACGGGAGTGGCAAGCACTTCGAGGTGCTGACGGAGGAGCAACATTCCAAAGCAGTATTCTGGACCGTAATGGGATTTGGTCCTGGGTTAATGTCGTTCGGTATCCCGAAGCTCGCCGTCGTCGCCTTCCTCACGCATATATTGAACCCGAGCAGGATCCATCGTATCGTCTTGTGGTGCATGGCGTCTTTATGCATTTTTAATTTGTTGCTTTGTGTTGTTTTTCATTTTGCCCAATGCACGCCGGCAGCGTCGCAATGGGACTTCACACTCGAGAGACGGTGTTGGACTCCATGGATCTTGATATGGTGGGCGACCTGGTCTGGCTGTGAGTCTGCCGTGTCACCCGGGAGCTCGCTCTCACAAGAGGACTCAGCTGCTGACGCCGAGATAGACTTTTCTGCCTTCCTCGACCTCTACCTGGCGGTTTACCCATCGATCGTCCTCTACAAACTCCAAATGACCCGCAAGAAGAAGCTCGCCCTCTGCGGTGCCCTCGGGATCGGCTCAATGTGCGTCTGCTGGACGTGAACTGTGCGAGGCGAAGGTGTGATGATGTTAACAGAGTGTCCAGATCCACCATCGTCGCCATATACAAGACCACGAGACTGCCGTCACTCGCAAGTGGAGACTTCACCTTCTCCACGTCCGACCTCGTCATCTTCACCATCGCCGAAGGCGCAATGATCATAATAGCAGCGTGCATCCCCGTCCTGCAGCCCCTCCTCGAGATGATGACAGGCAAGCGCGGGTGGTTGAGCAGCGGCAAGACGTCAGGCCGGCCGTACCACCAGCAGTACGCGCGCGGGCAGAGCTACGTGGCGGAGAAGTCGGTGCGGTCGGACTTTGAGGCGCGACGTACGCAGCGGCGGGTTGACGACGACGACGACCTCCTGATGACAAGCTTGGAGATGGAGAGGGCGCAGAACAAGGACGGGTACTGGACGGCGGGTCAGCCACCGGTGCCGCCACGCAGGGCAGCCCTGGCCAGGACGCCGTCACGGGCGTCGTCGAGGACCAGCATCCGGATGAGCCCCAAGGCGGCGACGTCGTTTGTCACACGGGGGATCTTTTCGCGACCACGCAAGAGTGAGGAGGCCAACCCTGTGCCGCCGGTCATTACCAAGACGAACAGCATCAGGGTCGAGTACGAGCCGTACACGGGCGGGGCGGGATCGTGGCCGCTCCCACAGAACCCGTTCCCGGTGAGCGATGATTCGGGAAGTGAGGGTGCGGGTGCTGGCAGCATTGTCAATTCGCGTTCATTCTCTTTAAGCAGCAGCGTCCAGTCGCAGGGTGCATTGCGAGGTTCATAGTCCTTGATGCCAGTCAGTCAGTTTAAGTAATGTATAACTTTGCATGGATGTGTGCTGATGTTCTTGGTCCACGCTGACTTGACTACTTACCTAAGTAAGTACCTAGGTATGTAGACTACAACTGACAGACTGACTGACTGACCGCGCGAGGTCTGCTTCAGGCCTAGACCCCAGGGGCAGTGTCCAATGACGCCCACAAGGCAGCCCACGATCAAACTCTGATGCTTGATAGTGCCTGGATGGTGCCTGGATGGTGCCCTTTGGTGGGCGGAATTTTGGCGCTTGTCCTCTACACCGACACCTCGTTTCCCCAACCCACCCCTTGAGCTCCCCTACTAGACTACCTAGGTACTGTGTCAGCACCTACTTGGGGAGGGAGACCCTGAGGTCTGAGGCCTGAGCTCGAGGCCCACAGGCGGTGGGTGTTGGCAGGCCGCAGCAGCTCCAACACAGGATTCCAACAGTCGGATGCCCAGGCCCAGCTGCCCCACTGAACACATCACCAAGACGGCACCTGCTTCCGAGCGCTCTCGCCCTGTCAGCCTTGGTGTCCACTGCCCATTCTTCTCATTTGCCAACCACTCTCGAGCTGGCTGGACAACCCACCTCAGCACCCAATTTGTCGGCTGGGCGAGGCCCAATGTTGTATCATGAGCTAGGGCCACCCCCACCAGACCCGTTTCAGCCTTAGCGACGTCCCTAAAAACAAAGTTCGGTGGCCTCCCGGCAGCTAATCCCTGTCGATCTCATTCACGCCCACGCTTCCCACCTGCCGGTTATCCAGCAGCGAGTCCTTCTTAGATGAGGTCACACTCAATCTCCCCACCGTCGACTTTCGCGCCCGGGTCACACAACAAACACATTCCACACAGACCCAGACCACTGCTCCTTCCCACACTGCCACAAAACACCATCGGTCCAACACTCACCCTCGCGACCAGACGCATCACCGCGGCGCGGGCGTGTCAACCTCGCCCTCAATCCTACAGATTGATCAACAGCTCCACCTACTGGCACACACAGCATTGTCACCAGTCATGCAGCAGCAAGGATACCCGCCCCAGGGGTATCCCCCTCCCCAAGGATATCCTCCTCAGGACTACTCGCAGCAGCAGCAGCAATATCCTCCCCAAGGATATGGTCCACCTCCGCCTCAAGATCAGCAGTATGCTTATTCCCAGCCGCCGCCGCCCCCCAATAACAACGGCTATAACAACGGCTATGGCGACGACAAGGTCCCCTTCGAGCAGGCCTTCAAGATCGAGAAGCCAAAGTACAATGATATCTGGGCCGGCGTCCTATTTGTGCTTACCATGGCTGGCTACGTCGTCGTTTCTGGCATCGCCATCCAGGGCTACGGTAACACCCCCTTTCTTCCATCCTAGAGGTATTCGTCGCCTGCTGACATCTGAACTCTCTCTTAGCCGCCACTCGAGGCGCCAACGGCACCGGAATCTACAATGGCAACAGCCGAGATATCAGCATCAACACCAACACCCTCTTGCTATTCGTCTTCTGCCTATGCGTCGCTATCGTCTTCAGCTATGGCTACGTTATGCTGGCTCGGGCTTTTCCAAAGCAGCTCATCTGGACCACTGGCATCTTGAATATCGTCTGGGGCCTCGGAACTGCTATTTACATGCTGTACAGGAAATACTACGCCGGAGGCATCGTCTTCCTCATTTTTGTCGTCTTCCTAATCTTCGCCTTCATTTCCTGGATCCCTCGCATACCATTCAGTGCGCTCATGCTACGCACCGTTATCAACGTCGCTAACCACCACGGCCACGTCTACATGGTCAGCTTCACTGGAGGCCTCATCGGTGCCGCCTTTGCAGCCTGGTTTGCAGTCACTTTTGTGGCTGTATATGTCAAATTCGCGCCGAGCAACGACAATCCCGCCTGTCGCACCGGCGCAAGTGGCTGCAGCTACGCCAAAGTCGGTGGCCTCATAGCCTTCATTACCTTCTGCTCGTACTGGTTCTCGGAGTGGCTGAAGAATACCATCCACACTACTGTTTCAGGCGTCTATGGATCCTGGTACTTCAACTCGCGTGCCTACCCAACCGGAGTCACTCGCGGCGCGTTGAGGCGGTCTCTGACCTACAGCTTTGGGTCCATCAGCCTGGGTAGTCTCATCGTTGCGATCGTCAATTTCCTCAGGATGCTGGCCCAGACGGCCCGTGACCAGAGCGGACAGTCGGGAGACATGATCGCCTACATCTTCTTCTGCGTCCTCAGCTGCCTCATCTCCCTCCTCCAATGGGTAATCGAGTTTGTCAATCGATATGCATTCTCGCACATTGCCCTTTACGGCCGTCCTTACTTCCAGTCGGCCAAGGACACCTGGAAGTACGTCTGGCCATCATCCCATGCGTCCGAGTGTTGTTTGTTTGCTGACATTTGTACACAGGATGATCAAGGACCGTGGCATTGATGCACTTGTTAACGAATGCCTCATTGGGCCTGTCTTCTCTTTTGGCGCCACGTTCATTGGTTTTGCCACCGCCCTGCTGGCCTTCCTGTACCTGGAGTTCACGGACCCGGCCTACAACTCAAACGGTCAATACACAGTGGTCATCGTTGCCTTTGCATTCCTCATCGGTCTGCAGATCTGCAACATCTTCACCACCCCGCTGTCCAGCGGCATTGACACGATATTTGTGGCGTCGGCCTGGGACCCGGAGGTGATGATCCGCGACCACGGCGACCTTTACCACCAGATGGTCCAGGTCTACCCACATGTGCAGCAGGCTATCCACGCCTGAGCAACTAAGCCGTCCGATAGAGGCGTCCGAGCTGGCCTTCTTCGCTTGCTCTTTCGGCTTACCCAGCCCTCCTAATGTCCACTTTCAGTATACCCAGCCCACATTAATACAGATCCGGTACGTTGTCCAGCACCGAACTTCATCAGTGCTGCAACTCTTAAAAAAGTTTTGGCAGGCGATCCAGTGTAGGCCTCTGGGGCAAGGCATGCATGGCAGCTCTTAGATCGCAATAAACAGAGGATTTTAAACAGGTGTGTCACTATTCGCCGAGTACATGTGACCGTTCCAGATGAGAAACTTTTTGGTGCACGTACTTTCCGTGGAACGCGGTATAACGCCCCACGACTTCTCGTCCGACCCATGGGCAATCTTACAATTTGCTCTTCTCCTCCGGTGACTTGACCTCGACAAGCAGTTTTCCTATTGGGATTAGCTTCGGAGCAGCACCGAGACCGGAAGCAGGGCGACGGCTCACCTATGTTTCCTCCCTTGAACAGATCCACCAGCGCTTGCTCGGCCACCTTGAGGCCTCCCTTGACAACAGTCTCTTGCCTCTTCAGCTTGCCCTCAGCAAGCCACTGTGCGAGCTGTTTCCGAGCTGCCGGGTACTCCTTGATAAAGTCGAACACAATGAAACCCTCCATGCGTATCCTCTGTGTGATGACCTTGGATATTTGCTTTGTCGCATGTTAGCTCCGCGACAGGATAGGCATTGTGCAGACAATATTTGACCTACTCGTGGGCCCTTGGGGTCTTTCGAGTTATACTGTGAAATAGCACCGCACATGACGAAGCGCGCATTCTTGTTCGCCCTGCTCAGGGCCATGTCGAGGATGTCTCCACCAACTGCAAGATCATCAGCCTCGCTCATGAACCAGACTGACCCACACATATAGACTCACCATTGTCAAAGTAGACATCGATGTACTTTGGCGTGGCCTCCTTGAACTTCTTCCTGAATTCGGGATCCTTATAATTCAGACACACGTCGAACCCGAGCTCCTTCTCCAGCCACGCACACTTGTCGTCAGACCCCGCGAGCCCGACGACCCGCGCCCCGGCGATCTTGGCCATCTGCGCCGCAACGCTGCCGGTGGCGCCAGCAGCGCCGGAGACGACGACCGTCTCCCCGGGCCTCGCCCTGCCGATTGCGGTCATGCCGAAGTAGGCCGTCAGCCCGGTCAGGCCCAGCACGCCCTGGAGGTCGGTGACCTTGCCGTTGCGGGGCAGCGGGATGTCGGAGGCGGTCTCGAACTCCCTGGGCCCGGCGACGGCGACCTCGCGCCAGCCCGTCATGGCCGTGACGAGGTCGCCCTCCTTTGCGCGCGGCGACCGCGACGCGAGGACCCGCGCGATCGTCGACCCGCGCATCACCTCGCCTATCTGCACGGGGGGCACGTAGCTGCGCACGTCGTCGAGCCAGCCGCGCATCGCCGGGTCCAGGGAGAGGTACAGCGTCTCGACCAGGACCTCGCCGTCCTTGAGGTCCGCGGCCGTCGGGGCTGGCCCGGTCTTCTGGTGGAAGGTCTGCCCTGGGATGATGTCGCCCTTGGGCCGCTCGGCCAGGACTACTGAGGTGTTTGTGCGGCTCATGACGGGCGGACTGGGTTCTCTTTTTCTTTTTTCTGTGTGGTTTCTTGTGACTGACGCCGTTCTTCAACTTGGTTCTCGACACAGTCAAGTAAAGAGAACTGAGCTGGAGATGGTTGATGGTGTGTAACCTCGACGGTGGCCTCAGAACGGCCAGCAGGTGCTCCAGGGGCGATCCTTGGTGGACCGCGGCCAAGAGTCGGGGAGCCGAGGTACTCGGCGGATCGTCCCCCCCGGGACCCGGTACCTGGGTACCGAATCGGCGATGATTACTCAGGGTGATATTGACTCCGTACCTAGGTACTCAAACTTTCGGTATGGCACACATCAACGGGTTCTTTGAATCAATCATTAGATGTTGCGGCTGCAGACGAATTGAATGAACCAGCTGCTACATGAAATTCCTCAAGAGACACCCCGTTGAGCTCCGTGGTGGCTGGTCCAGGCCCCCGGCTGCTGGTGCTATGGAAAAATGGTCACATCAAAAATTCATCACTGTGTATGCATAGGGTTGTGCTATCACGCTCAGTATGGTGGAAATCAGAGACTTGCCATTTGCTTGGGTCTACTTACCTGGGTATGTGCCAGCATAACCCATCTTTTTTTTTTCTCCTTTCAATGTTATCTACCCTTTGTACTCCAGAGGTCCAGAAATCAGAGAAACCATTGACATGGGCTTATCACTCCACTGCCATACTCTCCTTGAGACCTGCCATGAGGAATGAAAGATCCTCAAATCCCTCTTCACGGAGGATCTGCCCCAGTAGAGCCAACAAGTCAATGCTGCTCTCCCAGTCGATCAGCCCGACCAGAACAGCCACCGGGTCTGCCGCAACACCTGCCGGGTACGCTTCATCGTTGAACTGACCAAAAAGCATCCCGTCGATGTGCTCCCTACAATCATTGCCCAAATGAGTTTCGGGCTGCCAATGTGTGCTGCGAAGTGCGGACGGGTTAGTAGCCTCTCGGGTCTCGGTCACCGGCCACCAGAACGGCTTGTCAGTGCCCCGGCGCAGTAGCGGGATGGTAGTAGTAAACTGTCCGAAGAGCTCAAGGGCGGCAGGGTCCTGGATCCGGTGTGCCGGTGGCTGCCGCTCCGGGCTCTCCCCGTTCATCTCGTACTGGAACGCCACGACGATGTCCTCGTGGTCCCTGAGGCGTTCGATAAAGCGGATCACAGCCGCGAGGGGGATGTTGGGGTGGATCGTAGGGATGAGGAAATGGACGAACTGCCGTTGGCGGACCTGTTTCCAGCTCAGGCTCATCTCCTTATCATACAGGGCCACGTCCTCTAGGGCAATTTCGATGTATCTCTCGTACGAGGTGACAATGTCCGGCATGCCGGCATTTTCAGAGTCAAGAATCGCACTTGCTGTGAATAGGCTGAGCGATTCATGATGTTCCGTCGCCCTGGACCTGACGCTGAGGAGGACTTCCCTATCATTGTTCTCCAGTTGCTCCTGGCTGAACTCAGTCTTGATCCGGTGCAGTTGCGCGCGGAGATATGCCAGCTGTTGGCTGGGCGGCGGCGCGCGAGCCCACCGGGGGTCGCTGCGAAGATCCTCCGGAGAGAAGTAGTGAGGCTCACCTGCCCTGACCTCGGGCTGCGACGAGGTAGTGAGAAGGCCAAAGTCTGCGAGCCGCAGCAGACCGGGCAATATCTCCTTGGTCTCCTGGTCGACAGGGTAAGCGCAGCTAGCGGAAATGGACAAGTCGCCATATAGGTAACGTCGATTCAATTCGAGCAGGTCCTCCCATGTGCTTGCGTTGCTCCATGTTTGTTCCCACGATTTTCGTTGCTTTGCATCCATTTGAGCCATCATTTGAGCCATCTTGTTTGATATTCGTCGATCGTGTGTAGAATGCTGTTTTTAGAGTGTTGTATCGCTGACTAGGAAGGATGCTCTTGTAGTAAGGGGCAGATGATTGGATATCACCAGACGTTGAGTGAAAGTTTGCTGTGCATTATATACCCAGAGAAATCAATCCTCTGACAATGGCCCTGTGGACCCATTCCCAGATAGGATTCGACCAGATTAATGCCTCCATTCCTGGCGGTGTTCGTTTCAATGAGGAGCACAGATGCAACACCATTCTGCCATGATTATTTGCCCGAGCGGTGATAATTGTCAATCCATCGTATATGATCACAAAGCGATTGTAATATATGCGTAAGTACCTCAATTGAACAAGCCTAATGACAATTGTGAGTGCAAAACAAAGTCTTTGTGAAAGAAATAGGCATGTGCTCATCTGGAGGCTGTGGGAGCTGTACAAAACATCTTGAGGCCCAACAACGCAGGAATAAAGAGACGGCACGGCACGGGACCGGCCCGGCTTGGAGCCATTTACATGAATGCAGAGAGTCCCTTGCATTACCAGAGCCGCTGCTTCCAGTCCGACGAGGGGCTGTTAAAGTTCAGATGTCAGCATGCCCAACTTAGAATCTCACATCGTGTTGCAGTCATCGGAGATTTCGAGACTTTGCCAACCAGATGTGTCCGGACCACGGCAACCGTTTTCCCCAACTCCTGGAGATCAATGCAATAAGACAGCTTTCGGTAAGTGCGCAGAGGGCATTGGGATGTGATGAGGCACTCGGGCAGAAGGTAAGGAAGTCACACAAGGGCCTCCACTGCGGCCTGATGCATTTTCTTTACGGCTTGTAGCTTATAGCCGTTCCTCTGTTGCGTTAAAACACGTGAGCTGCCAAATACTACGCTTCAGCAGTGTAATGATCTTTGAGAATGTGGCTGTGTTGCGTTCATGTAACAATAGCTGTGTACCCAGCTCAAGTGTACTTGTACATGTGTATGCATGCAGGTTACCAATAGCACGAATAACGCCAGTGGCATGAGTGGTCAGCATCTGATATCATGTGCGCATCAGCACAACCTGAAAACCTGAATGGGGCACCACAAGCACACCAGCCAGATTGCAGAAAAAGGCAGCCTGGCGAACTCCAATGGCACCTGTATGCAACGCCTAACTCGCAGAGCCTCAACTACACCTCTACCCTATCCGGCCCAGCAAGATCTAATTTTAGGAATTGGTCCGGTGACCTCCCTTTTTGGGCAAGAAGACACTTTCCACAGCCTTATCGTCGTCCACATCAATGGCACTTATTGGAGGCTTTGCTCGTTGGGTGGGGGACGCGGCAGCTCTGCCAAGCACACAGTAAGCCCATTCGCCGAAGAGGTTGCACCCCATGGCCGCCAACACATCGGCCCATCGGCCCCGGGCAGCGAATTGTGTGACAGCGGGTCGTTTCTTTGCAGCATTCAGCTATGGGAATAGTGTTGGTGGTATAGAAGTAACGAATGGCAGCATGGATTAGTACACCAGCAGATCCATCCTGAGCTTGAACACCCTGGTATATTCTACGCATCTCCACAAGCTAAATTAGGCAGCTCAACTTTACTCTGGTTGTGCATCCTTATTAGATACATCGTACTGAATCTGTTTGCGGCATGGGTTCTAGTGTGTAAGCTGCCGTGCGGTGGAAGTAAGGGAGCGGTTTGTCTATCATGGAGTGCTGCTGCTCTTGATAAAGGCTCTAGTGGCCCTACCCGGGCCTTAAGGCTTCCCCAAACTACTTCATAATCAGTATTCCTGGGTCATATTCTGCCTTCAAAAGGTACCTAGGTAGCAATGGACCCGCCGCAACAGTACGCCCAGCCATACCAGGCACAGTCACGGCATGCCCGCTTCCCCAGCGACGGTAGCAGGAGTGACCAGAGTGACGATACAGTCTTCGGTGGGCTCACCGCTTACGACCCAGCTGCAATTTATTTAAACTCGGAGTACCACACTCCAAAAGCCAACAATATCGTCGAGAACACGGCCATCGTCGACGATGCAGCAACACCGGGACTGCAGGCACGCAATGCGACCTTCGGATCTGACGATATCTCGAAGGAATCGAAATCTGGAACAAAGTACAGCAGGTTGTCCTCGTCGTCAAAACTAAAGAACATCAGGGTGCCCCGGAAGACAGGCAGCTGGTTCTGGGAGGTTGTGGCCACCATATTCGCAATCGGAGCCGTCGCGAGCATCATCGCCCTCCTCGCCCGCTATGAGGGACAGCCACTGCCGAAATGGCCCTACGCAATTACGCTGAACGCTTTGATCGCTGTCCTCACCACGGTCGCCAACGCAGCCATGGCAGTGCCTTTGTCGAGCGGACTGGGCCAACTCAAGTGGGAGAGGATGAAGAACAACTATGCTCGGTTAGTGGATATGGAGGTTCTCGACGAGGCGAGTCGAGGGGCATGGGGAGCTATCAATATGCTAGTGAGACTCCGTGGTGGGTAAGTTGTCGCCGGAGCTAGGCACTGGTCCTCCGTTGTGCGTCTGGCTGACAACACGCGCCTCGCAGACTACATGGCTCGCTTGGTGCTGTAGCGGTCATCGTGGCCCTCTTCCTATCTCCTTTCGCGCAGCAGGTGGTTGTCTATCGCACCCTCCCACAGAAGTCTGAAGCAGGGGCAACAAACTACCGAGCCATGAATTTCACTGTTGCTTTGCCAAGTGTCGACTCGACGGTGCCCTTTGTCCCGGTTCTTCCAATCAAGTCTGCTGTCTACAATGGACTTTTTGCGGAGAACAACAAGCCTTGGACCAGTCTTCCTGTCAGCTGTGAGACTGGCAACTGTACATGGGAGCCGTTCGATACTCTCGCGGTCTGCAACACCTGCACCGATATGACTCCTTTTCTTCAACGTGACTGTGCAACCGGCGATGACGATTGTGGATGGAAGTTGATGTCGGGCCCAGTGTTGCAAGGTGGTCATGTCTTCAGCATGACTTCTCAAGCAAGTTATCCTCAATAATTGAACCCTGAGTCTGGACGGACACTGACTTTTTGACATAGTTTCTGTCAACGGAGGGTGGAGCGCCATGGTCAAACATCATGAAGTTGACGTTCATGGGCACTGAGAGCAACACCGCCGAGGCGGGTAACACGCAGCCGTGGGCTCGCCAGTGTGTCCTGAGCGCTTGCGTGCAGACGATCAAGTCTCAGATCATCAACGGCAACCTGGTCGAAAACGTCACCCACACAGTCGAGAACAAGACGGTGGTGGCGTCCAAGAACTCCATGTCCGAGCTGGCCCCAATTGTTGTCACAGCACATAACACCACATCCCCAGCCACAGAGTACCTGCTCTCGGCCGAGGCCATGCTCGGGACGCAGACATGGTTTGCACAGCTGTTCGCGAACGGGTCGGCCACCCGGACTGACTCGGCCATCAACAAGACACTCAAGTCCCCCGATGATGCCCCCATAGCCGTCAACCTCACGGTGGGCATCTCGTCGGGGGCCACCTTCTTCGACACGGACATTGTGCAAGCTTTCTACTGGAACTACTACGAGTACCCGCACGGCCTCGACATGCTCATGGACGACCTGAGCGTGTCCCTGACCGTGGCATTTCGCAGCCTCTGGGGCTCCGAGGCCGTGAACGGGACCGCGTTCCGGAATGAGTCGTTCGTCTTCGTGCGCTGGGGCTTCATAACCCCGCTGGTACTCTCGGTCGCCCTGACGGCGGCGTTCCTTGCGCAGGCAGTGTACCGCAGCTGGAGAAGTGACGCCAAGCTGTGGAAGAGTAGTGTGTTGGCAGTGTTGTTCCATGGGCTGGAGCCTGATGTCAGAGAGAGGTTCGATGAGGTGGGCGAATTCGAGTTACAGCGTCAGATTGCTAGAGATGTCAAGGTGAGGCTGGATGAGGAGGTTGCTGCGGGCGGGTTGCTACGGGCTCAGCGCGTGTACTGAGACATTTTGGTTCATGATTTTGGCGATTCTGCATAAGAATGAGATGAAAGCCCCTAAAAAGGCGACATGAGGGTACTCAGGCGATGTGCAAGTCCACACAAGCTGTCAATTAACTGTACTAGTAATGGATTACTGACAGTAATAATAAGCAGTGTCCATCCGGCAGAATCGGACCGCGGCTCTTTATTCGCCAGCCTATACCACAGCTTTCTGCTTGCTTCTTTCTGTTGTGACTGATTTGACCGAAAAGAAGGAAGTTTCTATTTGCGCCCTAATGCCCAAAGGCGGGAGACAATCATCCAGGCGTTCCTGCGTTCGAAGTAGAAGTAGGGGTGTGCTGCACCTACCCCTAGGCGCGTGGATCGGCAGGTGCGTGGGGCATTGCCTACGTCAGGGGATGAATGTCCCATGCATGTTTTCGACGCGTCGCGCGACTCGCCTTCCAAAGGCTTTGACAGCATGCTCAAATTCCCACCTTTTGAAATCACCAAAAGATAACAAAGGTGTACTCTCAGATCCTCCTCACCCATAATACCATTCACTAGTCTCCCCCATCCCCCATCTGCTCTTCCACTTGCTTGTCCTTCCCGCCGTTTGACCGGTCTGAGCATGGAGCCGTGGGAGTCGGAGACCGAGCTTGGATCAGACGAATCCGGCAGCGACGACGAGACCACACCACCATCTGGAGCCGGAGCAGTTGTTGCTCAGAGCTCCGAGACAATGGGTTCCAAGAAGTGGAAGAATGAATTCTTCGAAAAGCTCGGCAACATCAAAACCTTTGGTGATTTCGCTTGCTCTACTCGTTACCCTCAGCACATTAATCCAGGCCTCGAAGTCGCGGGCTCACTGATACCTCTTCCTCTGGTGGAACGCGACGCGAGCACGATCAAGAGCAAAAGTGAACAAGCTCCGTTTGGACGCGGTGACGACACGGTTGTCGATGAATCCGTGAGAAAGACATGGCAGCTAGACGCGGGCCGCTTCCGCTGTTCGAATCCGGCCTGGGCTGCTTTCCTCGACACCGTCCTACGCGAGACTGTGCAGAAACTTGGCATGTATGTCACATTCGAGTCGGTTTCTGACTTCCCTAGCCTTCCGCCCAGTCTGTCTAATGCTGTCTCAGGCCAAAGAGCGTCCGAGCTGTACCATGGAAGCTGTTGTTGTACGAAGAGGGGTCGTTCTTCAGGCCTCACAAGGATTCTGAGAAATCGCCAGGGATGATAGGCACGCTCGTCATCTCCCTTCCTTCCAGGCATGAGGGTGGCGAGGTCCATCTTTCTCATTGCAACAAGCGCCACATTTTTGCAACCTCGCACTTTTCAGAGTTTGAACTTGCAGCCCTCGCCTGGTATTCCGATGTCACGCACGAAATCAGACCCATAGCATCCGGATATCGGCTTGTCATGACCTACAACCTCGTCCAGCCGAGTGGCCCCACTCCTTCCCCCGGCCTGTTCGTAGAGCAACAAAACCAGCTGCGAGGTCTCTTGCGGCAGTGGAGGTCTGCAATGCCCTCGAAGTCGAAAATGATCTTCCGAATGGAGCACAAATATTCCGAGTCATCTCTCTCACTCCAGAACATGAAAGGGCGCGATGCACAAATTATTCGATGCCTAAAGCAAGCTTGCCATGAAACCGGATTCTATCTACTCTTAGCTTTGATGACCATGACGGAGACCGAGCCAGACGCTTACGAAGGCGACGACGACGAGGAAACCCTCCAGCTGGACTACGTTGCGACTCTTGACGGAAGCTGTATTACGAGATCCGTCGATGTCGAGTTGAGCGAGATTCTGGGGCCTGACCCTTACAAAGACAGGGCGGCGGACAGTGAAGACGAAGGTGATTTCACTGGCAATGAGAGCGCACCGTCGGAATTTCGATATCATGATTCTGTGAGTCTGGTTGTGGTGGTCCTGGGCCACAGGATCTGGTCACCACCACTAACACACTAACAGGCAATTTTGATTGTCCCTCACAAGGGCCTTGTTGACCTGGTCAAAACACCGCAGTGTTCTGTTGAAAATTTGATCCAGATGGTATGTTTCTCTCCGGCTGCTTCACCGGAAGGTCCTGCTGGTAGGAATGAAGTGGTTGCTTTCCTCGCAAGTCTATTGGAGAACTTCGGGCCATCAATCAACGAAGAAGCACGTCTACTCAACATGATCCTCAGAGCATGCAGACTTTGGTCGTCTCAGTCACTCTACAACAAAGCTATGAGGAGAGCTGTGATGGAGGCTCAGCGCAGAACTCGATACTATCTATCCCACTCGTCCTTCATGGCCCCTCGCACAAGATCCCCCACTGCGGAAATATCCGAGGCACTTTCTAAATTTGTTAATGAGTTTTTCTCGAATCCCACGGGTCAAGATTGGGACCAGTGGTAAGTTGGATGGATGTTCACTTCAAGTCGTGCTGCCTTGCCAAAATGGTTGTTATTCTTTCTGGCTGACATTATGTACCTGTACTTAGCCTGGGAGAGTTGGTTCAAGGCCTCGATCCCGCGTCTCTGAATGCAGCACTCAACGCCATCCAAGAGCGACTCAGGCCCAAGGAGCTGAAAGAATCTTTCGAAGACTGGCGGTCTTCTGTCGAAAGCAACAAGTTTGAGACCAAAGATTCCTTGACGGCAGTTGATCTCCCATTTATTTTGGACCTGATTCAATCGCATTCCAAAGACGACGAGTGGATTGCCAATCGGTGAGTGATAGCATGGCTCATCATTGAACAACACAACACTGACGCAAGCATTTGAGACTTCTTCCAAAGCTGTCTGAACAGGCTGAAAAGCCGCTTCTCTATGCGCTTCTTCACAAACTCTCCGCCGAAAAGGGCTTTTCTGCACTCAAGAACACATCCTCTGTAGCAAGACGTCTGTTCGAGGCCACGTTCCCGAAGTTACATGTTGAAATTGGTGATTTGGAAGACAAATCGCAGCGATCACCGCAAGGGTCCAGCAATTTCGGCGGGGCCTCGGACAGGAACAACATCACGAGCAGTGTGACTGGATTCACGAACCTGCTTGAGAACTGTTTCATGAACGGTGTGGGGACGAACGGCCTGAGAGACCGTGGCATGGTGTTATTGAGGAAAAGCCACGAGAGTCTATCCGAGGCCTTTGGACGTTTGCCACCAAAGGGCTCCAAACGAGACAACGCCACCGGATTGCGGCCCTGGGGCGTCCCAGTTGTGACGGAGCGGGCACCGGGCGAAGAATTACTTGTGGATCTTGTCGTTGTCATGCACAAGTATCAACTCGTCGATCCGCCTGCTTTTGTGAGAGATTTGTTCTTGCTACTGTTCACAAGATATATTCTGCCGGACCAGCCGAAAAGTCCACCGCAAAAACCAGGCACATGGAGCCACAAGCCGCGTTTCTGCTACAAACACGATCCTTCTCGTGACAAGATTCACGGCACCTGTCATCTATGTGCACTCATTCAGGATTTCATCCGCGCGCCAGATCAGGTCAAGGGACGTTTCTCCTATGGCAAGGAGATTCGGCGGCATCTCGAGTCTGTCCTCCCCAGCATACACTACAGGTGCGCAACAGATACGACGAGCGGCAAGGGCAACTGCCACACCCTAGTTGTGACCAAGATCGGCAAGGATACTGAATACAAGGAGGAGATGAGGGTGTATGAAGATAAGATGCGACTATATGAGAAGAGACTCTTGAGTTTCCGTCAGCCAATCGTGCGAAGACTTCTTGGCAACGAGACTTACCAGTCACTGATCATGGTTGACTCCGCGCCGTACGACGCGTCTACTACTAGTGTGCCGTCTAAGAGAAGTGCTGGTGAGAGCCAAGACCAGCCTGCATCAACCAGGCAACGGACAGAAGAGGTCGTTGACTTGACCGAAGAATAATCACTCGTGTACAAAATGTACATACACATATCATTGGCTTCTCAGTTGGCGTTCATGTAATCATTTGCTCGAACACTCGCCATTGAATGCCCTCGCGAAATTTGCTCGCTATTGTGAAAATCAATCGGCTAATATCTGCCTCACGTATTTCACCGCATCCGCCTCTATCTCCTCGACAGGCCGATCGACATTGAGGGTATGGACGTCCTTCTCATCCACACCTGGCGGCTCCAGGCTCTCGAACTGAGAGTGCACTAGGTTGCTCCCAGCAAAGTGTCCCCTGCGCTCCGCTGCCCGCTTCGTGAGGACCTCCTCTGGTGCGTCGAGATAGACAAAGCGGACGCGCAGGTTCTGCGCCTGGTCCGAGCCCTCGCGCAGGATGTCGCGATAGTGACGCTTCAGCGCTGAGCATGTCATGACGAGGTGTCTTGATGTCGCCCCTGGAGGGTGCATCGTCTCGTGGTCGCGGAGGGCCTCGAGCCAGCCCTGGCGGTCCTCGTCGGTGAGGGCGTAGCCGAGGTGCATCTTTTCGACGTTGGCTTTGGGATGGAACTTAGCGGGAACCATGGTTAGCTTGAGGGGTCCCTAGGAGCGATTCCCGGCGGCGGATGAGAGGAGGGTCATTTGTTTCGTACGTCGTCACCTTCGAGGAAGGTCAGGTTTAAGCTGTCGGCCACGTGCTTTGCAATCGTCGACTTGCCGCATGCCGTGGCACCCGTGAAGAAGACGACGTACCGCGGCCGTTCTGCTGTTGGCTTCTCGCCCATGATTATCGACGGCGCGTAAACCAATGGCACTGAGTGTTTCACCTCGCAGATTTTGATATGTCCCTAAGTCTGTAATCGAGCTAGACAACGCCCAGCACGCGTGAACTTGGCCATGACGTACGTAGGTGCGAGTACCGGATGGCCCGGTGGATCCGTCATTGTTAGCTCATCCCGGCTCATTGGGACTGGAGCAGAGACTTGACACAAAGCCAGCTCCAGCAGAAACCTGACATCTCTCACATGGAGGCAATGGGAGACTTTTCGCAGGCCGCTTAACTGAGCTGAAGAGCAACCAATCGATTACTCTGTGCAACCCCCTCCCCCCCGAAGCTGCCAAGCCGGGCCTAGCCGTTGACATGCGTTTTGCCAAGATGAAATCGGGTGGATCCTGAACACTGTAATTGGCATTGGACAGCTTCGGTGTGACCTCCCTTCGATGGGAGCGAGCACTTGAGGAGATACGTGACAGCCTGAGGCCTGATTCTAGGCATTGCATTGAAGCTAGCCTGCACCTAGCTGTTTCGCTAACTACGAGATTTCTCTCAGAGTTGGTTGATTGGCAAGGGCAGGCCTTTGACCAGGGGACAATGACGTGGTGCCTGACATCATGGCAACGTCGGGGCGAGTTCAGCGCTCGTCCCCGTCACTAATTGATGCATAGCCGACCTAGAGCGCGCCGGTGGCCAGGAACATATGTCCCTGGTGCGACGAACCGTCAAGCCCACCCTTCCGGATCGATCTATTTAAGCCCAGAAAGCTTGGCGCCCGTGATTACGACTTGTACATGTCCTGCTATTCACCTATAGCTCGTGGATAAGTGAGATCTTAGACGAAGAAGCACTGTAAACTTCAAAGTTGCACAGCTGTCCCATCTTGACCACCAACGTTGGCTCAACAGCACAATCCACCGCCGTCAACATGGTCCTACAGCACGGAGACGAGCATCAAATCCCAGATGACCATAAGATCCATAAGTTGGTCGACCCCCTCTCTCCCTACCCGCCTCGTCGTGAACTAGACCTCTGACTGCTTCCAGAAAGGGCGCCTGGCTGCCTGCGGACAGCCGTGTCCACAAGGAGTGGCTGAACCGGCAGGTTGAGCACGTCGACCAGAATCCCAAAGAGCTCATCCCGGTGCTGCAAGAGTTCAAGAACTTCATCGAGTCGAACCCGCGCATCCGTATGCTCTTCACCCAGATGTGGGACGAGATCCCCCAGAAGAAGCCCTACAACAAGGACCCCACAGGCCACAAGGCAATCAGGGATTATGGCCACATGCTCGCAGTCCTAAACCACGTCTTTTCGCGTGCGCCAGAGTGGACAGATGCCGCAGAGAACGTAGGCATGGTGGGTGTGCCCATGTGTGCTATTTTCGACTACGCCATGGCCACCCCGAGCGGCCACGCCGCTTTCTTGGACGTCGAGGTGAACAAGATGCTGAAGAAGGTTCTGAATGAGTGGGGAAAGTTCCTCCAGGTGCGTTCCCACTACTAAGTATTACTGTTGGGCGAGTATATCTGGTGCTGACGTCGTCTCTAGTCCCCCGAGTCGGCCCACGTGCTCGGCGACCACCGCCTCGGATGGTTTGGAGAACACGGCAGAAGGGACCTCATGCAGGTCGCAAACGCACCCCTCAAGACGGACCACAAGTTCGAAGACATGTACATCTGCGACCCAAGCAAGGACAAATACGGCTTCACCTCCTGGGACGACTTCTTCACCCGCAAGTTGCGAGAGGGCGCGAGACCGGTGGCCTCCCCCGACGACGACAACGTGATTGCGAATTGCTGCGAGTCGCGGCCCTACGCGGTCGAGCGTAACGTCAAGCTGCGAGACAAGTTCTGGATCAAGGGCCAGCCCTACTCCATAGCGGACATGCTGGCCAACGACCCGCTGTCGGAACAGTTCAAGAACGGCACAGTCTACCAGGCCTTCCTGTCGGCCCTCTCGTATCACAGGTGGCATGCGCCCGTCTCGGGGACGGTCAAGAAGGCGTATGTCGTGGACGGGACGTACTTTAGCGAGCCGCTGTATTCCGGCGGTGATATGAACAGCACCGAGGAACTGGCTCAGATCAAGCAGGGCATCTCGTCGGCGCAGGGCTACCTGTCCGCGTTGGCGGCCAGGGCAATCATCTTCATCGAGGCCGACAACCCCGCGATCGGGCTCATGGCGTTTATCGGCATCGGCATGGACGAGGTCAGCACCTGCGACATCACAGTCAAGGAGGGCCATCATATCAAGAAGGGCGACGAGACTGGCATGTTCCATTTTGGCGGCTCGACTCACTGCCTCATCTTCAGGCCCGGCGTCAATGTTGAGGGTTTCCCGGAGCCTGGCCGCAAGGAAAATGTGGCTGTGAGGAGTCAGGTGGCGGTTGTCAAATCTTAGATCGGTGATGTGAATTTGTCCATGGAACTTCAAAAGCGTGTTTTCTTGATTTAAGAGCTGTGCTGTCGGTTGCTATTGCTTGAAAATGTTATTATCCAATTGGCTGACCCGCCATGTTTGTATGTAAGATCCTGTCATTCGAATTAGAACGCACTCGAGACCGTCGCCAAATAAACCTGCATCCATTTACATGTCCCACACTTCGTAGTCACAACGCATACAGATGAAGTGATTCAGGGGTACACTTGAAGCATTCACATCAACTTTTACCAAAACGCTCCGTGAACGTCACGCCGCCTTGGACCGCCCAGCTTGGTAATATTTACTCCTTCCACCACTAGGGCTTGTCCAAGTCTCTGCGAAAGGTCCAGTAGATTTGTACTGGTCACCACGTTCGCCGGTGGTGCGTAATCCGGAGGGAATTGTTCCTTCTCTGTCCATACGCATCAACATATTGTTGTCACCGCACATGCGTGCCTCGTGTGCTGATGTCACGGGGTGGTTTTTGGACTGAAACTCACCAAAAAAGAACTGCACGGCAGCCTTGGGCGCAACACCAGTCTGCACGTCCCCGAACACCATGATGTACGCCACGGACTCGCCCGTGGTGAAGGCCTGGGCGAGCGGGGAGAGGCTGAACCCGGGGTTCGTCGCGTTCGAGGTGCGGATGCGGGCGGCCCGGCCCTTGGCGGAGGTGTTGACGCTGATGGTGTCCTCGGTCCACTGCGCGAGCGTCTCGTCGAATATCGTCTGGTTGAAGGGGTTCGGGTCGCCGAAGGCGGCGTCTTGCCGGCTGCTTTCGAACTCAGCGAATATCTGTCGCGCCAGGCATACATATAGGGGGCTACCCACCTCAAGCTGGCGTCGTGTTCCAGGATGTTGTGGCGCCCGAGGTCGGGCAGGGAGAATGTCGTGTTGTCCTTGGCCGGGTTGGTCTGGACGGCTGCGCGGAAGAGCAGCACGGACAGGCTCTCGTCCTGGTTCATGCCCTGCCGCATTGCGGTCACCAGGTCGGCCTGGGTGATGTTCTTGCCGCTGCGTGGTAGGAGGCCGTGGTTGGCTAGGGTATTCAAGCCGGGGCAGGGGCCTCGGACTGCATGTTTGAACAAGATTCAGTATCGTGTGTGTTGTTGTCGTTGGCACGCTCAACCTTAGAAGGCTGGCACTTACTATCGTCAGGCCCAGGAGGAGCAAATGCAGGTATCTGGGCCGAGACCAGCCCAGAAAACAGCAAGACTAATAACTTCATGTCTGTGGATAGACAGGAGTGCTGGAAAGTTGAGTAGTTGTCGATATGTGTGTGGTGTGAGGCGAGACATTCCGGAGACGTTGTCTATATACCTAGGTATCCGCACGGGAACATTGAAACACGCCCGAGGAAAACATTGGACTATTATGTCGGCAGTGCAAAGGATGTCAAAACAAAGCCATGGCCATCCGTTTCCCGGTTCCAATTCGACAGGAGTTTGTGTCATAAATGCGAAACGTCCCCTTCAGACGACATGTCGACGACCGAGCACAGCCCAATGCAACATCAGGCTGGAGCTTTCGAGGTCTGGATCAGTACTCTATTGTATGCCGAGGGGCAGGATTACAGACGAACACGTTTGTTCAGAGGGACCTGGGGGAAAGCTCAATGCGTGACAAGACCTCAAATGCGATTGGGGCAGACGTGCGTGTTGTAAGAGCAGGGATCCGCCCGAACCTTGGAAAGACTGGGAGCTTGGCAGGCGATCTACCTGGTTGCCGCCTTTGGTGTTTCGAGCCAACCAAACTCCCCTGCCGCTCATTTGTGGTTTTTTTGTTGTTCAGTCACCTGATACTTATCTTATAAATGGTCCAGATTTCATAAAGCGTTCGGATGAGATTACACGGATGTCTTCCAGACAAGGAGCTTGAGAGTTTTCATCATGGTTCTCGTTACACTGCACTACCACAATTGTTGGATTAGCTTGGCCATGTAGGCCTAATGCCTCGGTGAGTTGCTTGTCAATCGTACCTAGGTACGTTACGGGACTTGAGCTCACCGAGGTTCTGACTCCTCCAATGTCAATTTATTAGCGATTGCAACTCGGTTGGCGACATTTCTGGTCGACACTAGGATACTTTTACATGTTTCCCAGAAGCAAACCAATAATAAAGCTGGAATCATTTTGCAATTTTTAATCTTCAAAATATTCCTATGTTGAAATACATGAGGCAATAATAGGAGTAGATCAATATCTCGATATCCAGGTGATTTGAGAAAATCAATATATGGTAAAGGAGGCCTGTTTGTTCAGAAATTGGACGCGAGTAGCCACGTGAAATCGAGGCCCAGACAAATTGAGTGGAGCAGGTAGTAGGTTGACGAAGAAAAAGCATTTGTTGGCGAGCCTGACGTCTTACACCTTTTCGCCGAAGCCTCCTGAGTGGTACGGATGGCTCATCAGAGGTGTTTCACTGCAGAAGTAGGTGTTGGTGTCAATCAGCGGCTCAAACTTGTAGCCACTGCAGTGATTAAAGGCAAAGTCCACTGCCGTCTGCAAATGAAGCATCTCCAAGGTCCGTTTGATTCAATCCCAAGGCGGGAGTCGGTAATCAAGATGGTTGTTGAGCAGGAATATGCAGGTCTATGAATGCCCCGGGTGCCAAAAAGCACCTATCTCGATGCGTGATGATACACTCCATGGTTTCTTCCCGTCTACCCATACCGATATACACCTTTCATGCTTCTCCCAAAACCGCCAACCCATGAGCCCGTACAGTCCGTGTCGGAGGGGAGTCTACAGAGTTCCCTTGCTGGTATAGCCAGCGACATTGTACACCAGAGGCCAAAGCCCCGCCTTTTGTTCATCTCTAGTTTTCCTTGTTTTTGTACTTCGGGTGCTCGCTGAATTTGGCGCGCTAACAATGCTTCGTGTTCTTGATCTACTTCCGCCTCTTGATCGTCTTCACAGCCATCTCCACCAGCCCATCCTTGGCCTCGCTGTCAGGGAAATCACTGATGCTCTGGATGGCCTTCTCGGCGTAGTCCTCCGCCAATGCTCGCGTCTGGTTTATGCCGTCTGTCTCGAGGACAAGTTGTCGTGCCTTGGTGCAAGTGTCAGTATATCTCTACGCGTGCGCCTGATCCTCAGAGCATCAAGGTACTCACCCTCTGGACATCGCCCTCGCCGGCGAACTTCCTCCCAACCAACTCTCCCAGCTCCGGCCTCGTCTTCCACGCGAAGAGCAGCGGCGCGGTCGCAAGACCGAGCTCGAGATCCGCACCAGCCGGCTTCCCCAGGTCCGCCGCCGACAGCGTGTAGTCCAGCATGTCGTCGACCAGCTGGAACGCCAGGCCTAGGTTCTTGCCGTACGCGTAGGCCGCCTCGACGGTCTCGGCGCTCGCCCCGCCCAGCAGCGCCGAGGCGCGGCAGCTCTTGCTGATCAGCGACGCCGTCTTGAGGTAGGTCTTGTTGAGGTAGTAGCCGAGGGTGTCCTCGCTCCACTTGGGGCGGGCCTCGTCCTGGGCCGTGTTCTTGAGCTGCATGAACTCGCCCTCGACGAGGTTCGCGATGACGGTGGCCAGCAGCTCGACGACCTCGGCGTTGCGGAGGCGCGCCAGCGCGACGGACGCCCGCCCCAGGAGGAAGTCGCCCGCCAGGACGGCCATCTTGTTGCCGAACTCGAGGTTTGCGCTCGGGGAGCCGCGGCGCGACTCGGAGTGGTCGATTACGTCGTCGTGTAGCAGTGAGGCGGTGTGGATCAGCTCGGTGATCTCTGCCAGCCGCCGCTGCGAGGGGAGGATGTCTGTCTCGGATGTGGCGTCGGTCTCTGCGGGAGTCGGGGTTGGGGTGGATGGGTTCACGTCACGGAGTATGGAGAGAGGTGATAGGGAGGTGTTGATGGGTATTGATTGTATGGGAGAGGCATTTTGCTGGTTTGGCGGCGGCGTCGGGGCCTTGGGGCATAGGTATGTGGCTCGCGACATGAGCAGGACGATCAAGGGGCGCATATGCTTCCCTTCGGCCTGGGTGTAGTACTTTGCGACTCGGTCGAGCGAAGGGTGCCCTGACCCAAGAAGATTGCGAATGTTCCCGGTCAGGAACTTCATCTCCTTTGCGACTACCCTCAGGGGGTCGATGCTCATGTCGCTGGGCTTCCCTCGCGAAATCGCATTACTGACGGCGTTCTTGGCCACGGCGACAGCTGCGCCAAAGGCCGAGGATCTCGGGTCCGTAGAGTGGTACAGGGCTCGTTGGTTCCATCTTATCCTCACGTCCAGCTCCTGTGTCCGTATGCCTTGCGCACATCGTGCATGTCGTGATAATGAAGTGGTTGGCCTTGTCGTGGCGCGCAGGACCGGAGCTCCCGGCCGGAGCTGGATCGGCATTTCCGGTCGCTGTTTTCCTCCGCGACAGACCAATTGGGGATTTTCAAAACACTCAGTGAGATCGCAATCGTGTGAGCTGCGGGTGTAGCCGCAGCGAGGTCGTGCTGTGTACGTGGGTGGGGTTGTTGGAGCCGTGTAGTTGCTGTCACTGGAGATCTGATGATGAATCTTCGATCTTTTTTTTTCCCGCCCCAGGATCGTCTATCGAGCTTCTCCAAGTCTGCAAGTCCAGCCCCAGGAAAAAGGCACCCCCAAAAATGTCAATGCGCTTATCGACAGGGGTCCTCGGATCTAGCCGGCCCCACCCTTGCACGCTTGTTGGCTTGCGAATTGCAGTGCCGGGGTCGATCAACCGTTGCCAACTGCAGCTTGAGCTTGGACTCGGGCTGTGGCCTGGAAATGTGTCCCGGCTTCTTTCTAGCACGGCCAACCCGCGCCATCTCGTGAGAGCTTCATGACCACGGCATCACCATGGTTCTCCTCACGATGACGCCCTTCCTTGTGGGGGCGATCAGCAAATTCAAGGAGGTTGGGGCCCAAGTCGAGAAACAGTCGCAAGCTTCTTCTGAGGCGGAGCCATCACTGCAGAACCCAGCGATCGGGAAGCCAATCTCGCACGGCCAGATCGTCCAGCTGTGGAAGCTGCTGAAGGACCACGATGCACAGAGCTATACCCTAGAGAACCTGCTCTGGGGCGCCCGGGTCTATGTTCCCCCAGCCCCTGCAAAGCCTGAGCCCGTACGACCTTTCCTGTCTTGCGCACGCAGCCTCATCGATGCCCCTGCTGACACTCCATGTTTTGTTCATCAGACACCAGAGTACAAGGCGCTGATGGCCCGCCTTCGACGCGAGGAAGAAGAACGGAAATACCAGCGAATGGTCTCCCAGCCGTCCCCCCTCGATGCGGCTCCGGGCTTCGCCCAGCAGTTCGCCCAAGTCAACCGCCCCGCAGACAAGGCCGATCTCGGCGACGACGATGCGACTATGAATGACGTCCACCGGCAGGTCATGCTAGTTATCAACTTCCTCGTTACTATATTTGGGTGCGCCGCAACCTTGTGGATTGTGGCCAGGTGGTGGAGCACCCCGGCGCGGCTGTTCTTGACCATGGGAGGCACTCTGCTCGTAGCAATCGCCGAGGTCGCGGTATATTCGGGATATGTGTGGCATATTGGAGAGGCAAGAAAGAAGGATTCCAAGATCAAGGAGGTCAAAGAGATCGTGGATACTTGGGTGGTGAACAAAGAGGCCGAGGCAAAAGAGGTGCCGTCGAGCAAGAAGGATTCTGGCGCAGTCGGAGCACGGCAAAGAAAAATACGGAAAGGAGGCACATGAGGGCAATGAGTAAATATGAGAAGTCCCCAGGCAACACCGACAGCCCAGCTCTTCCGGGCCGTTGATACCCTTGGCCACGATCTCGCACCCATCACTTGCCCGTGCAGCCCCGGACGCGGTCTTGACGCGGGTTATGTCATCAGCTGGCTGCCACGTATTTTCGCGTCAACACGCTAAAGTGCGACGCGTCTCCCAAATGCTGCAGACGCGACCCCCACCCCGACTTTTCCAGCGACCGTATCTTCTGGTGCGACATTGCCAACTCCATGAAGCTACCCTTGTCTCCTAGTGTCTTGAATCCCATCCATCCTTGACAACCACATCCTCAACCACATCCTGTAATCACTATTTCCATTTACCCATCTTATTGCCACGCTTTGTCGGCCATGGCGAGCGCGTTGCCATTGTCGGCCCCCTCAACAACGCCAGCGCCCTCATCCGCATGGAGCCGCCTGGTCCAAATTACAAGAACTGCATCTGAGGGCTCTCGCAACAAGGCACCTGAGCCCTCAAGCCAGCTCAACCGGTCATTACCGCCCGGCACCCACACATCATCCTCGGCGGCGCCAGCCAAGAAGCGCCGTCAGGTCGAGTCACCACCTGCGCGATCCGTCACGAAATACCTCGCGCCGCTTTCTCCAGAACCTCATGATCTGCCAAAGAAGATGCCGCCCGAAAAATCGAAGAAACACACGTGCTGTTCGCCCAACGGTAACAAGCATGAATGCATCACAGCTTGCCCATGCAGAGTCGAGGATGTGGACTGTGTCGCGTCGCAGGAACCCGGAGTCAACGACAAGCGGTTCTTACCACGGGGCGATCGACAACCGCCCACAACAGCTGAAGATCCCGACCAAGATCGAACCCCGCCAAAGTCCCCCAAAGCCTTGCGTCGCGGCACCCCACAGCGCGTACGGAATACATCGCCACGCCCAGACGAGCTCGAGACGAAGAGGAGCGAGACGTTGACACACTTCGGAGAACAACACATCTCCAGAGATTCAGAGGGAGAGGCTGAGACTGAAGATGAACTTGCCATACCAGCCACCTGCAGTTCTGCGCGCCTGGAGAATCATGTCACTGTTGCGAAGACCGTCTTGGAGCCAGGAGAGGCGGTAGAGGATGGCAGTTCGTCCATCACCGGGCCTGGCCTGCATGAGGGCGACCACAACTCGGCAAACAAGACGCCAGTTCCGAAGAGCCATTCTCCGTCCCCCGCAGGCACGGATGAAAGCATCCAGCTGGCCACCCCTTCATCCTCGCCCACGACCAAGACCGACAGCCAAGCAAAGGAAGCACCTGTCGAGGCAACCAAGCCACACGGGCCTGCCCCGGCCCCGGCCCCCAAGACGAAGCGGCGCCTCACCCTCCACGGCGACAGCTACGGGAGGCATTCTTCTCACAAGAAACGCAAGACAGCGCCAAAGCGGAAGGATGGGGTCCAGACGACCCTGAGCCTTGCGATTGGCAGCAGTGCAGGGATGAGGGAATGCAAGTTGTGCGATACGGTGTACAATCCGTTCCACCCAGAGGACGTGAAGGTGCACACGAAGAGGCACGCAATTGCTGTGAAGAGGGAGCGCAGGTCCGAGGAGACCACGGGGCCCGCGGTGTCCCTGGTGGACTAGACAGCTGTTGCTGATGTATAAACATCACGGCGTTTGGGTACACGAATACAGACTTTGCCGGGTATTTGCGTGTGGTGGAAGTGTTTGGACAAGAGCGGAGCGGAATGGGCAGTTTGCATACTGGTCACGCATCAATGTTGGAGAACGGATTAGATTTAACGCATAGCATGTTGTACACACGATACCCCCAGCTTCCCAATGATAGATAGCCATTCTCTTGAGCTTACTGTCCCCGATGCGGCCGTGTCTGATGTGGTGCGTGATATCATGCAACGCAGCTAGGAACAGGAATCTGCTAATGGCGGGCTGTAAATTTCCCCTCGAGCCCTACCTAGGTATACGAGATTTCTAATGTCTCCTTGGATATTTGCCGGCATCATCGAGACTGGCAACTGGGGTGTCTGGTGCCCTGGCCAATGCGTTTGGATCGCCGTGTTGAGCGGGGCCCTGCTTGCTTGCCGGCACGGAATCGAACCTTTGTGAGGCCAAGGATCTCCTGTGCTTGACTAGTAACCGAGCGGACAACCTGGCCCGGGTTGGTTGTGGTAAACTGCCGGATGATGGATGCAATGTTGCTCCTCAGCCAGGGTGGACGAACCACCTTGAGTACCTAGGTAAGGATCCACGAATGCCAACCCTTGGAAGGAAAAGGGTCCGAGCCCCCGACGCGTCTCGCTGTCTGAGAAAAACGAAGTTGCGCCCCCCCCCGGTCAAATGACCCCTGTTCATTAGTTAAACCAAAAAAAACACCACTACTTATACAATACAAGTCAGGCTTCTTCTAATCCTTTCCTTAAAACTATTAGGGTTACTACCCTCTTAAAAAAAGATTAATTATAAATATTTATACTTAATTATTATATATTTAAATAAAAAAACCTTTTAATTATAAAAAGGAATAAAAATTAACTATTTTTAAAGTTTTTATAAAAATAAAAGGTTTTATTTTTATTATATAAGTGTTTTTTTATTAAAATATGGATAGGGGTCATTTAACCAGGGGGGGGTGCAACTTCGTTTTTCTTAGACAGCGCGACCACGGCGCGCTTTGGAAACCTTAAAACCCACCTCTGATCAACCACTATTCAATCCAGGTATTTTCAGATTCAATCACCAAATCTAGAACGAACTCAGCAAGAAGATATTCGAGAGTTCGCAATCATGGGCATGATAGTCGAGATTGGGGACCCGCAATGCCAGGTTCGTACCATGATCCTGAGCCCTCCAACCTGGAATGACACGCGAAATGCGGGCTCTAACTGGATGCGCAGGCCCTAAGCCTTTCTGACTCGAAGCGCTGCCTCGCCCAAGCGACGGCATACAATAACTTGTTCTGTGCTTACCATGCGAAGCTGTGCTTTGGCCTATACATGGGTTACAAGCGTCGCAATGCCCGGCTGGATAAATTGGGCGTCGACGGCCCGGCTTTCCTGACCAACAACTCAAGCATTCCTCCGGCGAATTTGTCCTTCAAGAACTTGAAAGACCCAGCCGAACTGCATGAGATACAGGAACATCTGTTCGATCAGTATGTTCTGCTCGGGCAGGTCATTGCTGCTCGTCAGCTGCACCACAAGCACTTCTTCTCCTTGGAGATGGACTATGGCCATAAGGTCTACCTGGAGAAGCTTCAGGCACGTCACACTGGCACCCTGCGAGCCCTCGAGCGCATTGGACAGAGGATCAGTGCCGTGCTGTACGAGAAGGAGCAATGGTACAAGTGGGTGAAGGCGACACAAGCCGAAGAGGAAGCCACTAGGGAGAAGGAGCAGAAGAAGGTCAAGTTGGAAGCCGCCATGTTCCAGAGACACTGAAAGGACCTGCAGTCGAGGCTAAGATGCCTGAAGATCAAGGAAGATGAGCAGCGGCAGAGTGCTTATCTCGATGAGGTCTGGCGGGAACGCATGGCGGCTGCGAACGAGGAAGAAGGCGGCGACGAGGATTGGGATCCCATCGAAGATATCTTGGCAGAGGATCGTGAAAAGTATCTCGACCTCATCCGGCAGTTCCTTTGGTTCGAGCCCGCAGAAACGAATGACGACGCAGTGCAACAGGACCACCAGCAGCAGCAGCATGGGCCACAGACCAAGGAGATTGACGGTCCAGCTCCTCAAATGCAGGTCATGGAAGCCACAGTCGCGGATGAAGACGAGGAGGAGGAAGCGGAAGGAACACCGAGCAAGGTGAAGAAGTCGAAAACAAAGTCAAAAGGCAAGAAGAAGAAGGGCAAAAAGCCAGCTGCCGCGACAACCTCGGTGCCGCAGCCTTCAGGCCAACTGACCGCGTCGAAGGCTGCTGTTCCAGCGCACAAGCCTGCGAGCCAGCTGACCGCTTATACGGCTCCTATCAATCAACTCGAAGTTGGCAAAGGCCACATCGAGAGCCCAGAAGAAGTCCGCAGACGGTTGCGAGAAGGCGTGGAGAGGGACCACTCTGGGCTGTCTGGACCCCAGCTTTTGGGCACTATTCAGAACCCCGTCGAGACGCATGGCCGCACGGCACCTCTTCCAGAAGAGGAGATTGAGAAGCTCGTGTTGGACATAACAGAGATCAATGCACTCCTGCTCTGTCGGATGCTTCTTTCGCACGCCACGCTGCTTCCAGCCGCTCTGCGAGCCAAGAGCGTAGAGGAGTTCATTGCGGATCCTTCGATTTCTCACACCGACCTCAGAGATTTGTGCCTGAAAGTCGAGCAGCCCAAATTGCAGGAGCTCAGAGACGCTTGCGCCGACTTTGCACGCGGTGACAACCCTGACCCTCCGCCGCCGGAGGAGGAGGTCGAAGTCTTGTCTACGGAGGAGGTCCTCCGGCGGAATCTGATGTATGGTGATATGAACGGGATGGGGCTCTTTGCCATGTTGATGTCCAGCACGTCGAAGAAACTCATGGCAGCAGAGGACCCGGGGAATCAAGAGAAGAGGCCAAAGGACAAGAGGATGAAGATTACGGTTTGCGGCAAGACAATTTGGAACCACGCAAGCGAAGCTGCCATGGCTCGAGATGGTTGGCTGCAATTCTCTGTCATGGCAAAAGACTGCTCCTTTGAAGACGCTGTCTCGCTTTGTCGGAACTGGGACGAGTTCTATGAGCTACAAAGTCTCGTCTTGTGGCAGTTCTTCCCTTCAGCCAAGTGGGCGTCCTGGACCCAGAATGCGCTGACCGGGCAGTTACTTCACTTGGTAATGCTCATTTATAACCACTCTGTGAGCAACCCACTGACCTCGAGCAGGGCTTCATCCCGTTTCAAACCTTGTTCATGGCGGATATTCTGTCAAGACACGACCAGGTCGGCTCCAAGGGAAGGCATCGGCGACAACATCACATCGAAGAGTGTCGCAATCTCATTTGTGCCCACATGAAACGGGGAGATCCGGTCACTAATCGGTTCATTGACTATTGCATCATGCAGGCCGGAACCCTACAGATACTCGTCCGGGATGGCAAGACTAAGCAGATCTTATATGCTCCTAACGAGGAGAACGCACGATGGATTCACAGAGTCAAATCCGGTCTTGGTCGGGCATCAAAGAACGAGTATATTGTCACGTCAGCCGTGGACAGCAAGATGCTAGAGGCACTGGACCATGGCCGAGATTGGCGATTCGGTTTCGACGCCCATTACGAACTGTACATATGGGACTTTGTTCCTGGCGAGAGCTCGATGGTGCTGTTTCATCATCTAGTAGATGTAAGTCAGCATCCCTCATGATGTTCAGGAGATCTGCCGGAGACTGATGGTTTGCAGATGCTCCGAAGAGCCCGAAGAATGCAGGAGTTCCGGGATTTGTACGGCCACCAGAAACATGTCCTCGAACACCTGACCCAGGATGCGGACACCATGCGAGTCCGTCAGATTCGCCCTGGCGAGGAAGCACCAAACATCTACGATTTCGTCACTGGTCCAACAGCGCAATACGCAATCCAGAATAATAAGTGTGGCGTAAAGTGGACCGAGAAGCCCCTCGAACTGGTCGAGAACGGGGCTGCACCGTCGCCTTACACTCTGTATAACGATGCTGATGTAGCGGAGGATGAAGTTCTCTTCGGCGGAGGGCGTGACCAAGGCCTGTTCACGCCAATAATAAACCCATTGGTCGTCATGGAGAACTCTGGAATGACGCAGACCATGTTACAGTATGGTGCCAGCCTCATCGACGAGTTGGACGCGAATGACGTGGGAGAGGATGGAGTTGATGCAACGGCCGGGAAGACGAAGGCTTTGATGTCAGCGAAGGAAGACAGCAATGCCCGACATTTCATACACTCCATGCCGCCGATCTGGAGACATGCATACTTCGAAATCAACAGGAAGCTCGGCGAACATGGTAGAGACAGAGAGGATCTGCTAGACCGCTTGGACTTCTTTTCTCAAAAACTAGAGATGAGCGGTCGGGAGCTTCAGAAACTCTCGCAGCTTGAGCTGATGGAACGGGACAGGTCTTACAGTACGTCACCTCACGGGGCAGCACGCCGCCTTTGGTCCCTGTTTTCTTTGTCTTGACTATTTCTATTCATCTTGACATATGCTCCCCGCAGCTGACCAGGGCTTTCCAAACAGGTTTCAAAGAATCTTTCCATCTAGGAGACCTCGAACCTGGTGCTCGAGACAAGTACGTCGAATCGATGAGGATTATCATAGGCCTACAAAAAGCGTCGTCAGTCAAGACTGCTGGCACTGAATGGGCCTGGTTCTGCCTTGACATCCTTGACAGGCTTGGATTGCAGGCATGGTGTGACGATTACGATCCAAACCCACACTCCCCCTGGCCGCACCGGTACCTCGCCCAGGATGTCACGCAAGCTTTTGTTACAATGGGGTTATTCTTTCCTAAGCTGGAGGTAACCAAGCTTGTCAGGGACTTCTTGGACTCTGAGCAGGGCTCGCAATTCAAGATCTCGGGTATCTTTGACCCGGTCGCGCGCTCACGGATGATACCGGATCGGCGGTCAAGGACAAGTCAGACTCGGAGGCCAAAGAGCTTCTTCAAGGAACTGGAGGAACTGGAGAGTCGCGAAGAGTCAATGGTAGATATATGCCCGATGAGCTGGAGCACAGCCGTCAGGCCAATCATTGCAACCTGTAAGCCAACCTTTACCTTATTCCGTCGTCCCCAAGGCACCACCTGCTCACAGCTGACAACTCCAGTGTACCGAGCCGGCATCATCCAGCCGTCCAACACCCAACCACATCCCGATTGCGTCCCCGGCCGCGCCTACGCGGCGGAAGAGCCACACCGCCCGGGCAAGCTAGACTTCTTCGTACGCTACAAACGACACCAGCCACTCTCGGTCCCACCCGTGCCTTCAATGGAAGACTGGCCCGACCTTCTGGAAAGCGCGCAGGCGTTCTCAAAGGAGAACCCGGGGGCCAAGTTCTCGCTGCTGCGGCTATGGTCTGCGCCGCACTTCTACCCAATGATGGTGCACTATGACACGCGCCACGTCATGGCCTTCGTGGACTCGCGCGATCGCAGCTGGGAATTTAAGCTCCTGCCGAAAGACCTTGAGGAAAGTGAGAAGAGGGCCATGCACCTGACGTCGAGCAGGATGGGGGTCGTTGTCGAGGCGGCGCGGGAACATGATGGGGTGGACCTCAGCGGGCACTTTGTGCCGAGGGGCGACGCGATACTCGTCATGGCGGAGTCTGAGGAGGAGCTGCTCCGCCTGAGCACGATTGCCACGTTTGCGATGCAGACGAAGCCGTGGCTTCGGGAGGTCGATCTGTGGAAGAGCTTTGTGAATGTCGAGCTGGACTTCCTGCAGGGCTTGGATCCGTCTTGGCTGGACTGAGGCGATATGAGATGGAGGGAGTCAGCTTTTTCAATGATTTCAGATGAAGTTACCTGGTTTTTCATGCTATTCTGTATACGTCCGAAGACATACATGACGCCCTCAGGCGCGGGGGGGGGGGGTTATGATCAAAGACCTAGCATTTAGACAAAAAAAATACTATGTCGATAATAGTGGTTAGATGAAGTTAAACCCCGAGATCATGTTTAATGTCCCAACTTTGACGATCCAGGCATTTGGCGCAGCACATGAGCTAGCGGTACATACCTAGGTATCCATATCACTTTCAGTACAGAGTGAGTGCCTTTCTCCTGTTCATGGGCCCCTCGAGAAGACTACATAACATTTGAATATGACCACGCACGAGGCCGAAGCCACGTGCCAAGTCTCCTTACACTGTTCTTGGTATTGTTGTCTTTTAAACGCTGGGTCTTGAGCGTTTACCACCGTATGAAGGCGCCATGTATGCCCCCGGACGTATGCGCAATAGAAGAGAAACCAGTAAAAGCGTTAAATAACATGTACGTTAGGAGTTAAATGGTGGGCTCAGGTAGCATATGTCTATTATTTAATACATGGGCTGGTCCTTGGGGGTCCTTGGGCATGGTACGAGGTGTTGTCGATGCATGTTCTTTCTGATGCACAGCAACATAGAACTCAGAGTCCATCATAAGAAATCAAGATCATGGTTACAGATGTACCTTGGAAAATGCATGTGGGTGATCACGCTGGGATTCTTGGCGAGTCTTGGAGTGTCACGGGCAGAGCTTTCAAGCCACAAGGTATTGTTTAGCTATGTATGTGAAAATGACTATAGAGGATGAAGAATTCAAGACTTCCAAGGTTGCCATGTGCTTTCTCTTCCATGACAAAGATAAACCCGCACCTGGCTCTTTCGTCACCCATGCTACCCCCAGTCTCGAACTACATGGCTCAAATTCCAAGCAGAGTCCTTGCTGACCACAACATTTCTCCTCATAACAAGCTGGGTGAGCCATTCACATCGCTGCCCTGCTCTTCAGCCAAGTCACACTATCATACGCCCACGTTGCGTTCTTCCACTCTCTCATTGTATAGGTTCTGCTTGCTCGGACGCGAGAGGTTGGCCCATCTGCTCTTCCCGTGGCCACGCCTGTCCTCATCGCTAAGGCGGAAGCTTCCCTCGGCATCCTTGTTGCTTACAGGCAGCGAGGGTATATGCGTCTGGGATGCGGAGGCTTTCGCCAGGAGACTTCCGACCAGGGATCCAAAGGACCTCGGGGCGGATGCGTCGAAAAAGGCGGGAAATGCGGTGGCGCAGCCGCAGATCAGACCGATGTTGGCTTCCAGGACGCTGCGGGTGGATGAATTCGTTAGAACTGACTGGCGAGACGACAAACCATGGTGTGGAGGAGGCAAGCTGATCGACACTGTAGAGATACTTACGTCCAATAGAGCACTTTGGCCGCCACGTAGGTCTGGTCAGGGTCATTCGCATACTCGATCGATATAACAAACCGCATGATACTTGCGATACAGGTGCTGGAAAGAACGAAAATATGTGAGCTTCAGGCGCATAGCGGCTTGCAGTCTTCTCAGAACGGCAGCAGTGGTTGCTTCAGACTCACAATGTGCCAAGACCAAAGATCGACGCTATTCTCAGCCGTCGAGCCAAGGGCATATGCATCTTGAAGATGATCGGCAAGGGGAGCAACAAGACGTAGAAGTCAGAAATCACGTTGAAGACGCCCGTGGCCCACGGGAACGCTGCGTAGCTCATGCACTTCCCGTTGACAGTCGGGTTCCACGCCGCCGCGACCGGCGTGCAGCGGAACACGTCCATGAAGAACGTGACGAGGTAGAAGATGGAGCAGGCCGCGAGGCCGAACCAGATGCCCCACTTGGTCCCTCTGTCTGTCTTGAACATCCGCAAGTACCCGAGGAGTATGGAGAGCTTGATGGACAGGATCAGGGGGAAGTAGGACTTTTGGGAGACGGTGAGCCACTGGCAGATGACGGGTTAGCAGGAAGACATATTAACAGTCATCGTTTGGCTAGACGAAATACCTTGAGGGTGTTGATGATTTCGGATGCTCGGATGTCGTAGATGTGCATGCCAAAGCCCCAAGTCGTAGCTATGATGCACGCGCAAGTCAGTGGGGAGCCTCGTTTCGTAACACCAGGAGTAGACGCCGTACCGTATGCCATGACGATGGAGAATTCGAGGGCAAGCGCCTATTTCCTGATCAGCGAGGCACGAACCACCCCAAGTAACGAGCACGCCTACCCATGATAAAAGCGCAAACCCTACAATTGCTTAGCAAAGGAACTTCAACGACATGTCTATGATGCGACGGGATGATTAAATGAGACTCACAGTCATCCAGACCAAAGCTCTTCTTGACCACAGCACGCGTGTACACACGAACTAGAACAGCTAGTGTCGTGAACGAAAGAACAACTGAATGCAGGATAATGTTATCATGCTTGTAGTTGTCTGGGCTGTCGAAATCCGGAGTGACTCCAGGCGGCGGCATCGCCGCCGGTGTCTGCGAGAGGTCCATGCTCCCCTCGGCTGGTGATCCGCTGGAAGCCATGTTGGTCGATGTGGAGGATACGCAAGACGTGACTGATAGCCAGGGGGACAAACCACAGGGCTATAATTGTGTCAGAGAGAGATAGGCACAGACAATAATAAGCAACTGGATAGGAGCAAACCTTGACAGCACAGGATGCATCGCCGAGGGTCTATCAGGCTCTGGACACCACATCGCGTTGTTTCTAATATTAAACATGGTTCACATTCCAAGGTTGTTGGGCCGCATCAGAGCCAAGTTTGTCGACCACCAGATAAATTTGGAAAGCTCCTCCTGCGTGGGCGGTATCATGTGCCTCATCTAGTAGCGGCCTGTACCCAGTGCTCAAATTTGAACCAAGACACGGTGCTTTTCTCTCGATACGTTGACTGGTAGGGAGTGGAGCTGGTGAGAAGGATCTGGTGTAAACGCCTACTACCCACAACTCCTAAATGTGGGCCCGATGTGACGAGGAACGGTTGCAGTCTGAATCTCTTGACGCGCGAGAAAAATAAAAGTCCCCAGAATGCTCGGGTCAAAACCTGGACCAGAATGGGTGAGGTGGCTCCAGACCCCGCAATGGACTGCGCCGTATGCAGTTGGCTATTCATTGCACCTCTATTCAGCCTCCCCCCGCCCCTGCTACCAACCAACAACAGGATCAACAAGAACTGATCGGCAAATACGAGCGGCGTAGCGGCCAACAGGTGCAGAAATATGCCTCTGGGATCCTCCCGTCGGCGGCGTTCCTCCCGTCTCCGGAAATTCTCCGCGTCATCACCGATTCAGAAATGCGAGACCGGGGCGGACGTGTTGGTTCACCTGCCCAGGTGGGCAAGGAAATCGCTGAATGCCCAGGTGGGCCCAGCCCCCGCTCCTCTGGCAGCAGATCCATCATCACTGTGGCAGGCTTGGGCATTGCGAATTATCTTGCTTTTTCACACAGATAAGAGGTATTTTTAATTTGGGTTTCAAATGGTTGGAGCCTAGTTTTTGGCTCGCTTCGCGAGGTACTCCTCCCACACCTTGCCTAGGTCGGAGGGCATAATGGGCGAGAACATGTTGCCCAGCCAGCCCTTTTTCCGATGCGCCGTGAGGCCGACCTCGTCCAAGAGCCTATCTACGTACGGGACACTGTCAAAGGCAGCGAAGTGGCCCAGCTCGCCGTTTGACAGATAGCGCCGCTTGTTCCAGGCGATCATATGCGCAACGTCCCGCTCCCTCTCAGTGACAGAGGGCAGGTTGAATGCTTTGTCCCAGTATGCCACAGCCCAGATGGCTTGCGCCTCTGCTGCGAACAACTTGGCCCCAGCGACTACCTGATTCATGAACAGGATAGAGTCATCGTTAAGAGGGGCCATGGTCTGGTAGAGCCTATAGGGCGTCCGCGTCTCGTACTTGTGGTAGTGCTTTGGCGGGTTCCTGAGCATGACGAACCGCCGGAGGACCTGTTCGTCGGCTTCGGCGACCAGCTTCGCCCACTTGTCTGTCTCCTCCTGCGGCTCGATATCCTTTGGGATCGGTAGACCAAGGTCCATCAGCGTTTCGTGGTCGAACATGTCAAGACCACGCCTCCAGCCAGTGCCGCACAAGATGGCATCACAGGGAAAATGCGTCTCGTCCTCATCGTTGAGGTAGAGTTCGTGCCCATTCAAGGACTTGATTTCACCGCGATAGATGAAGACTTTCTCTGCGACAAGAGGCCAGAAGTCGTCAAAATGGCAACCCCCAGCCGTGCCGTTCTGCCAAATAATTCTTGGGGGTGTCAGTGTCTGCCACATGATGTGGTCATGCCAGGGGAATACTCACTCGTTATCGTACTCTAGCTTTTCAAATCCCTTGTCACTCGTCCTCGTTCTGTAACCAGCGTATTTGCGGACTGTATTATCCAGCGCCGAAAATATTTTGCTCACGAGCTTGGCCCCCAGCGTGGTGCTGTGGAGGAACCACGTCCACCAAGATTTGTAGGGGATCAGGTAGCACGGCTGCAAGGATGCCATGATTCTCGCCTGCGACGCCTCGACTCCGTTCTTGTACGGCGTGGGCAGGTTGATAGGTGCGAAGGCCGCAGGCCCAAGGGAACCGTTGCCTGTCTTGCGCACGACCCATGATACAGTCTTGCCCGCCTTGACTGCCTCGTACACCATGTCTGCGGCCGACTTCCCCGCGCCGATGACGGCAACATGCTGGATGCACTTGTCTTCGATGACGTCGGATTGGCCGAAATCGATGGAGTGGATAATCTTGCCCTGGAAATTCTCCTGGCCCGGAAAGTTGGGCATATTGGGGAGCGAGGCCTGGCCATTTGCCATCATGACTCTGGAGGAAAACAAAGTCCGGTGAGCCTTGGTGATGGTGTCGATGCACGCAAATCGCCATTGGCCATCGACTTTCTTGATGGACTCGACGTGCGTGTTGAACTGTATCCTATCTCGCAACGTCTGGCCGGCATGGCTCTTGTTGTCGACGTAGTCTTCAAGATATTTTGTGGTATACTTTGCGCGGAACAAGTCATACATGCAGTCCTCGGCAGGTGGCCGTTCCATGGGCATGTCAGAGAACTCGGCAATGCCATGAGTCCATTGCGACCAAAAACTCGGATAGATTCGTCCTGTGCTTTGTCAGTAAGCAGCAGGCCGGGGGTCTCGAGTATCATACGCTTGCTCCATACTCCCCCGACGCAGTAGTCGCTCTCCAGAATGGCGAGTCGTGTCTCTGGATGTACCTGGAGCACGCGATGCGCCGCAATAATGCCGGTGAGACCTGAGTAGGTAGACTCGTCAGCTACGGCCTGAGGTTACCAGACCACGATGAGTACACACCTGCGCCGAGGACGATAACGTCGAACCTGGCTGCATCCTCTTCCGGTGCCATATTGGAGACGTGCCGGATGCGAGTGCAAGTAGAACAAGTCGGAACGGTCTTGACGGGGCACGTTCGCGTGTGCGAGAGGTTTGTCAACGTGACAGGCAACACATAGATAGGTTGGGGACCTCGGGACAAGCAGCTCAAGAACAAGCCCACAAGGCACTTGGGAGGAACAGTGTGGACAGCTACTGTTTCAGATGGATTTGTACAGTAGACTACTTAGGATAATCGCCGAGCGGGTCCCTGAGCCAACCAACACACGCCCCTCATCAGCCAACCTTGGAACCTGCATGCCACCCAACACACGCTGAAAAAGACCGCGGCTTTCTCAACCATACACCCATGTATCTCTAACATCACCCAAGGTCTATCTATCTAGCGAAAGATGACGCGCACACCCTTCGAGTCCAAGCGCGCGAGAGGCACAATATAGTCATGCACAGCTATCACATCTGTCTCATCTGTTTCGAACAGCTCAAACTGCGGGCCGCCGGGGCGGAACAACGCGGCAAGCATAAAGTTGATCTCAGCCATTGCCAGGTTCATGCCGATGCAGTTCCGCGAACCTCGCGCGAAGGGCACCAGGTTGCGTGCCATTGCAGTGGAGACCTCTCCCAGCCAGCGCTCAGGGACAAAGCTATGGGGCTCCGGAAAAACGTCTGGGTCGGTGTGCTGCAGATAGGCCGTCATGCCGACCGGGACCTGTTGGTTCATCAGTGAGTGCCAAGGCGGCGCAGTCGAGTCGCGCTTTTTTTTTTTGGGGGGATCGTCCCAACTTACCCCTGCTGGAATCTCCCAGACCTTTCCGTCCCTTGTGCTCGTGTAGTATAGCGCCTCGTCGGGCGACACTCGCGGAAGCCGGTGCATGGTACCGTAGCTGTGACTGCAAATCTGGCGTCAATACCTGGGTGCGCCTTGATTACGTCGGGGCACCCGGGCCCGGGCTGGGTTCTTACCGGAGACCCTCTTTGATGAGGGCCTGCAGATAGGGCAATCTCTCCAATTGCGACCAAGTTGCCTGCTCGCCAATGTCCCTGAGCTCCTGCTCCAACCGCTCGCGCATATGCGGATTGGACAGGAGGTAAAACGTGATGAAGTGCAGCGTACGCGCGGTGGATACCGATCCGGCCCCCAGCAAGATTTGCGCTTCCTTTGTCAGGCGATCGAGTGACAAATCCTCTTCTGGAAGCGCGCTCTCGTGCACCAGGTATCGGAACAGGGTCGGCCGGCCGCCCACAGCTGGCTCGACTTTCGTCATTTGCTGTTGCTGTTTCTCTTCGATAAGCTTGGCGATATATTTTTCTGCCCGCTGTAGGGGAGATTAGCGAAACGACGTATCCCGATTCGGGCAGTAGAACGAACAGCTTTCCACACGTTGAAACATTCTGCTTTCGGGTCAAGCCAAAGGAGGAGCCATCCAGGCACGCGGCGGACGAGGCTGTTTCTTGGTAAGTCGGCTGTATTTTAACTGCAGCATGATGGCGACTTACTGGATGATCCAAGGAAACTGAGTAAATAATGGTATGCACTTAATCATCGAGTGCTGTAGATCGTACCTGTTCTCTGTCAGAATGTCAAGAGTATACATCAATAGTGGTGCATTATTGTTAGAGCTCACCAAGCAGGCGAGAAGTCCTTTTCGTTGACTAGTTCCGCGGGATTTTCAACACAGACGTGTCCAATAACATCACCGGAGAATGCCAGCATCGCATGGTCAAGCCGAACGACGCGTCCCGTGCCCTGGAAGGATTCAAAACGTGCGATGAGCTTGCCCACGGCCTTGTTAATCAAAGGTTCCAACTGGGTGACACTCCGACGGGAGAAGTAGGGCTCCACCGGCTTCCGGCGCTTGCGATGCAGCTCATGGCTGTGAGACAAGAAGAATGTGCCTGTACGGTATTCAGTGACGAATTACAGGTGAAGGAGTAACTTATTCAGAACTTACCCTCAAAGCCAATTCCTGAAGCGAATTGAGAGTAGCCCTGAGTTCGTCGTGTGCTGCCTGACACGTAGACTTTGTCATAAAAGTCGGGGTCGGCAATGGACAACTCTGTGGGATTGATGCGTACGATCGGCCCTGAATGGTCAGTCATGAATTTTAACAAACAGGATATGGTACACACCGTATACTTGATGCATTCGTTCAATCTCAAAACAATACTTGGCCTGCTGAACATAATCAAAGTAAAATTCGTATAGGCTCGTGGCGGCCGCCAACTTCGGACCAGGGAACTTGGCCAACGGTGAGAAATATACTCTATGAACAATTCTGCAAAGATATTGGAAAATGCACAGGCCAAAGAGGCCCAGAAAGACAGGAGGGGACATCATGAGAGGACCTTTGCCGGCGTTGACTGTGAAAATTGATTGATGAGTTCACGCAGAGTTTGCATAGGTTCTCGAAGAGTTTGCTTGATGGTCAAAAGCAGGCGGCACCAACGCATGCTTTTAAACGGCACGGCAGGATCTTGAAAATAGCTGAGTGAGAATTGCCGAGGTGGGTTGGGCGGAGCTGTGCTCATGTTGCCATGTTCATGTTCTAGGTAGCCATGGGTGGCTATTTTCCGAGCAGTTGGCTTGAGTAGCGCCTGTGGTTCCCTGTGGGGCCTGACACCCACCCCTTCAAATGCTGTCATCAGTGCAAAAACCAACAAGAGCCCATGGGTATAAATGTTACACCGAGATCTGAGTGATCTAAGCGGTGCCGCGTAGCAGGCGACGCTACAGGTTCTGCATTCGCGCTGTAAAGACCTTTTCTGTCACACTGCACCACACACCATAACAGCTGATACCAACGTCTCAAACATCACCGGCATCCCGGCAGTGATGGAATACCAATACTCCAATCTTCTTAAACCACCCCAATGCGAGACGGAAGGTCTCTGCGATGGCCTCCTGATACGCAAGCATATTGCTGAAGATCTCGAAGAGATTGGTACATTCAAGGCACAAGAAGACTGGAGGACCTTGGTTGGCCCTCTGTCTCACTACAGAGGGGGACTTGGACCCAGACATAGTTTCATGGCAGTCTCTCTTCCAGAGTGCCTCCCGGAACGTCTCGAAATTGTTTCATACGCGAATGAGTTCGCGTTCCTTCACGATGGTACGCTGGCTGCTTTGGAAGTCGTGATTGAGTGCTGAACTCTCTGCTGATCTGTCTACAGACGTCACAGATATCCTGAGCCAGCAAGAGGTAAATATCAACCTTGAAATAAAAGGAATTGAATCGGCACTGACAACAGATCAGGGCGATATTCAGAATGACGAAGTTCTAGATGCATTCCGTGAGGGAGCGAGGAGCGGACAGATCGATGCTTCAAATTCTGGGAAACGACAAATGCAAGCAAAAATCCTCAATACTATGATTTCCATAGATCGGCCACGTGCCCTGGCCGCGATGCATGCCTGGGCTGCTTTTGTGGAGCAAGGAGCCGGACGTCAGCATCACCAGCAATTCGAAACACTGGAGGACTATTTGCCCTACCGTACCAGAGACGTGGGTCATATGTAGGGATTTCTGCACCTCGAAATTTTGAGCACAATTCTTACTCAGATATACAGGTTCTGGCATGCTCTTGTCACCTTCGGTTGTGCTATTACCATCCCTGAAGAAGAGATGGAGTTGTGCACGGAGCTGGTGCTGCCGGCTGTGATCGCGGCAAGCTTAACCAATGACCTTTTCTCATACGACAAGGAGTACGAGGCCGCTCAAGCCGCCGGTCTGACTGAGGTCGTCAACGCCCTGTGGGTCCTCATGAGAGAGCACAGTATCTCCCTCAAAGAAGCCAAGTCTATGTGCCGGATGCGCATCAGACAGGAAGTTGCGAAATACGCACGTATCATCAGGGACACGCAGTCCAGAAACGACATTTCCAGCGATTTGAAGAGATACATTGAACTCATGCAGTATAGCGTCAGCGGAAACGTGGTTTGGAGTCTTCAGTGTCCCAGATACCACAGCAACATGCGTTACAACGAACGGCAGGTCCTGCGTCAGGAACAGGGTATTTCCAAGCACCCAACAACGTACCAACTCGCAAGCCCAAAGAAGCGCGCAAGGATGGATTCAGACCACGACTCCACTTCGAGGAAGAGAATTCTCACCGGCGAATATCCGAAGCCGGATGGAAAGCATAGGCAGAATGCTTGTACGGCCCAGGTGTCTGACAGCCAGGATAAAAGCTTCGACCTTCCAGATTTGGTGCAGGCCGGGGCATTGCCGAAGCTTGGAAATGAAGTAAGCGCCCTTGGAAGGTAGCTTTCGAAATTGTCTGCTGACCAGTTAGATTGTACTCGAGCCTTATCGCTACGTCAGCGCACTACCGTCCAAGGGGGTTCGAGATATGGTGATCGACGGTATCGACATCTGGCTAAGCGTCCGTCCTCAGTCCACAGCCATAATACGCAGTGTGGTCAAGACGATCCACAACAGCTCCATCATGTAAGTGCTGAGCCCCACATTTGTGTCTGCTGCCTAGACTGACCGTTGGCGCCTTGCGCTTCTGCCTCAGGCTGGACGACTTGCAGGATGGGTCGCAATTACGACGCGGTAGCCCTGCAACCCATGTCGTCTTTGGGGAGGCGCAGACGATCAACTCGGCGACGTTCCAATATGTGGAGGCGATCGCAGAGCTCCGGAAATTGACCAACCCGGGTTGCCTTGACATCTTCATCGACGAGATGCACAGCCTGTTCGTGGGGCAGGCGTACGATCTGCACTGGACCAACGAAGTGCTTTGTCCATCGGTGGCGGAGTACATGCAGATGGTCGATGGGAGTAGGTCCCCTGCCCTTGTACCCACTCCCCCATGGCTTATGTCGCTGTTTTGCCGCAGAGAGCTGACGAACGACAAGAAACTGGGGGACTCTTCCGGCTACTAACTCGACTAATGGTTGCCGAATCATCCCATCACGACCAGGCAGTAGTCGACCGCCTGTGCCGGCTCCTAGGACGCTATTTCCAGATCCGTGATGACTATCAGAACCTTGTTTCGGCAGAGGTAAGATTGGCATCGGCCCCCAAAGTGACATGTATGGCTGACAAACAGCATGCAGTATACGGCTCAGAAAGGCTTCTGTGAAGATCTTGACGAGGGCAAGTTTTCTCTTCCCATTATTCACGCACTGGCACACACAGACAAGCCTCTCCAGTTGAGGGGAGTCATGCGAGAACGCTCACGGAAGGGGACGTGCACCACTGCTCAGAAGCAACTCGTGCTGGCGTTGATGAGCGAGGCCGGAAGCCTGCAGTACGTGCTGCACGTGCTGGAAGCGTTGCATGCCGAGTTGGAGGCCGAGGTGGAGCGCCTCGAGGGCGTCTTTGGCAAGACGAACCACCAGATTCGGGCCATGTTAATGTTGCTCAGGATGTGACGCCGCATCCACTCCTGATACCTCTCCGGTGAAGGTCCGGCACGAACCCCACCCTTGATGAGGCTCTGACGGTGGCTGCTGCAGAGGCAGTCCCTGCAGGTGAACCCTTGCCATTTCTTGGCCGCGCCTTAGCGTAGCAACACGCTAGATAGCCATATGCATGTTGGTTGTACGAAAGCTACTGTTGGTTGTTTGGCATGATGCCACAAATTTCAAGCCCCCCTTCAAAACTGGTAATCGGCCTGGTGATCGTTTATGGTGCGCGGCACAGCACAGCTGACGTTACAACGTGCGGTGATAAGGGCCTTAAAGCCGCCTGGGCCCAAGAACTTGGAGCACTGTGTACCGGAGTACTTGTGTGTTGGTCGTTGTCTGTCCCGCTCGTCTGAAGTGGGGACGCAAACTTCCGAGGCCAAACAAGGTGAACGACATTCCATCCATTCTGAACAACCGTCGGTTGGAAATAAGGCGTCGGCACATGCACTCGTCCTGAACAGAGTTCGGCCCTCTCAAGCCTGGGATCCGTCCGGTTTGTAGCTCATTCACTGCTCTCACTTAGTGTGTAGTCCAACAGTTGGGCTGCTCCGAAAACACCTTGACAGTGCTCCCATTGCTCTGTTTCTGCATCAGCTTCACTGGGAAAGCCAGTCTCTCCACATCCTCACCATGTCCGCCGCGGAAGATGCTGTCGAGAGTGACCCACTCGACAGCATTGCACAGAGCGAGTATCCGGGCGGCCCACGCCTAGCAGCTATCATTACTGCGCTAGTTCTCAGCATTTTCCTGGCTTCGTTGGATACGGTGCGTCAAAATCAAGGGGGACAGCTTCTAATCGCCGTTCTAACCCCTTTATTAGACCATCATCACTACAGCCATTCCGTCTATCACGAACGAGTTCCACAGCCTCGAAGATGTTGGATGGTATGGTTCAGCCATGTTCTTCCCATTGGCAGCGACTCAGTCCGTTTGGGGCAAGGCCTTCAAATATTTCCCTGTCAAACATGTCTTCCTCCTGGGTATCTTGATATTTGAAATTGGCAGTCTGATATGTGGTAAATAAGCCCTTGACCAGACGCTTTTGGCTGATGTGCTAACGACAGGGAAGCACTTGCACCAAACAGCAATGCCTTCATTGCTGGGCGAGCTGTTACAGGCGCAGGCTGTGCTGGAGTCTTTGCTGGTTGTTTCATCATAATTTCTTTATCCTCTAGACCTCGAATTAGACCGGCAATGACCAGCGCCCTCTCCGCCACGTTTGCCGTAGCGTCTGTGGTGGGACCATTGATCGGAGGTGCATTCACGCAAAACGCGACTTGGCGATGGTGGTACGAGAAACCTTCCGTCTGGCATGTCTTCACAGAAGTGCTGACTTTGGACAGCTTTTACATCAATCTTCCCTGTGGACTAGTCGCAGCCATCGCGATGATCTTTGCATTTCACGCCCCAAAAGCAGCGGCGCCGATCCAGGCATCCCTCAAGGAAAAGCTGTTGCAGATGGACCTCCCCGGTGCAGTCCTCATCTGCGCCACTATTGTGTGCTTCACGCTCGCGCTGCGATGGGCTGGCGTGGAGAAGGCCTGGGCCGACTCCGAAGTTGTGGGCACCTTGGTCGCGACGCCGATATTCCTAATCTTGTTTGCCCTCGACCAGTGGTTCCAGAGAGACAGGGCGCTCATCATGCCAAGTTTCTTGAAAAATCGGGTCTTGGTCGTCGGTGCTGTTTTTGAGTTCTTGTAAGTCGTCGCCTTGCCCAGGTAAATTCAGGTCCCGGACTAATTTGGTGTTTTGTTTTAGCATCGCTGGGTGCTTCAACCTGGCCCTATTCTACCTTCCCATCTACTTCCAGGCAGTCCGGGGCGTTTCGGCCATTGACTCCGGAGTCCGTCTCATTCCGGTCATTTTGGGCCTGACCATCACGCAAATCGTTGTCGGTGGCCTCATCAGTGCCACTGGCATTCACAATCCATTCCTGATCATGGGGCCTGCTATAGCGGCGGTTGGTTCAGGATTATTCATGCTGCTTCACGAACAATCCAGCAACGGTGAATGGATTGGATTTCAAATAGTGCTTGGTATAGGGGTTGGCTTCTGTCTCACCATACCTCTCATGTTATCCCAGGTCGTGGTTGAGACGAAAGACGTGTCAACAGCGACGCCTATCATTATCTGTATGTTCCCCGCCTTTGGCTCCCCATTCTGGCACGCTGCTAACATCAACCGAAGTTGCACAATCAATGGGAAGTGCTTTTTTACTTCCCACGGCTCAAGCTGTATTCCAGAATCAGCTTATTAAGGCGCTCCGTGAATTCGCTCCAGAAATGAATCCGCTCGTAGTTCTGGCTGCCGGTGCAAATAGCGAAGCTATCTCGAGTCTACCTACCGCTAGCCATGGGGGTATTCTGCAGAGCTACGCCATGGCACTGCGATTAACCTTCGCTATTGGTATTCCGTTCGCCGGGATAGCGCTCCTGGTCAGCCTCTTCATGCCCTGGTTTAAATATCATAGTGCGGCGGACAAGCCAACTGCCAACAAACCGTCAGGTCAAGCAGAAAAGGGGAGTGAAGTGGACAGTGGGAAAGTTACTGGTGACAATGAAATTGCGAAGTGATTGAGGAAGGGCGTGAATAAGTGATTTACATAGACTTGAATATAATGTACCTGCAACACGCAAGCGAAACTCGGCAAAACAAGTACCTGAAGCAGGTCCTTAAGTATCTAGTAGGCCGTCCCCTCTTCCCCAGATGTCTTATGCACAGCCTAGGCGCTCTTTCGACCCTAGTGGACCCAACGAGAAGTACTTAAGGATGCAACCTGCCTCCCACACAAGCTCGTATCCCCTCCCCCCCCCCCCACTCGAACACTTAATCCTTCCATTCTTCTTCGCGACCATGGCGTCCGATCCCCATCAGCAGCGCTACGCTACATATCAAACCTACAAACAAAGCCCAAGAGATGCAGAGTTGTCAAAGGTATGTAAATAAACAACCAGAGATTTACGTCCTCAATGTTATGATGTAATAGCCTGACAAATTACAATCCCCACAGCTTCTTGCCCAGAACGGGCCTTGGCCGGATCCTCCCTTCAAGGATATATCACAGTGCCGCGGCATTTCGGATTATGCGGACGGCCTGCTCATAGATGCACTCGGCCCGGCCCCGGTAGGCCTGCATGAGCAAACCTACAGTATCCCAACGAGCGACGGTTACACCTCCACTGCTCTACTCACCCGGCCAGCGCCCGGTTCTGATCCTGGCCCGCTCATTGTCTTGTATCACCCAGGAGGCTTCTTCCTCGGCAGCCCTGCCAAGCTGACCATGTATGCCCGGCCCCTCGCGCAGCTGTTCAACGCTTCGGTCCTGTGCCCCGCGTACCGGTTCGCACCGGAGCACCCATTCCCGACGGGCATAGAAGACTCGTGGGCGACACTGAAGTGGGCGGCGGGCCACGCCGCGGAACTCGGGGCGGATCCCGCACTGGGGTTTCTCGTGGGCGGCATCTCGAGCGGCGCCAACTTCGCAGTCGCGCTCGTGCGGCGGGCCGTCGAGGCCCGTCTCCAGCCTCCCGTTACGGGAACGTGGGCCCCGATCTTCATGGGCCTGACGGAGCGAGGTGCGGTGCTGGACGAGTACGAGATGTTCTGGACGAGTCATGAGCAGCACCGCGACGCTCTCGTTATCGATGCGGACAAGGCCGCGACCATGTGGGAATACTACAAGCCCAGCATCCACTCGCCATTGTTCAACCCCCTAGCTCCGCCTCTCGACCAGATTCGCGAGATTCCCAAGATGTTCCTGCAGGTCGCGGGCCACGACATGTTCCGTGACGACGGGCTCGTGCTTGCGTATGCGCTGCAGGACCATGGTGTTGATGTGAAACTGGAGGTCTATCCGGGGGTTTGTCATTCCTTCTGGGTATTCGCTCCGAACCTATCGGTTTCAAAGAAATTTGTGAGCGACATTGTCAGGGGATTCGCATGGCTGTTGGTCGTGGATACGGATACTTTGAGCGAGGGCTGGGAGACCGCGATGGCGATGCCGGCCATCACAATCGATGATGATACGGAGCCACAGAGTAACTAACTAGAAAGTTTTCAGGTGTTGGTACTAAATTCTGGTCTTCGAGGACAGCGGTCTGGAAAGAGAACGTGCAAGAAGATAGTGTGCAGAACAGGCAGTGGCTTAGCTAAACTCTGGGCCTAAACATCAGAGACGAGTACATCTTCTTTGTCCGACCTGTAATTGATACTCCTCTCAATCCGGGCTCATTCATTTCCTTTTCTGACTGCTTCTAACACTCCCGCGTGAAGATGTCATCCTAATGCCAAAGTACCTCGATCTCAATTGCCATACGTCCATAGTGTAACTGGAATACCATCTTTGATGCACTCGCACAATTCAGGTGCATCTCAGTGCTCGGGATGTCGGCGACTTTGATGCATCTCCCTTCGTTTTCCTGGACCTCTTTGCCGACTGATTCAACTTTGCGAATAAAGAGGGTTCCGGCTGAGATTTCAGAACAGTCGAATATGATCAGGAGTCTCCCAAGATCAAGGCAAGTTTCGGCGCTCGAGCCGAGGGTTTGATGGTGCGGTAAATCGTGTTTGCTCAGGTCTAGCACCGTCGGTTGGGTTGGTGGGGATGGAGCCACAGCCGATGTCATTGGATTCGTACTGAAGCTTGAGCTTGTGGCAGATCTGACGTTTTTCTGCGATCGTGAGGTGATCTTGACTTGGATGGCCGTAGGTTCCATCTTGCCAGTGCTGGTCGTTGAATCCGATTTCTCGGCGGTGCCGGCTTGTGACCGCGTGACCAACAGCCCTGATGAGCCTTGAAGACTGGACTGACTGGAAAGTGGAAGTACTGCCCGGCTTTCCAAGCCAAAGGCTTTGAATTGTCGCCTGTCTCTGGTGAGAGCCCTTGCTTCCTTCTCGTGTGATGACAGCTCATTAACGATTGTCTGTAGAATCTCTCGAAAATGGGCAACCTGCTCATTCGACATCCAGTGTACGTTCTCAATGGTCCATCGATTGTAGAGCCGCTTATGGGAGCGCGAAATGTAGTACTTTTGCAGCTTTTGGATTAGTATATCGCAAAGGAAGCACGCAGACTTGCTACAGCCGATAGCCCTTGGCGGTTTATCCACCGGAAAATGTTCGTAATGAAGAATGAGTTGGACCTCCGCATGTACGTGACAGATTTTCGATGAACCTTTAGGCTTTTCTCCAGGAGGAGCTTCCAAGTACCGCAACGTGATCGTTTTGGTTGTGTTGCGGAATTTGAACCTTTGTGAGAGCTTTGCAAAGTCTCTGCAAAGACTGAAATACCGGGCCAATTTGTCGATTTGCAAGATATCCCTCGTCACCAAATTGGATCCGCCATGCAAAATAATCTGTTGCTCTAGGGACCGGTGCTTATCGTTCCGAGAGATATCAGCACATTTACGGATGATCATCTTGATCACGTTTCGAAGTGCTAAGCCATATAATGGAGTCTCCAGCACGCGAGCGCAGGAACCGAATTCTCGAATATGTGAGACAATGTTGTCGCGTACAGGTGAGCACATTGAAGATGGAATCCTAGACAATGACCTTTCGATCCGGACCCACAAAGGCTCCTCTCTAGGACCATAATGTCTGGGTGTCTTGACCCATGGAGGCCGAATCCGCTGGAGGATGCGATGTTGGCACAAGTCTAATACATCTTCAAAAAGAAGTTCTTCTGACTGCTCATCCCGGATTCCTTGTATCGCGAACTTTTGAGAAACCTTCTGTGTTCAGTTTAGAGCAGGTGTTACTTACCTTTCCGAGCACAGTCACTGCATGTGTTGAAAATCTTTATCAGCCCTGCCGCCGTCAATGGAGACGGAGTTTTGTTGCTCGCGAGGCGGGCAACCAGTCCAGTATCGCTTTCCTCTATACAGACCGCAGAGACGGCATATGCTCCTTCTTCCGAGTGAGCTAGGAATGCTATGTGATCGGCAAGTTGGAGCTCATCCTTCAAGCTAAGAGTATACACGGTACTACTGGAAGGACTGTCCGGTAGCGACCCTCGATAGTCTTTCTCTTCTGACGGATTCTCCGTAATCGAGTGAAGGCGTTCCACTGTCTCATGAAAGTTTTGTCTAAGTTCGCAAGTCCATAAACGCGCCATTTTGTGATTTGGGATAAAAGAATTTCTATGGCTCAAATTTATCTGGAACAAGACTCGTGAGTGTGGCTGAGATTTTTATGTTGTTTGTGGTCGCGTTGTTGAGGGGTAAAGCAAGTACTTATCAAGGCCTGCATGCGAGCCTGCATGAGGCCTACCTAGTGGTATATAGTTGACACGCATTCATTCCAAGGTAGTCTGCAACCAGTATCTGGACTGCAGATCTGTAACAGTGCCGTTTGCAAATGCAGAGGCAATCGCACAAAACTACTATTTTGACGAAAAAATATACCACAGCCAACTGAAGAAGAATCTTTGAAGGTTTGCAGGCGAGAATCATTCCAAGACTCTCTCTAGGCATGGAGACTAATGAAAACCAGGCAATTTACCCTTCTAAGGCCATTACTGGCTGATAGAACAGGTGTCTTCCGGTGGAAGGTCTATCCGCATTCAAAGTAGACGTCCGTGCCTCCTGGGCCTGTGTGCTGATATGTTCCTGGTCAAGTAATTGGTGATGATTACTCACATTATTAGACGATGACTTTGTCCTGATGAGTTGTGTGTGTCTAAGGAAGTTTCGAGGCGAGATGGGCAGGTCTCCAGCCGAGGGCCTTCAGAAGTCGGCTAGGGACAAAAGCAGAGGCCGAGAAAGTTGTTGCCCTGGTTGGTGCGAGACATCGTACATACATACTAGTATATCTAGAATTTTCCAGGAAAGCGGATTTATGAGTGTTGCAACTTGACGCGTAAAGGACTAGATGGACCCTTGAACTGCATTTGGGACAGACAGACACACCCGGACCCAGCCGTTCACGTATGGTTGAGAACCTAGGTTCACGAAGATAAATCATAACCACACATTGCCAATTAAGTATCAGAATTTTCTTTGCCCAAATACTTTGGAGCTCTCTACAAGGTCTGCAAATAATGCGCAAATATCGGATCCCAACCCTGATTGACAAATTTCTCCACGCCCAAATAACTTACCTTCGCCGATCGAAAGCTCGCAGGACCTAGGTAGGGTCAAACAGATTCCACCCTTTTCATGGTCTGCAAGCCAGGGTTGCCCATAAAAATGATGTAATATATATCCTATGCTTTCTGAAGCATGCCTAACCCCAGCGACTAAGTGCCCGTGGCGGTTTCGGGATCGGCTCCTCCACAATGAATGGGCCTCCTTCGATCCTTTCATTTTCTGCATCTCTTCGGACGCTGTCAGAATCTGGACTGCGAAAGGCCCTGACAGATTTGTAAATGAGCCATGCAATGCACGCAATGCCAGCGGCTGCGAGGAGCAGCCAGAACCAAACGGGCAGATGAGCTCCACCAGTCACTTCCCCGAGGCCGCTTCTGATCAACAGAGCCTGGTGTTCGTTGCTGCATGGGAGTGGAGACATCACTTCAATGCGAACTTGCTTACCTTCGGAGGGAATAGATAGATGAACGGATAGAAAAATCTGGAAGAAGCTGTCTACAGCCGATATCATCTCCAGAAATGTGAAGACGTACAAATTGGGACCACCTTTTAGTATTTAGCTCATGGAAGAATAAAGGCGTTGTTTTGTCTTTATTCCCCGGTGGTTGGGCCCAACAAAGACGAAAATGAACAATGAGGCGTTTCGAAGGTCATGTCTCGCGGCATGAAACAAAGGAAATGGGATGCTTTGATGAGTTATTACAAGGAGTTTGTTTCAACAAAAACCAGTACCGAGATTTAACACAAAGAGGTGTCATTATTCAGAACACTCATTAGCAGTATCAACGGCAAAGCTATGGACTACGTCAATGAGACTACCTGTACGTGATACCTGGTTTCGGTCAAGTATCAACGCCGTGCAAAATGCGCGAAATCTTGGCACAAGGCAAGCCAGCGTGTCGAAAACGGAGTGAAATCTTCGCAAATTGGCGCTTCTTAGTAACTTTGTAGCCTGCATTGCCACCGTTGTCTACAAAGCCCGCAGAAGAACGTTCAGGCTTGGACTCATCGATGTAACACTGTGTACATGTGCAGCATGGTCAATGTCGTCGTTGTGTTTTCCTCGTTCGAAAGTTGTCAGACCTGGTACGTGCTGGAACATGGAATGCAGTATGCCTCCAGCATGGTGACATACCATCACGTAGTTTTAAGTCATCCCTTGATCTTTTCCGCAACCGTATACCGCAAAACCAGAGCTAAAAACTTCAAGCACCGCGAAGTAGTCCGTCTAAGAGGCAGAGGAGCCAGGCACATACACGAGGCAAGTGACATACTCATGAACGATGGGTACAACATTTTGAAGTCGGGTTCAGCCTTGTCTGTGCGGTAAGAGGCTCAGCCACGTGCCCACAGACGTACTGTGTTCTCTTTCCACTGTTATTGGCACTGTATTTCTTCAAACGCTGGGTATTGAGCGTTTACCACTGTATGAAGGCAAAAGGTACATTTTACATGTATGGGGATTAGAAACGAAACCACCACCTTGAAGTAAGTTGTTGATATTGGGCTTGGAGGATAAGGATGGTTGTAAGACGCTCTATGGTCTGTCTATGGCATCCCAATCTTCGTTGTTGGGTAGATTCAATGAGCATAGGCGGTATTGGAAATCTTTTGTTTTTCTTAAGCGAATGATATATCCCGAGAGGCAAAAGCTAGCCCTTCGTGCTCCAGGCGTCAACTGCCATTACTTCGGCTTGTTCATAGCTCCCGAGCCCGAAGTAGACGCTCTGATCCTGGAATGTATGGCCATCATCATTTGCAGACACCCTTGAAAGCATCGTTTGATCTGTCTGCACAACGTTCGTAAATCTGCCGGAGCCCATCTAAGGCTGACAATACCAAAGTAAGTCTTACTCTGTGATCTGGGCCATAACCAAATACACAATGGACCAATAGAGGCAGACTGACACGAAATATATACGCTACTGAAGTACCTAGGTAAGAGAATCTCGACCACTCCATCACAAGGGAACTGGGGTTTCGAACAGATCTTTGGACGGCAGACTAAAGCTGGGAACTCATCTGACCAGTGACTGACGATCACTATCAAACACAACATGATGTTAACTGTTTTTGGACACCAGAGCCTGGAAATCGGCATTCTGTCCCTGAGCGAAGTCTTGGTTCCAGTAGCCAAAGTTGTCGTGGACACCGAAACTAGACGTGTTCGAGGACGGCGACGATGGGGCAGCAGTAGCGTACGCATAGGCCATCCTATTGGAGCCGCCAGGGTTGAGGTTCACCGTCGAGCCTGAGGAGCTGGTCCACGTGGTGCACCCAGTGCACCTCAGCGTCACCTGCCAATGCGTGGAGTTGGTTTTGGTCCCGGTCTTGAGGGCTTGAAGGGTTGCACCGGTGTACGCCGTGGGCAGAGACCGCCCTCTTCGCATCAGTCAGCACATAATTGAACGCTCATAAAAGGGTTCTTGAGAAACTCACTTGGCCCAACGACTCGACACTGTGACAGTGTTTCCGTTTGGCCATGCTATAGTCAATGGGTTGTTGAGCATGGTTCCGCCCCAAGCTACGCCGAGCCAGCCCACATCCTTCTTCGCTGTCACCTGTAGCACGATGTCATAAGGCGCCGACGCGGGGTTCGGAACGGCGGTTCGGAAGCTTATGACATCAGGGCTGTTGTACTTGTAGTTTGCATTGTACTGGGAGAAGGTAAAGCCTGTCTCTGAGTCTCTGAAAACAATGCTGTCGGCCGCGGAGGCTTCGTGAGACGATTGAATTTGATTAGAGAAATCTTCAACGACAATACCGATTGTATACTTTACGTACCTGTTCCCAGTATTGAGAGGGTGCAGAGCAGAGCAGTGAGCCAAGACATTGTCACGCCCGTATCCCAGGGTTTTCCTGGCTTCTGAGATGACAGCGGAAGCTGCACAAGTTGTAGGACAAGAGATGGGCCGCAGGCCGTTAGATGAAGAGCGATTTGAAAGAGCAGACCAAGGTCAGGAACCACTAAGCGATAGATGGAGGCACTCCTTGATTAAATTGATTTCCGAAGATCTGGTGTGTGATTTGGCCGCACCGGCGTGCGTTCGTTGCAAAAGACAGAAAGCGATCCGCAGAGGACTTTGCTGATCTGGCCCCGAATGAACCATCCGTGTATTGATTCATCTCGGCGACCTGATAGGAAGGCTAAATGCTTCACAATATATTATTAATTAGTTTTACACGTGGGCAGACGTCGGTGCCACTAAGCTGCCAGAATACATGGTTACGATCCCGACACCTGCACGATGTACGCGGGTATTGGTCACATACGCAAGGAGAGCGCCGTGCTATGGTCACTTGACAGTAATATTATCTAGCACCAAATTACTGACTTCATCCACAGAACAGGTCTGGAGTCCCACCAGACTGCCGTCACCCGCTTCTAGACCTTGCCCGTCATGTACAATCCGGTCTCGGAAAAATGCCTAGCCATATGGGGGGCCGAAGGTTGACGAATTAAATGCGAGTAAAAGGTAATAGTCGAGAAGAGAGTGCATAGTATCAGTAGTCTTGTTCCCTATAGCGATGTGACGGTATCTTCTAAATCCCTGACCTATGTTTTAGAGTACGTACTACTTAGCGCCCAGACCTTGAGTAACTACACTACCTAAATCTAATATAAAGTATACTTAATAGATAGGAAGGTAAATATACTTTATTTTCTAAAGTTATCACTAACTCCTATCCCTTTAAACGCTTTTTTTATTTATTAACTAACCTTAATACATCTAAGAAATCTCTACTATTATTAAGAGATTACTTAAGGACTTTATATAGTGAGTAAGGCGGGAAGGCCTTAGAGCTATCTCTCAACTTTAACTTCCTCCTCTTCTCTTCATTTCTACTACTAAAAAACACTAAAAACTACTATTTTACTCTTTTTCTCTCTCTCTCTCCCCCCTCTCTCTCCTTAAGGGCACTAGTTACAGAGCGGACGGCCCTAGTAAGGGCCATATAGCCACTAGTAACTAACCCTCTTAGGTAGAGCCCTTTTAGTCCCCTAGCCAAAGGCCGTCACCTCAAAGTCGAGAAATGGCAACAGTTACTAGAGAGTGACGTATTGGACACTTTTAAGTAAAAGTACCTTACTTCCCTATTTGTTGTGTTATACTACCTCGCCTTCGTGCATAAGCGAGGGCCCATCGGGGATATAGAAGACACCCGATGTGACGGCTGGGTAAATACGTTCCAAGGTTCTCTCAGCTTGACATTCAATCGGAGGTTATGCCGCCGCCAGGAATCTGAACCGTCATTTTGGAGGTGATGTCATTCCAAAAATAGAAGTGTGTCCGGTTGCATTCTCACAAGCTCCAATATATCATCATCGCTACCACTTTGCGACCGGGTAAATAATGTCACTACCAATGTCGTGTGACAAATTCGGGGAAGGAGAGGGGCTATTCCACAATATGAGACGCCCTAGGTCCGGATAGGCAGAAGGATACAAAACCTGCACCATCTACGAGCGGAACGGGAAGTGCTTCTGCAGGCGGCCTAACAACAGAAACAACAGAAGAGAACCACCAAAGATAGGCGATTTTGTTTACAACTAAGGCGGCCAAGGTATAGAGATGGCGATGTGAAAAGGAAAGATCGATCAAGAGACACTCACGCATTGATGGGGCCAACGGTCCGAGCTCTGCGTCGCCGAATTGGAAGGAGAATTCTAGACCGGTGCTATATTTGTGGCCGAGGGGGGAGTCCTGTCCCATGGACACCAGAGAGTAGTGCAAGCAGCCCCGTGAAGACAAGTACTTGCAGCCTCGAAATCAAAGCAGCTCACCTTCGAAACTTACATCATGCACGTCCCCTGGAATCCACATCGTCCTATGTTCGGTTTCTGCACGTCAATATACGTTGCAGAAATTTCAATGTTGCAGCTCCTTATTCTTCCCGGGAATAGAACAATAAGAACTTCGCTCTTGATCATTTTACTCTTCAAGCAGCACGAGACTTGAAAAGAAAAACTATAGGATGGAATTCGACGTAAATTTGTCTTCAAGAGTCTTATTGTTCTAGTTTGAATCTCTATGAGACGGCGAAATTGAATCAGGGATGTTTCAAAATTGATGGCTGACAGAACCGAATTGGAAGCGAAGCGGATGACCATGGCAGGAGTCGAGAAATGAAATTGCTATGAAGCGGAGAAGCAATATTCGTAAGCCCAGAATTCCACCTTTCGCCTTGCTTCCACCATCATGATCTCTCAGCACTCGGCCACTATTAGCAAATACGCAACGTATAAAAAAGCTGCCTCTCTTTTTAAATCCTTACTTGTATATTACCGCTGCCATGCCTGTTGGTGGTCCACCGGTGCCGCATGAATGCAGACGCTAAGGTGCGCAAAGCACAACAAAAGAAAAGACTTCCTATTCTACATAAAAAGTTACGATTCCTTGCTGAGCTATTATAGCTAGCATCGCGTTGTCCACCTGTCTGTGTCTAGAAATGGAGTTTGATGTAGAAAGTTACCGGCGCTTTACCCGAGATGCCGTCGCACTGCTTGATATTCATCGGATGCCCGGGCACAAAGTCCCGATTGAGAGCCTGGATTAGGCTTAAAACGCTCAGTCATACCTTCATTTTTGCTTCTAGATTATCAGGGCAGATAAGCCCCCCAGCTCCGAATAATAAATGGTCTCCTCGCAAGGTCAGCGAGGCAAGAGCTCCCACACAATTTTAGGCTAACATAAAAATTGCACTAGGTTGCGAGCAAGGTTCGAAGTACTTAGGGTGTAATCACAGAGGAAAGTTAGTATAGTATAAGCCCCTATAAAGTAACCTTCTCACTAAGCCCCCTATATATATAATTATTTCTCTTTAAATATTAACCTAAAAGTTATTTATTAAAGGTTAAGGCTATTACTACCTTTTTTATTAAATAGTTTAATTAAATAAAAAAAAGTTTATATTATTATTATTATAATTATAAGTTATTACTTTTAATTTTTTAATTATAAATAAATTAACTATATTATTACTAATTAAAAATATATACCTTTTAATTATTATAATAACCTTTAAATTCTCTATTAATTAAGTTATTTATAATATTAAAGATAATATTTTTTATTAAGTATATTTATATAAACTTTTTTGATAATAAGGATTTTTTTAATTCTATTAAATTTATTAATTAAGTTTATTATTAGTTAGAATTAATATTAATTATATTTTTAATTAAAATAGATATATAGAAATAGAAGATTATATTATTAATTATAAAAGGGTTTATAAGTAAGTAATAATATACTTTAAGTTTATATATAATATTAATTTTAATAATTTAAAAGGTATTATTTAAATTTATATAGTTATAAATAAAATAATTTATAGAATTATTAAGGGATTATAAATTTAAAAACTTTTAAATTTAATAAATTAATTATAATAAAGATTTATATAAGAGAAGTTTATTAGTACTTTATTAAAAGAGTAATCTTTCTAACTATAAATAATTAAACTATTTAAAATAAAATATAATACTAAAAAATAATATAAGTAATTTATTATATTTTTAATATATTTTAATATATTATATAATAAAAATTAATAAAGTTAAAAGTTTAAAGAAAATTTTATATTAATAATTAATTATTAATTAAATATAAATTAACTTTTAAATATAAAACTTAAAGATAAAGTAATTTATAAAAATATTTTTAAAAAAATTATATTAAGTAAGGAGATTAATATCTTATTATAAAAGAAAATTTCTTTTAATAATTATATTATAATTAATAAAAGAAAGTTTAATAATAGGTTAACTTATAAATATTATTATATTTAATTAAAAACTTTAATAATTTAAATTAAACTTTAAAGGTTAATAGTATATTATTATTTTTATTAAAACTTTAATTTTTTTAATTATTTAATAAGTTTAAAAATTATTAGTAATATTTTAAATAGTAATATATTAATTATAACTATTTAATTAAATAAATTTATAAAAATTAATATAATTATAATTATCTTTAAAGATTTATAAATTTATTATAAAGTAAAAATAATTAATTAAACTTTTATAATAATAAAGTAATAATTATTTATTTATTTAAATTTATAATAAACTTTTAATTATTATAATATAGAATAATATAGAGGAAGTAGTTAAAAATAATTTAATAGTAATTTAAGTTTAAAAGTTAATAATAGTTAAAAAGTAAATAATATTAATTAAGTTAGAAAGGTTAGTAAGTTATAAATATATTTAATAATATAATAATAGTTAAAAGTTTTTAATTATTTTAAAATTATATTAAATATTTTTATATAATTTTTATAAATTATATTTTATTAAGATTTTAAAATATATATTTTATAGTTTATTTTTATTTTATATAATTTATTAATAATTAAATTTTATTTCTTTTATATTAAGATATATTAAAATATTATTTAAAATATAATAAATTTTAGTATTCTTTTAATAAATTTAAGTTTTAAATATTAAAACTTTTATATTTTTAATTAATTAATAAAATTAAAATTTAAATTAATATATATAAATAAAAGATTTAATTAATAAATTTAAAACTTTTTAATATTAAAATATTTTATTTTAATTAAAAGTATTAAGTTTTAATATTTAATTAATAACTCTTTAATATTTAATTAATAGATTATTAAAGTTTTTATTAAAAACTATTATTTTTTAGTTAATATTATTATAATATCTTTTATAATAATTTAATTATATTTTTATAATAATTATTTTTTTAATATTTTAAGTTTTATTTAATAAACTATTTATTTTATTTTATAATAATAAGTTTATAGAATAGTTTATTAAAAGCTCTTTTAATACTTTTTAAAACCTTATTTTTTATTTATTTAAAATTAATTAAAAGTTTTATAATATTATATAGATATAAATAAATTTAATTTATATTTTAATATTATATTTAAATATAGAGATTTAAATAATTTTTTTAATAGTTTAAATATTTACTTTATTATAATATAAAGGTAAGTATAATAAAATTATATAACTTTTTTATATTATATAGTTTTTACTTTTTTTTAATTTTAAAGGTAGTATTATATTAATATAAATAGTATTAAAATACCTTTTAAAGCTTAAATTTTATATTTATTAAGTAAAATTTATTTAAAGGATTTTAAAGCTCTTCTTTATAGCTATATTAAAGTATATAGTTACTTATTAAGCCTTTATTATTAATTAATATATATATAAATAATTTATTACTTTTATTATAATAAAATATTTTATAATATTATTTCTTTTAGTTTTTATTTAATTTATTCATTTATAGGAATATAGGTTATAATATATATATTATTAATTATATTAATATATTTATTAAAATATATATTTTTAAAATTTATATTATTTATTAAGCTATTTTATTAATTTAAAGTATATAACTTTTATATAAAATATAGAAATACTTTAAATAGTTTTTATAATTTTATTAATAATTAATTAATATAAAAGGAATTAATAAATATAATTTTATTATATTTTATTATATATATATATTTAAAGGAATATTATTAATTATAATATTATTATTAATTATTTTATATTATTAAAGGTTATATATTTTTAATTAAATAAAAGGCTTTTAAAGGTTAGCTTTAATATTTAAAATATATTATAAAATATATTTTACTTTTATATAGAAAGGTATTTACTAATTTATTTATAACTCTAATTTAACTTTATTATTTTTATTATTAATATTAATAATAATAAAAGTAGATAATAGGATTTAAACTTTATATTAATTATTAAAACTAAAAGTATTAATTATTAAAGTAATAACTATTAGAAGTATATTTATTAAATTTAATTATTAAATATTATAGTTATAAAGGTTATATTAATAAAAATTAATATATTATACTAATTTTATAAAATTAATTTATAAACTAATAAAAATATTAGTTTAATAGTAAAATATATATAGATTTTTTTTTAAAGTAGTTATAGCTTATAGTAAGGTAAGAAGTATATATTAAGATTTAATGTAGATTAGTGTAAGTAGAAAATTCTATTTATAGATAAAATTTACTATTAAATTAGGAATAGAGGTCTTACTAAAACTATATCTTTATTAGAATATAATCTATTTAATTACTATACTATACTAACCTTCCTCCGTAATTATACCCTTAGGTAACTATATGTGCAATTTAATACCTAAATCCTAATTCCTGCCTTGAGTATTAATGATCCAGAATGGCGCTTCTTATCATTATTGATATATGTTTGGTTTGCTATGTTATGGACTAAAAGCAATATTCTTTTAATGTGAATTTACCTTTGTTGGCATTGTCAGTCTGTGTTTTTTCGTAAGTTTTGACGCTACATACAAGTAATCAAACTAGATTAATATGTTCTTATAAACTCTTCAGAAGCGACGTAAAGAGTACCTAGGTACTGACCAAATTGCTTCACCCTATCTTGTATTAATGGGGCCGAGGATGGAGGGTGAGGAATGGGAAAGACCCATTCTAAAATTGGGTCATTGAGCTGTCATCCAGGGATGAAATTAGTCACCTGATTAAGATATGTATAATGACGTACCGATAATAGAAAGTGCTTCAGTTCTGTGGGAGTTCGCTCACCCGCACAGCTCCTCCATTTGATGGTGACCTCGGGACGCATGATGACCCAAAATTACATAGCAAAAGCTATGGCTGCAGCCAGCACAGAAGTGAGCATGAAACCTAATGGCTCGCATTCACCATTTTGTGGGAGTTTGCACCACTCATTTGACGTAAAAGCAAAAGAATGATACTCGGATTTATGGTGACCGGCCCGAAAATGAACTACATGAAGGCTCGTGAGAATGGTACTGACCAAGCGAAGTTCTACAGACCTTTAGATCTCTGGTCCAGCAGCAAAATTTCCAGCAAAACACTCCATTGGCCTATTGTCAATGAAGAGAAGTTTCAGTACAGTTACGAAGACAACAAAGCGGTGGACAAGAATACCTGCTGCCGTAAGATTCAACTTAAAACGTTCCCATTCAGCTAGTAGACAGGCCGTCACTTGGCTCGCAGGATGACCCGAATTGGCTTAGATTAGCCGCGAGACGTTTTGTCACTTTCGTGATGCTATCGCAGGAGGAGCCATTGGCATATAGTGGGAAGTGGCAGGCCCTTTCCCTTGTATGCAGTCTGATGCTAGTAAGGCTCCGGAATGCGCCGCCACAGTGCTTTGGTGGTCTCCGTATTTGTACACCCTGCAGGTTTAAAGCCTACCGTTGGAGACACCATGGAGGCTAGTGTCGGGAATGCGGAGAGTTCGGCATTCACTAGCCAAGGCTGGGGTAGTCCCAGCCAGATCTACGGGTCCTGGGAAACCCAATCAGAGAGAGCACGGTCGACCATTTCGGTAACCAGTGTCTACCTAACAAGGTACAGACAGTAAATAACAACCTGTCTCATTTACCGCTATCATCCAGAAAAATTCCTTCATCTGACATGTCTCGCCACATCCGTGGCGTTCTAGGAGGTTAACCCGTGATCTACGCCTAACATTTTGGTAGACCAATTGCTTCCAAGTATTTTTTCAGACGTGCCCAGGCTAGTGAATTCTTCACGTAATCGAAACCCGTGTCTCCGTAAAGATCCTGGCAGCCTGGGTCAGCACGCGCCCTATAAGACTGTGGGGTGCCCGCTCCTTCATGCCGACGTGTTCCTGAGAACATGGTTATTTGGGCTTATAGCACGAGAGCAGCTAACTTCCCGTTCTGGAACGCCGTTACCAGGGACCCCCGTGACAGACCGTTCGTACTAACGCAAACGATATGGTCGACCTCCCGTCAAATCTCCCACCAGCACTAAGTCATTGGTTTGGTGCGCGAAGTCAACCCCCGCCCCAAACACCTTTTTGGAATTCGCTCCTCTGGGCTTTTGTCGGCGCATTTTGTGGTCTTTCAGTCTTGCAGGCTGTGTTTGGTCATGCTTCATATTTCATAGATCGTGGCGTACCGCAACTAGTTGCTTCATACGTAGGTCTCACCCGTGCGTTATGCGTCCAACCTTGTCTTTTCCTGGGAGATATGGTTTCTTGATTTGCTGAATTTGACCAAATTGCGGCGAAAGCTGCGGTAAATATGCGACGGCTAAAAATAAAATTGTTGTGTAGGGAGCCTCCGCTGTGCTCATCTACGGAGTACCTGAAGTACCATTAGCACAACCACGGGCTGTTATCGGTGGGCATTTCATAAGCGCGCTGGTTGGCCTCATAATCCTCACCATCTTCCGAGCGGGCGGTCACGCCAATGAGAACGACGACGGCATCGAAAGCAGCCTCAGCTGGTTGGCTGCCTCATTGGCGAGCTCTATCGCCATCGTTTGTATGATGGCAACCAAGACAACACACCCTCCTGCCGGGGCGACGGCACTGATACCCATTATCGACCCAAAAGTTTATAAACTGTCGTGGTACTTTCTCCCTGTCGTACTCCTCTCGTCCACCTTGATGGTGTTTGTTGGGATTATGATCATGAACGTGCAAAAGCGTTATCCGGTCTTTTGGTGGGAACCTACAAAGCCGCCTCAGCCAGCCAAGGATGAATCTTCTAAAGAATCTGTCTAGGGACTGGGAGTCATTGGTTGGCGACTGGACTTCGATTGGAAGTTGGTGCGCAATCCAGAGGGAGACTCCGGGATGGGTTACGGAGGCAGAGAAGAGCACCGCACTACTAGACATACTTAGGTAGCGAGAATTGGGCCAAAATTTCTGCAAGAGTCTGTGCAATCATCTTTTTAGATTTCGAGCGCCTCAATTAATCTACCAAACAGCGTAAGTTGACGTGTGCGGTACAAAAGGAGCTCAATTTTGTAGCACTAGTTGAGGGGACCGCGCATTCCGGGCCATGGTTGCGGGCTACCCTAGGGTACTTCAGAAATGATTGCAATACTTTTCATACCACGGGTATCTTTCTACTGCATTCGGTGTCACTCTAGCTTTCGCAATAGGTCGGGATGATGTAGCACGCATATGACAGGGCGTGATGAAGTGAGTTCATACAGCTCATCTTTAGAGACCAGATATTTACAAGGTGAAAATTAGATATTATAAGGCAATTAGTACCACCAGCTAAATAAAGCCCTCTATTCACCCTGACCACCTATCATATTATAACTATCATTATCGACACCGTGTTCTTTCCAAGCGCTGGGTCTTAAGTGCTTACCACCATATGAAGGCGCTATATGTATCCTTGGATGTATATGGAATAGATGTGAAACCACATTCACCCTTCCCTAGATACCTAACTAAATATACTACACTAATTAGGCACTTTTAAAACTATTACTTATTAGTCTATTAATCCCCTATTAATTACTTTTATTAACCCCTCTTATTAACTTATTATACTAATCCTTTTAATTAATTATTTTAATAAATTTACTTTATAAAATATTAGATTTATTTTTTTATAATTTATTATTTTAATTTTATTAAATATATTTATAAAAATATTAAAATATAAAAAAATATAACTTTAATAATAATAAAAGAATAAGTAATAAATTCTTAAGTTAAGGTTACTATAGTTAAGATATATATTACTATATACTATTTATTTTTTACCTTATAAATATCCATTCCTATTTTACCAGTTGAGGCCTAAGGGTCTATAACTGTTCTAAAAGCTCAATTACAGAATGGTCCACAATCGCAGGGATGAAACGCCCTACCAAATCCCAAATATTCTCTTGGGACTGCATACCGGGCTGGGTCAGCGCTAGAACATACCCGTGAAACAAGTGCTTCTTGTATTCTTGCCAGCCTGTAGCCCAATCAATTTGCCGCGCCCCGAGACTTTTCAGCGTTTCCAGATAGCGCCTAACAATTCGTTCCTCACTAGCTCTCCTGTCTTCCACGGCCAGAGCGCTTGTGACGAAATAAGACACATCGTGGAAGCAGTTGCCGGTAGAAGCAGCCTGCCAGTCGAGGAAGCCCGGCTCGCCAGAAGCTGTCATATACGTGTTGTCGATATGAGGGTCCCCGTGTATGAAACAGTCAAGCTCTCCCGATGTATCAGACTCCCATAATTTCTCGAAAGCAGTGACGATGCGGCTGCTATCCAGCAGGATTGTTTTATCGAAATCGGGGCCGAGAATCTCGAGGTTTTTGGCCACTACGGCGTTGAAAGGTCCAGGTTTTGTCAACTCGAGGATGATACCGCGTAAGCCTCCGTTGTTGGTGTTCATCCACTTGTATTCTGGATCCTGGGTACAGTTCCAAGTCTTAGCATGCAAAATAGCAAGCTGCTCGACACCGCGTATGACTCGGTCCACGGGCCAGGGCTCACTAGGCGTGCCAAATGAGCAACCCTGTGTTGTCAGGTCCTCAAGGACGACAATTCCTTGCCCGCTTGAACTGTCAATTCCCGAGTACCATGTCTTCGGGAGGTTCATGCCAGATGATATCAATTTTGGCGAGATGTAGTGATAGAATTCAGCCTCGCGACGGTATGTATCCAAGAGGGATGGTGCGATGGCAATAAGTTCTGGATTGAAGCCTCCCTTAAAGAAAATACGCTGAGGGAGACTTGTCTTATTGGCGGCAGGGGCATATTCCAGATTGACGACCAGTGTGGAGGATGAGCCATGACGAACGCTGATAATAGTCGACTTTTCCACTGGCGCGTTGAGAATTTTGGAGCACCAAGCAGAGGTTACTCCGTCCACTGTTGTTGGGAGGGATTCTCCATTGGGTAAGACCAGGCCATTCATTGTGAATACAAGAAGAATACCAGTAGAAATGCTACAACGGCGAGAAATTGGCATTAAAGGTCTCAAGATGCTACGTGGTGCCGCCTTATATGTAATTTACTTGGCCATGAGTTGTGAGAAGGCTCTTCATGCTTGAGGTGAAACGAAAAGAGGTACCTAGGGAAACAGACGACATTGCGAGTGCGGAAGGGCCGGCAAATACAGTACACATGAGTAGGTCTCGCTAGCACGCCTCAAACCAGACAATCCTTGTCCTAGATATCTGTTGAAACAGCAATTGGGGCCATATAATGCCACGAGCGGGTATGGTACCATGAAAACGAGCTTCAGCCCTCAATCTACAGTGGGCAAGTCTAGTCGCATCGACCCACTACAACTATTGTTTTTAAAAGGCTACCTTTTAATTTTTAATTTAAAAAATAAATAAATAGAACATATTAAGTTAAAAACTTAATAGTAAATAATAATAATAAAACTTTTAATATAGATTCTTAAATTAAGTTTTATATATTATATAATAATATAAATTATTTTATTTTATTTAATAAAAGTTTTTTAATACTTTAGTAAATCTAAATAATTTATATACTATTATTTAAATTATATAAGGTTAGATCTTAAGGTATTATTTAATATTTAAGGCTTTAAGCTTGTAAGTATGACTGGACTTTTGACGGCCTAGTATATGCCCCGAGCAGTCCACGAAAGTGCTGACAAACCTCCGCGCATTACCTAAAGCTCTCGTCTACGAGTCATCATATTTTGTTTTGAGCTTTTCCAGACAGCGTAGTTGCCCACTTCGGCAAAACATCACGAGGCATCGCGCAATGAAGTGGGCTCACCCCACGCTTGGCCGGCTTTACCGTTGTAGTGGAAGACTGCAGATCACCTCGAGCCGTGGGCGTCACCTGACTCAAGGCCTCTCGGGTACGCGCCACCGGAGACAGAATCACTCAGCCTCACTACCTAAGCCCTATTTCCCCACAGAGATTCATGTTATCCATCATGTAATAAAGTGGGTTAAAAGTGGCCCTCCTGTCGGACGTACGGAGGCGCGTTCACCCAACCCATTCCTTAAGGCCAACCATACGCTGGGTTGCCCAAACCGAAGCCGCGGCTTTTCCGGCGACCACCTGCAGTGCCTTCCCTTGTTGAGTGGACATGAAATGCGACATCGCGCCTCTTGATAGCGAAGACATCCCAAGTCATACCGCGGCGGCTGCAAAGGGATCCATGATGACTTCAATGATACATGAGCTATTTCAGGCCACAACCGTTTTCCCTGATGGATACCTACCGACGGATGTTAATATGTGGAGGTTGTGAAGAATACGGGAGTACACTTGCGTCGGACCCCATATCAAAGCACTTATTAAAACGAGCCCCGTAATGAGTGGGTTCTCACGCGCTGACAAAAGTCCGTCATGCCGACGGAATCGGACTCGTGATAGATATATGTGTCTCTGAATTTAATTATAGATCATATGAGTGTGAAGTATGTGAGACGAGTCGCCCGGTGAGCAGACTTTTGCCGACCTGTGGATGCTGTGAAGGAGATTGTCCCAGGCCGAAGGTATCGGCACTGCCGAGCCAATCGAGACAAGCTGTTGAAAAGATTCAGTGAATGTAGTTCCGAGTGTTCAGCCCCTTGGAGGCCACAAGCTCTAGTTAAAAGGCCTTACGGAGCTTCCAATAAACCTCATCTACTACCGTCACATACGTCATCCCTCCTTTCCTCTACTTCTCACCACACTATATGTCGTTAGACAGTAGCTGCCATCTCGCCGACAGACTATGGTTCTAGAAACTATCACGCTCAATACATCGCAGTGGTCACCGGGCAGCAGCCCGGTGGCCACCTCGCGTCAGGGTACTCCAACGTCACTTGGGACACAGTCACGGGCGGCCACCGTCAAACCCACTCCCTCAAAACTCTTGGGGCAACGAGAGTACGAACGCGACAGACTCGTTCGTAAATGTGTGGGCCGACAAGTCCATGTAGTAAATCTCATGAGCTTGATGCCGGCATGGCCAAAAGATATACACTCACAGGAGATCCTGGATGAAGTCAATGTAGAGATTGACGAGTGGTTGAAGACGTAAGCCATAGGCGTTTTGATTCACCTTCGATTATTGACCTGCCTTGCAGTGTTTGGATAACATGATTCATTACTAACACAGCGAGCAGTGTTAATGTTGCCGAAGCAAAGAAGAGGAAACATCGCATGAAGAGTAACTACGCCATCCTGGCAAGTGTGTTTTACTCGAGCTGCAAAAAGGAGAAGCTGTTGGCATTGACCAAGTATCAGTACTGGGTAGGTCATAAGAAGACTAATTGACCTATTTTCTTCTCAAGCAAAGAACATAAGTTAATCGAGGATATCTAGATATTTTGGTTCGACGATGAGATCGATACAGGTGGCGAGCTCACCACTGACACAGCCGGGACACGCCGAATCTGTGATCTGACACTCCAATGTGTCGACGACTGTCTTCACCCAGACGCTGCGCAAGCCTTCTTTGTCCCACCGCCCAACTCTCCAGGCACGGTGGAGGTTTTGTACGAAGTTCTAGGCGCGATGCGGCCAGAAATGGGGCCGATGTCCATTGAGAGGATGCGAAGGGAACTCCACGACTACGTCGAGGGCGTGGCCCGCCAACAGGCGGTGAGGCAAGATGAACACCTACCCGACCCTTGGTACCATTTCGATATCCGCAGCGCGGACGTCGGCGTCATTCCCTCGATTACCCACAACGAGTACGCCATGGACTTTGAGTTGCCTGATTCCATCAGGTATCATGAGGCTATCGAGACTATTGTGATGGAGTGTACGAAATTAGCCATCCTTATCAACGAAATATTGAGCGTGCAAAAGGAGTTTGTAAGTCTGTATTTTGCGCCATCCATGGCGTATCTACCTACCGTCACAGGCAGTCTATTAACCAGTGTACAGCGCGTCGGGCAGTTGGAGAACATGGTACTCCTGATCATGAACGCCGAGAATGCATCTGTGCACGAGGCTGTGTCCAGAATCATCAGTCTGATCAGGAAGCACTACGCAGCGTGCGAGGATGCAGTGGCTCGTCTGCCCTGGACTGATGATGAAGTAGTGAATGAGCACATACGCGAGTATGTTCGTGGCTGTCGGCGGCTGGCAACGGGTACCGGACATTGGGCATATTTGTGTACGCGATACTTCGACAAAAGCCAATTGGACGAGAAGTGGGGCCTGGTTTTGAATTTTGAATGTTAAATAGAGGCTTGGTAAGCCTATCGCGAAAGCGGATCATTAGAATAAACTTACTATATTATCTTAATAAGAAATCTCTATAGATCAGTACCTACTTAAGTATCTTAATCTAATTATAAAAATAGGCCTCTTTAAGGAGATATACTAATGTTTATAAAGGAGGTCACATCGCTTACATGTAATGAAATCCACAAGTTGTGTTTCCATGGCTTACCTAAGCCCGAAGAAAGCACATTCAAGAATGGGGAAGGACTACTAGTGGCAGGTAATGGGGATGGGGAGGGGGAGGGGGTTGAGCGCCAGTCACGATAAGCTGCGGCAAGCCGCCCAGGGGCTCGGGCCAAGGATGGGGGCTGACAGATGTGGTCGACACGGGGCCACGCGGTGGTACACACTGAGATACTAACCCCAATGAAACATGGGCTTCACGGGAAAGGTGAGGGGGATGAAGCTGCCTATCAAATCCCCATTGCATCCGGCACTGCAACGGGATGGAGAGGCAATCCTTCAGGGGTGGGGAAACGTCTACCATAACCCGAGTTTCACAACGTGCTCAGAGCGAAGCGTCGTCTTGAAGTTCAACAGTGACTTCAACTATCCGTAATCATTTCCTGCCAATCCAGTATGACGCTTCCTATCCCTCACACAGCACCGCCGCAGAGCGTCGCGGCATCAGCAACAATGGTTTCCCACGATGCACAAAAGCTCGGGCCTCTCATCAGCTCGCTCTACAACACATCCGAGATAGTATTCTTTCTGAATGGACGACGCACAGTCCTTGCCAATCCGAACCCACAATGGACGTTATTGGACTATCTGCGGTCCCGTCCTGGGCTCCGGGGGACCAAGTTGGGTTGCGGGGAGGGAGGATGCGGCGCCTGTACGGTGGTAATGCAAGTTGGGGAGCAGTCTCCAGCAAGACGTATCAAGCACATTTCAATCAATGCATGCCTGTTCCCGCTGTTGGGCTGCGAAGGAAAACACATTATCACAGTTGAAGGAATTGGCTCCGTCGCCAGCCCGCATCCCCTTCAAGAGAGGATGGCCAAGATGCACGGAAGCCAATGTGGCTTCTGTACCCCGGGCATTGTCATGAGCCTATATGCCTTGGTGAGAAATGCCTGGGACCCGGAAGAGAGCGTGTTCCGGTTGACTGCGAGAGATGTGGAGCTGGACGGTGCATTGGATGGGAATCTGTGCAGGTGCACGGGTTACAAGACGATATTGGAGGCGGCAAAGACATTTGTCACCGAGGATCTCAAAGGGAAGATTGCCGACAGCAAAGTGGAGGACGGCAAGGATGGCACAGAAGAAGACATGACCCCACTCGCAGTCAGCCAAGTGTCAGGATCATTACCCTCCTGTGGTCGACCGGGCGGCTGCTGCAGAGATAACAAAGGGGCGTCATGCGGCAGCAGTGCCATGCAAGACAGACCATCGTCTTCCGAGAGTGTTGAAAATGCCAACAGCCACTCTTCCGAGGGCGGATCAACAGGCGAGAGCGCACCATCCCCCGGGACCTCAATATCGAGCCAGGGGGTTCTGAAATCGAACCCGGTCCTGGAGCTTGGCGGCACGCTGACCACGAAGCCAAACCACTATGACTTCCAGCCATATGAGCCTGGAACAGAACTGATATACCCACCCTCGCTATGGAAGCACGAACGGAAGCCCATATGTTACGGAGATAGCTCAATGCTCTGGTTCAGGCCGACAACGCTCGCGCAGCTGATGGAGATCAAGTCTATCTACCCGCTTGCAAAGATTGTGAGCGGCGCCAGCGAGGTGGCGATCGAGCAACGATTCAAGAGCGCCGAATGGCCTGTCATGGTATACGTCGGAGACATAGGCGAGCTCAGGACACCAACGTCGGTGCTGGCCGATGCTACAGACGAAGAGTGGCAGAATTTGAATGAGGTTGTGCTGCCTGCCAACGTGCCATTGACAGATGTCGAACAAATATGCAAGGAGGCTAGAGCACGTCTTGGAGAGAGAGGCCAAGTCTTTGAGGCATTGCGCAAACAGCTTCGATATTTCGGCGGCAGACAGATCAGGAATGTTGCGACACTGGCAGGCAACATCGCCACTGCGAGTCCGATCTCCGATGCCCTCCCCGTGCTGATGGCCTCCAGGGCCAAGGTCACCATTGGAAGGCTAGTAGAGGGTACTGGGGCTATCTCTGAAGAGCAGGTGCTACTATCAGATTTCGTGAAAGGATATCGACGCACGACCTTGACTACGGACATGCAGGACGGGGTTCTCACAGCAGTCCGGATCCCTTTGCCGCCTCTTCACAGCGATGGAAAGGAAGTCATCAAGGCTTACAAGCAATCAAAACGCAAGGAGGACGATATTGCGATCGTGACTGCATGCTTTCGTGTGCGTCTTGATGCTACCGGGGCTGTGGAAGATGCAACCCTTGCTTACGGAGGAATGGCACCCACCACAAGACTTGCACCGGACACACAGACTTCACTGAAAGGTTTAGTGTGGTCTGCACCCTCCACTCTCGATATGGCTCTGGACTCTCTCCAGAAAGAATTATGGCTCCCCTTCGATGTCCCGGGAGGGATGGCACAATACAGGACCACACTGGCCTGTTCACTCTTCCTGCGATTCTGGCACGAGTCGATGGGCCGTCTTGGCATCTCCGTGGAATCAGCAGCGGACATCTCTGAGCTCGAACACAGCCTTTCCTCAGGCACGCGGGACATGCCCGCCCTCGCAGCTGATGCCAGCACGAGAAACGCATCCACGATGGGGAAGCCCGTCCCACATCTGTCATCGCTCGCGCAGACGACTGGTCAGGCTGAGTACGTCGATGACATCCCGCCCCAGTCGGATGAACTGTTCTGCGGGCTGGTCCTCTCAACTCGCTCCCATGCCAGGATAGTCTCAATTGACTGGTCTCCAGCGCTGGGATTGCCAGGTGTGGTTGGCCACATGGATCACACTACCCTCTCATCGCCCGACCTCAATTTGTGGGGCAGCCTCAAACACGATGAGCCGTTCTTTGCGGTAGACACCGTGGACAGTCACGGCCAGGTTATCGGCGTGGTTCTCGCTGATACGCAATTAGGAGCCAGAGTAGCCGCGAAAAAGGTCAAGATCGAGTATGAGGACCTTCCCGCGCTGATCACCATTGACCAGGCGATTGCGGCAGGTAGCTTCTTCCCATACGGCAAGGAGCTGCGCAAGGGAGACTCGGCTTTGAAACAGGACCTCAGCGGGCCTTTCGCTGCGTGTGACAGGGTGTTTGAAGGTACCACAAGGCTCGGCGGGCAGGAACAGTTCTACCTGGAGACAAACGCTGCGCTTGCTATCCCGAAGAGTGAAGACGGGCAGATGGATGTCTGGTCAAGCACACAGAACACGTAAGTCCACGTCTGTCCTCTTCTTTCTTTGAATCGACTTTTTTGACATTGCAACAGCATGGAGACACAGACGTTCGTGTCCCAGATCCTCACCGTGCCCAACCACAAGATCAACGCCCGGGTCAAGCGTCTGGGCGGAGGCTTTGGCGGCAAGGAGTCGCGCAGTGTGCCTATCGCATGTTACTGCGCCCTCGCTGCCGCCAAGCACAACCGTCCGGCGCGCCTCATGCTCACCCGCGAGGAGGACATGGCGACATCGGGCCAGCGGCACCCGTTCAAGGCGAAGTGGCGGGTCGGCGTCACCAACGAAGGGAGGCTGGTGGTGCTCGAGGCCGACTTGTACAACAACGCTGGATTCAGCGTGGACATGTCCACGGCGGTCATGGATCGGGCTCTCACGCATGTGGACAACTGCTATGAGATCCCGAATGTCTGGGTTCGCGGCCATGTCTGCAAGACCAACACCCACAGCAATACTGCATTCAGAGGGTTTGGTGGCCCGCAGGGCATGTTCATCACAGAGAACATAATCACTGCAGTGGCCGAGGGACTTGACATTCCCGTCGATGAGATCCGCCGCCGCAATCTCTACGTCGAAGGGCAGCGCACCCCCTTCCTCCAGCACATCAATGAGGACTGGCACGTGCCGACCATGCTAGAGCAGGTCCGCCGCAACGCCCAGTTCGACGCCCGCAAGAAGGCCATAGGCGCATACAACAGCGACCCCAAGAACCGCTGGAGAAAGAAGGGCATAGCAATGATCCCCACCAAGTTCGGGCTCTCGTTCGCCACGGCGCTGCACCTCAACCAAGCCTCCGCGGTCGTGCAGGTCTACACGGACGGCACGGTGCTGCTCTCCCACGGCGGCACGGAGATGGGGCAGGGGCTGTACACGAAGATGTGTCAGGTAGCGTCGGCGGAGCTCGGGGTGCCCCTTCGGGACGTATACACCAGCGACAGCTCGACGTATTCCATCGCCAACGCGTCTCCCACGGCGGCGAGCTCCGGAAGCGACCTGAACGGCATGGCTGTGAAGGCTGCCTGCGAGAAGCTGCGGGAGAGACTAAAGCCATACCGTGACACTCTGGGGGAGCATGTAACAATGAAGGAGCTTGCCATGGCGGCATATCGGGACCGCGTGAGCTTGATCGCAACCGGGTTCTGGAGTAAGTATATGCGCGCACATTGTCAACATTAGAGGAGTGTCACGCTGACAGACGCACAGAAATGCCGAGGATCGGCTACGTCTGGAACGATTTTGAGAACCTCGATCCAAAACCGATGTACTACTACTGGACGCAGGGCGTTGCAGTCACCGAAGTGGAGCTCGATGTCCTGACCGGTGATCACCACGTGCTGAGAACAGATATCATGATGGCAAGTCTGTCCTCCTCGACAAGATTGGTCAAGATGTGAGACTAACTTCGGCCAGGACGTTGGAAATTCAATCAACCCGGGGCTTGATTACGGCCAGATCGAAGGAGCATTCGTTCAAGGCCAAGGGCTCTTCACGCTCGAAGAGTCGCTCTGGAACTCCAAGACCGGCTGTCTGTCTACCACCGGCCCAGGGACGTACAAGATCCCAGGCTTCGGCGACATCCCCCGCGAGTTCAACGTGAGCATGCTGAAGCACGACAGCGAGGGCAACGCCATAAGCTGGAAGCACCTGCGGTCAATCGCGAGCAGCAAGGGGGTGGGCGAGCCACCTCTATTCCTGGGCTCAACGGTGTTCTTTGCACTAAGAGAGGCCGTCAGGGCCGCGAGGAAGCAGAACGGGCTCGGTGACAGTGGCTTGGTGCTGGACAGCCCGGCGACTGCAGAGGCACTAAGGTGTGCGGTTGGAGACCAGCTGAGCAGGAAATGTGCGGTTGACCAGGTGAAGGAGCAGAAGCCATTCTTCGTGAGGGCATCTTGAGAGAGCCAGACGCATCTACTCCAGGCCGGTCTCGGACGTGGGCTTGCCAAGCGGGCTGTGGCTTGGAGGAAGGTAGCAAAGCTGTGTAAACATCGTAACGTACGTCTTACCAGACGATTCGTCACACTGATCAAAGAATTGTTACGGCATAGTTAGCCAGATCCGAGACTGATACTGCGCATTCCAAGGATTTCGTGCAACCATATCCGCTCTTCCCCGGTACCGTCCCCATCGCTTGCTGTCATTCGTCTCCACCCCCACAAATCATTACGCGGGGAACAGTTGGGGTCCTCCACGCCTACATTGAATCTTTACCCAAGGCAGTAATCCGAGATGCACAGCCGGCACCTCGACCTGTGGCACCTTGTGGGGAATAGGGCAGACGTGTGTGCGGGGGGCTTTGCCTTTTCCCTCCATGAACCCCAGCAGTGGCAGCAGCGATAGCAGTGAACAGTCGGTACCTAGGTATGGTGGCCGGGAGCGACCGTGCCCTTCGGCAAGAGCTCGTCCGACAGTGTTGCAGTGATCCCTCGGGGTCGATGTGGCAGATGCTTGATGGATATAAGCTTCTTCGCGCCGGGCTTGGTGTCACCTCAACCGACAAGCAAGGTCAAGGCGAGTAGCACCGTCGCCGCCATCATCATACCGTCACCGAGATCAGCGCGATATCGCCAGTGAAGATGGACAAAAACACCACTCCTCCGCCCGGGGAGCCACTCCCAGAAAAAGAAGGGCTCGAGGCGCCGGGGCCAGGCAAGGCATCCCACGACACCGCGCGCGCCGCCCACGTCGAGCACTTTGAGAACGAAGACGCTGCGGAGCACAAGGCCCGGACGACAAGGCTCCTGCGCAAGATCGACCTGCACCTGCTCCCCTTCCTGATCGTCATGTACCTGCTCAACTTCCTGGACCGCTCCAACCTCGCTCAGGCGCGCCAGGGCTCGCTCGAGGCGGACCTGGGCATGAGGGGCACGGACTTCAACCTGGCCACGTCCATCTTCTTCGTCGGGTACCTGCTGATGCAGCTGCCGTCAAACATGCTCATCACGCGGCTGCAGCCGCGGATCTACCTGAGCACGGCCATGGTGCTGTGGGGTGTGGTGAGCACGTGCAACGCTGCGGCGCACTCGTTCGGCGCGCTGGTTGCCATCAGGTTCTTCCTGGGGTTTGTCGAGGCGCCCTTCTTCCCCGGGGCCATCTTCCTCATGAGCTCTTGGTATACGCGGGCGGAGCTGGTGCAGCGCATAGCGTGGTTTTACTCGGGCAACGCTCTCGCCAACATGTTCGGCGGTCTCCTCGCGGCCGGTATCCTGGGCAACCTGGATGGAGACCTGGGGCTTTCATCTTGGAGGTGGCTTTTTATCATCGTGAGCGCCCTTTTGCGCCCAAGCTGTGACAGTGCACTGACTGTTTTTCCTTGTTCAGGAGGGGACAATCACAATCGGCATAGCCATCCTTGCCGGGTTCTTTCTGCCAAATTACCCAGCCACTACGCCCTGGCTCAGCGACGAGGAAAAGCACTTCGCAGCATGGCGCCTGCTTGCCGATATCAACGAGGAGGATGAGCGGCATGCGACGTCTACCATGGCAGGTCTCAAACTGGCCCTGGCGGACTACCGGCTGTATCTTTTTGTGCTTTTGCAGCACGTCAGTCTCCTCAGTCAGACCTTCCAGTACTTCTTCCCGTCCATCGTTGGGACGCTGGGCTATGGAAAGATCGACACTCTTTGGCTGACGGCCCCCGTCTGGGTAAGAGAAAATTGCCTCGGGCCATGTTGAATAGTGCGTCTTGCTGATCAAACATCCAAGTTTGCGACGTTCCTTGTCTCTATCTTCGTGACTTGGACGTCATCCAGAACAAAGGACCGATCGATCCACATCATGTGCCTGATGATAGTCGCAGCAGTTGGGAACGCCATTGCAACAGGCACAACCAACATTGGCGCCCTCTTCTTCGCCATGTTCCTCATGCCAATGGGTGCAGTGTCTGCATGTAAGTCCAATGATCTTGTTGAATGCGGGGATGTTCCGCCCCCACTCCAATAGATGAAGTGTGACACAAGATCTGACAAGCGATGGTGTATGAACAGACCAGATCATAGTCTCCTGGGTGGCCAACTCGTTCCCACGGCCACTTGTAAAACGCTCCATCTCGATCGCCATTGCAAACATGATCGGCAATACAGCTAGCATATATGGCTCGTATATGTACCCGGCCTCGGCAGCCCCACGATATCTACCGGGAGGCACAGCAAATACTGTCATCTGTCTCATGGTCGCGCTTCTGGCGCTCATGCTGCGCTTCGTGCATGTGAAAGAGAATAGGGAGCTCGAGCGATTGGAGGAGCGGGAGCTTGCAGGTGGCGGCCAGGACAGGAGTGGGGAGAGTGGGGACAGGAGGACGACCGGCTTCAGATATGTTTATTGAGCGGCTGAACAGGATACTTTTTGCGCTGAAAATGCTTCACGAACAATATATTCGGGATGAGCCACTTGGAGCCCCTGGTCTGTGCCAGCGTTGGTGAAAGTCCCTGCGCATCTTGCGTGCATTACGGATCGCACTTCCGCGCCGGGCAGCCGGGCTCGGATCGCCTGTGCCTCGATGGCCGCATCGAAAAACCGATTAGCCAAGAGGAGCGTGGTTTCTTTTTTTCGCGCCTACTTGAGGAAACCAAGGCCAACTGGGCCATTACACGGCACCTCGGCTCAGTCCCAATGCTTCCACGCGAGAGGGCCTGCACATTACCCCATGTCTTCCTGCTGCAGTTGTGCGATGCGCCTGCAGGTGGGTGGGCAGGGGGGCTTGCAGGCAGCGGCCGGAGACGCCCTGTCTCGCCAGCTCGCGGTCGTGCAACCAGGAGGACGGCTGCGGTTCCCTTTCACGTCTGTTGCAGAACAGAAACATTGTGATACGTCTGATATGGATTCGGCAAGATTCGACTTTGCGGAATTCGTCAATGTGCTGCCCAGCCGATGGTTGCAGACGTGAGCCCACCGGTGAGGACGTGCATGGAAAAGCAGTAAGCACCGGCCGGTGACGGGTGCCCCCAAACTGCGAAAGTCCCATGCGTCGAGTAGACCACGTCAGATCTGGACCAGAAAAAAATAAGACTGGAGTTAGACCCATTGGCAACGATGAGCTTGAAGGATGCCATCGTCGTCTCGGCACCCCTGTGGCCGCTAGCCTGATGGTTGCTTTTGCTATCATCGCGACCACTCGTCGTTTTCTCAAATTTCTAGCCCCTCTGTGACCGGAAGGAAGATGTTCCAAATCGTTCTTTTCTGGACCGTCCGTCTCCTCACCCGGCTTCGACTTGTAGCTCGCATCCGGGCCAGACTGAGAGCTTGCTCAGCCTCGAAATGCAACCCGGAGCACCCGTTGTTATACCCGAGGGAGGCGGCTCTTTACCGTCGCTGCATTTTCACCCTTCTAGGCCTTTTCACGTCATACCTCCTCCAACTTCTGTTTCAGCTGTGACGATGGATACACGAGCATCTAAGGTGTTTCCGTGGACTCGCCTCCCGAACCTCATACAGCAGCGAATCCTCTCGTGCGCTATTCTACCAGATGGGCCTGATACAACACTGATCGTAGGGGATCCAGATCATAGCATGTATCTTCGGAAGGTTGCAGTGCCAGTCTTATTGAGCCTAGGTTCCTGGTCAGGTTATGGCAGTGCCATGCGCATCTTGTACCGTGATGTGCGACTGGATCTCTGTATGCACCGCCGCAGCTCAGTGATCTTCCTGACATCGGCCCACGCCTTGCGTCCCAGAAACATGGTGATCAAATTGCACATGGTCCTCGACATCAAGAAAAGTCTAACACTGTTTGATTCGGGACACACGATTCGGCAGTCGAAGGGAAAGCTAATAAAGATGAATATTCCCACCGCACTACGCTGTATGAAAGTGCATGGGCGGCTGTCAGAGGTGGAATTTGTCATTAACAGGATGCTGGCAACGGCGGAGCAGGAGCAGCGCGTGCCCGAGGATTACCTCCCTATGGCGGAGATTCAACTCGTCAACCGGGATGTCTTGCAGATGTTGGACGACGATACGACATCTTCAAGCGTCACCACTCTCGGACAGGTGGAGACTCTTATCGCGCCTGCATTCCTCGCCTGCCGGGCGTGGCAATCAGGCTTCCTCCCGATGTTCGAAAACGGCACATTCCAGAAGGGCGCAACACTGGCAATAATGTCCAGAGAACTTCGGCCCGACCAAGGACGAACTACAGAAGATGTTATTGAAAGCCAAATTTCGCGCGTTGATGGGGGCACCCTCATGCGGTTCTGGCTCGGTGGCACGATTATGGAGTTGCTGGACGACACGGCGAACCCCTCTTCTTGGGTCGATCCCTTCACTCTCTCTAGCCAACGGTACGATGATCTCAACTCTCTCGACCGCAGTGTCGAGAACAGCCAGAATTGCCCATTGGCTTCCAAAATCGCGATAGCTGCCTCGCTTGAGAACGAGCGTGAGGCTCCGCCTTGTCTTGCCAAGGCTACTTTGAGCTCACCTGAGTCATCCTCGGCGAGTGGTGAGGCCAGGACCCGGGAGCAGTATGGCGCAATGAATCCGCCAAAAGGGCTATATGATCCTCGCCTGGAGTACAGCGCTAGTCAAGTTGCCGCCAAAGCGTCCAAAGCTTACGATACACCTTCTGATGACGGAAGCCTGAGTGACGACGAGATGCGGAGTCTGCATCAGAGGTATGGTGCCGGCTCGAGGGTCCGCCAAAACACGTTTTCAGTCTCGTCAAGTTCCTCGGAGTCTCCCGCTCATTCAACGCGGATCGGCGCCACGACCTCACCAAGTCCGAACTCAGAACTCGAAGCATGCTGAGTGAGAGGCGAGGCGAACCGGAGAGATTGGAGAAGACACACCATGAAACGGGGGCCAATTGGAAGCAGCGGTGGACGATGCTGATAGTGATACAGGGCGCAGCATCAACGAGATCCACCAACAGCATAAGCGAAGAGCAGGATGCCTTGTTTGAATTGCTAGCGGGGCTGGGCGCTGCGACGTGGGAGTGTGTGTGTGTGGGCGCTTTGCGTCGGGAAGATTTCCTTCCTCCAAGTAAATCTCGATGATTTCTGGGACTGTCAGAGCGGAATTAGGGATGGATGTGTGCTTGCATGGGTAGAGACGCAGTAACAAAGAGTAACGCCAGTCTGCTGGTACTGCAAAACCAAGTACCGGGAACAGATGAGCAGATCGTCTCTAACGTTTGTTCGTAGTTGATTCATGGGTATTGTATTTGCAATTTCTATTGCTGCTGATGCGAGCAGGCTCCGGCCACGGGCTGCCCACGGCTCCCGCGGCGGCCCCTTCTCGGCATTGGGGACATCAGCGATCTTATCGCGAAGAGGAATCATCTTTCTCTTCCTCTGCTCCCTCACCATTCTCCTGGAACAACGTTTCTTGCGCTGTGAATCGTTAGTGAGGTCCTGTTGAACTTCACATCCAAAGGTGGACTTACCACTCCAAAGCTCAGAGTAAACACCACCTTGGTCCACCAGCTCCCGATGCGTACCGCTCTCCACGACGGTGCCACCCTGCAACACAATGATCAAGTCGGCATCGTAAATCGTCCTGAGCCTATGTGCCACGAATACGCTGGTTCGGTTCTTCTCCTTCAGAATGGAGTTGATGTTCTGCATCAAGCCCTGTTCCGTGTGCGTGTCGAGGGCACTGGTAGCCTCGTCGAAGAAGAGCAGAGGCGGGTCCTTGAGCAGCAGCCTTGAGACTGCGAGACGCTGTTTTTCGCCACCCGATATCATCAGACCGCGCTCGCCGACCTTGGTGCTGTAGCCGTCCTTCAATGACTCGATGGTGTCGTGGATGCGGGCTCGCTTAGCAGCGGCGACAACGCGCTCCTCCGGTGCATTGATGTCGCCATAGCGGATGTTGTGTTCGATTGTGTCGTTGAAGAGTGGTGTGTCTTGCGGGACGACTCCGATGGCTCGGCGCAAGCTGTCAAGCTGGACATGGCGGATGTCTTGATCATCGATGAGCACGCGGCCTTCCTGTGCGTCATAGTACCGGAACAGGAGTCTTAGAAGTGTCGACTTTCCACAACCAGAAGGTCCAACTATGGCGACCTTCTTTCCGGCGGGGATGACGAGGTTCAGATTCCGGAGAATGGGTCTGTCCGCGTGGTAGCCGAAGGTGACATTCTCAAAACGGATCTCGCCGCCCTTGGGCAAGGCCAGGGGCTGCGCGTTGGGTGACTCGGTAATAGTGACGTTGACCTTCTGGAGGTTGAACAGTGTCTCCATATCCAAGAGACTCTGCCTCAGCTCACGATAGACTGAACCCAGGAAGTTGAGTGGGACCGAGAGCTGGAACACAAGCTGGTTGATCATGACCAGGTCACCCACCGTCAGGCTGCCCGTGGCGATGCCATTGGCGCCGAGGTACATCATGGTAGTCAGGGCAGTAGAGAAGATGATGTTCTGTCCCGAATTGAGGAAGGCGAGTGACGTGGCGACCTTGATCGACGACTTCTCGTACTGTTGAAGCGCCTTGTCGTAGCGTGCGATCTCGAACTTCTCATTGTTGAAGTACTTGACAGCCTCGTAGTTGATGAGTGAATCAACGGCGACTGTCGATGCCTTGTTGTCGGCTGCATTGGTCTGCCTTCGGAACTTGGTCCTCCACGCGGTTGTCCAGATTGTGAAGGCGCTGTATGTGGCCATTGTGATGGCGGTAATGGCAGCAAATGAACCGCCATACTGATAAGTAAGGATGCCGCAGACCATTGTAATCTCCAGGGCCGTGGGTATGACGTGGAAGACCATGCTGGTCAGCAAGAAGCTGATGCCCTTTGTTCCACGGTCGATGGCCCGCGTCAACCCACCCGTCTGCTTGGACAGGTGGAAGCTCAAGTCCAGGCGCAGAAGGTGGTCGAAGACATTGCATGCGACCTTCCGGATGGCCTTCTGCGCAACAGAGGCGAAGACGGCGTTCCGGAGCTCCTGGAAGACGGTGGCCCCTATCCTTGTGGCGCCGTATGCGAAAATCATGGTGCCAGCAACAGTGACGACAGAGCCGCCGGTGGAGGCGACGTCGATGTTCATGGCATCGACAATGCTCTTGAAATAGAATGGCACCTGTACATTCAGAACTTTGGCGCCCACGAGCAGGGACACGGCCAGCCCGACCCGCAGCTTCGTCCCGAGACTATCTTTCGGCCAGAGGTAGTGGGACATCTCCTTTATGATGGCCCAGTCTGCCTTCCGTTGTTCTTGGACTGTCTTTTCTAACGGTGCCAGCGGGTCGGCGGGTGGCTTCGACGTCGAGGCTGCCCTGGCGGGCTGGACCCCGCCATGCTTCTCGGGCTGTCTCGCAGAGGGGCTGGTGGGTGCATTGTGGGAGGTCGAGGTGGCTGTAAGGGTTGGCCTCTTAGGAGACTCTCCTAGAGAGCTTGTCGATGAGAAGACTCGTATTCTAGAGGCAATTGGGCTCTGCGGCAGGAGCTGCCTGCGGAATTGGTATTGGTGGTAGGCGCGCGAGCAGCAGAGTGTCGAGGGCCCTCCCCGCGGGAGCAAGGCGGATCGTAATACCATGGCGAGTGTGTTCGTTGTGCCGTGGCCAGCTCGGCTCCCATCTCTCCAGCACCTTCGGGCAGCGCACCTAGAGCTCCATGGTAGGCGGTGGTGAGGTTGGGCTTTTCGAGGTTGGCTGCGGGGGGCTGGCGGTGCGCGGTTTATTAGTCGCGGGTGGAATGCCGAGAGGAAATGGCGGGCCAGATGACGACGATGTCGCAATGGAGCTCGAGCATTATCGCAGGAGCTAAGCTTTGGCAGGCCCCCCCCCCTGTCTGGGGCCCGAGAGGCACCTGCAGGCTGCAGTGCGGGATCTTGCTCTGTTAGGCCCAAAACCACTCAGCCTCACAAACACCTAACCCTGAGATGAGATGGTGGCACAGACATCAATCGATCCGTCCCGACCTCAGAGCACGCTGCTATCATTTTATCACTCTGCAGATACATGACTTGAATTCGATTGCACATTCTCATTCATTAGCCCCGTTATTACTTGCATCAGCACACCTGCAGTCCAACGCTCAGGGCTATGTGACACTCATCCGACCCCCTCCATGCCGTGCAGCCTTCTTGCCGCCCCTCCTGTCAACATTCAACCGCGCCGCGCGTGACAAAGCCGCGTTGTATTGTGACACCACCGAAGGAAGCACACGGTCCAGCCATTTTCGATGAGCTGCCAGCGTGTCTGATGCGTTGCGGCCCACCCGAGGCTTGATCCCATCCCTGACTGACTTCCGGCCCTCATCTGCATTGTCCAAAGCAGTGCTGACGCCCAGCAGCGCCTGAGCCAGGCCGGCGAAGACTTCTTGGAGCCCAAACTGTGGGATCATGACGTCGTTTCTGCCGTGGACGGCCAGCTGTGTCGCCGCGTAGACGATGTAGTAGAAGCTCAATTTGCTGAGCTCGGCCATGTCCCTGCCCCTCCACCCCAGGTTCTTCCATCCGGGCCCCACACGGTTGGGCACGTATTTGATCTTGATCGAGGCATCTCCCCCAAGGAACAGACCCCTGTCGACGCCCTTCTCGGATGTCAGCTGCTCCACGAGCCCCTCCGCCCACATCTTGTTCTGTTCGGGGGCGTCGAAGACTTGCTGCTGCCACTCCGACATGACGTGCAGGTATGCCGTCCTGGACCCCTTGCTCAAGTGGACCAGGCCGTACATCGGGACCTCGTCTGGGGTGCTCTCGTCCTGCCATGGGAAGTAGACGGGGATCAAGAGATGGTCGAACTGGGCCTGACCGAGTCGCCTCCACGGTTGAAAGACCGCGAGCACGCCGTTCTTCCACATATGGTCTGCAGAATTCTGTCCGAGCCCGTAGCGGATCGGGTTCCATTGCCCCTTCGCCGTGCGCAATGTCGCCGCTGTGATTTCAAATGGAACGAGACACCATTTCGGCAGAGGCGGCCAAAAGATGTACTCAAATGACCGTCGTTGTTGACTGAAGCTGAGATCCCCTTCCTGGTGGATCATGCCGTCGTGCGCCTCCTTGAGCTCTGACACTGTGTTTATAGCATACCCATCGCGTCGTTTGCTCTTCCCAGACTGGGTCCAAGGCTTCCAGAACCGTGGACGGACTACTTCCTGCCTTCCGTTCGTTGAATCGGTGTGCTCGGTGCCGTCGAAGTCAAATTTCCTCTTGCGAGCCATGCTCAAGTGCTTGGTAACGTTGCTGCGATTTGAATAGAGTCTTTGACGGGTTGGTTGATCCAGATCACGAAATCTTCGTGTTCGTGGTAACGTTGATGTTTCGAAGACGAATGTGGGGTTGCCCGACTGAAAGCCATTTATCAGGTACTGCCTAGGTACCGGAGTGGATGTTTCGACGGCGTCTCTGGCGGCTCTGCGGCCTTGCGAATCTATTTACGGCCTCAATTTTAAGATTAAACAATCAGGTGCGTACTGTGAAGTGAGACTTACTTTGTTCATGAGGGTTTGTGAAAGGCCGACAGGATCACCGCATTGTTCCTGTGGACAAGAGAGAATTCATTCGCCGTCCAGAATTGGCGTTTCGCAGACAAAGATGATGGAATCGTTGGAAACTTGTGCACCAGTCGACTTCGGCCCAAGAGCCCCCCCCCTGTGTTCAGCAATTGTGCTCGCTGTTCCACTCCTCAGAAGCCATAAGTGCCAGCCCAGGCCTGGACAGGGAACTGCTACTGGTATGGCCTGATCGCAAAAAGCCGCCAATCCCTCTCATGGATTGTTCTTACCAGCTTGGCTATGATTCTGTGGGCTCTGAAGGCCAATGAAGCAGACCCGGGGCTACACCGGTAACAATCGGTGGCTAGTTCGTTCCTTAGGCAGGCTTTCGAGACCCCGCCGTCGGTTTCCGATGACTCAGAGGCTTGAGCATCTGCGTCCATCGGGAGTGTATTCCAAGGTTATCACATCCGACTGTGTGCAGTATGTTAAATGTGCCGACCAAACGTACAGTCATGTGGCCAAGTCCAGTATGGTAGGTTTCTAAAGTCAGACCAAAGTCATCTTTTACGCTGCGACGTGGTTTTGTTCAAGATATTGGCACGGCCAGGTACAACGCTGAGACCTAGCTTCAATGCACTTTGTCTTTTCAGTACATCTAGCAACACGATTCGTCATCACTAAACATGAAGCAATTCCATCAAGCTAACGTTACTCGGAGGGAGCGCAGGCTCTACCTAGGCAGGCTTTACTGCCAAATGCCCCCCCCCCTTTTTTTTCTCTCTTTTTCCTTTTTTTCTTCTTTTTCCAAAAGTCCCGTGCCCCTCGTAGCCTATCCCCAACACATGGACATCTTCTGCTCACGGCAGCCTCACCAACAGAACCCCCAAGTCTAGTAAGATCAAAATCAGGCAAACAGGGAGATAGGCTCTGCAAGGTAGAAACCAGGATCGTTAAACCGCAGCCCCTTGTCCAACGCACTGATGGCATCAATCTCATCCTGCGTCAGGTCAAAGCCAGTCACGTCGAGGTTCTGCGCGAGGCGGCCGGCATTGTTCGACTTGGGGATGACGGCGATGCCGCGCTGCGTGGCCCAGCGGAGCAGCACCTGCGCGGGCGTCCTGCCCGTCCTCGCCGCCGCCGCCCGCACGGGCGCGACGTCCCAGAGCAGCGGCGTGTCCTTGGCGCGCCGGTGGAAGGCCGGCGACAGCTCCAGGAAGGACTGCGGGCCGAAGGACGAGTAGGCCGTGATGGCGATGTTCTTCTTCTGCGCGAGGGTGACGAGCTCCTCCTGCACCAGGTAGGGGTGGTGCTCGATCTGCAGCGACGAGATGGGGTGGCGGGCGTACGTCTCGATGTCGTAGAGGGTCTGGCCCTGCGCGTTGGAGATGCCGATGGACTTGGCGATGCCCTCGTCGACTATCGACTCCAGGGCCTGCCATGTCTCCTGGATGGGGACCTTGGCGAGCTCGATCTTGGATCGTTCCGCATCCATCCACCAACCCTGGAGGTTATGGGTCAGCCCGTGTGCAACACCTCCTTCGAGGGTGTTCAGGAACTCACTGGGTAGCGCAAAGTCTCGGGCTCAATATATTTGAGGGCAATGGGGAAGTGAATCAGGTACAAGTCGATATAGCCGAGGCCCCAGGCCTCATTCTGTGCCTTCGCCATCTGGAGGGCATGCTCCCTCTTGTGGTAGTTGTTCCACAGCTTCGTGGTGATGAAGATGTCCTCGCGCTTGACGAGGCCTTCGTTGATGGCTCGCTGAATGCCCTGGCCTGCTTCCTTCTCGTTCTGGTAGTCGTACGCACCGTCGAACTGGCGATACCCGATTTTGATGGCCTGATCTACGTCAGCGTTGATGTTCAATCATGAGTTGGAATGAGGGTGGCAGCCACATTGTAAACGATATCAGCCGCTGTCTCAGCCGGGACTTTCCAGAGACCAAAACCCACGAGGGGCATTGAGTGGCCAGAGGCCAGCTTCACTGTGCTCGGCGACATTGACTTCTGATGGTTGCGTCTCGGCGTATGTGTGCGGAGGCGACGAGACGTTGACTGTAGAAAGAATGGAAGAAATGCCGTAGGGGAGGAATCGCATGGAAAGCTGGAGCCGGATCAAAACACGACCTCACTCGGCACTCATTCAATGACCGATGAGGTTTGGAGCCGGCTACGGCGCCAATGATGGCCGGTGATACCAAAATGGGAAGTCTTAACGCAGGCCCACTGTTTTAGGCTCGGATGCCTGTGTTTGTAGTCTTCAGTACGAAATGGGAAGCACGAAGCACCAAGACGTTGCTTGGCGCCCCGCCCCAGGACCCATCGAGCAGACGTATCAGGGAATCACAAACGACCCCAGATCTTATCGCATCATGAGTCGTGCTGATAGACTCCGGCGACGGAGCATCAGAAATCCTCGGCTGGACGACTCCTTGTCGCCTTTTGATCCTACTCCTCCTTCATCATCGTCTGAGATCCTCATCGCCCAGGATCAACATACCCAGTCTCCGGCGTCCGCTTCCTGGAACACACAAAGAAAGATCAATTGATTGCTCATTGGCAATCTCGTCACCCAAGATACTCGACATAAACCGGCCGGCAGTTTCAACACTCCAGGCTCAATTCCCGCCTCGCTGGTGTCCCGGTACGCTTCGTCAGTGAGGATGTTGATCCCCATATACCATGTCGAAATGATCTCCACCCGGCTCCAGTAGAAATGCATTGTGCGGCGCAGAGAGTGCCCAGGTGCATGATGCCGCGAGCGGCCCACTTGAACGCTTCATACTACGGCGCCTGGCAACGCCCCTAAGTCAACAACCCACTCTACACACCACCCCCTTCCTACACACCATAAATTCATATACCTCTAATTAGTATTATTTATATAAATATCTACCTTATAAACTTTATAAAAATTATATATATATAAAAATTATATTATTTAAATCCTTATCTTTTTTTTATATATAATAGTATACTTTATATACTTTATTTTAAAATTCTTATTATTATTAATATTTAATTTAATAATAAGTTATAATATAAAGTATATAATAAATATTATTTTAATAGGTATATTTTATAGTAATATTTAATAGGTATATTAATTTAAGAGTAAGTTAATTTAAGTTATTAAAAGTTATTATTAATTTAAAAAGGTTTATTAGTTAATTAAGTTTTTATATAAAGTTAATTAGTTTATCCTTTTTATATTTTTATTTAATATTTTATTAATTAAATTATTAATTATAAAAATCTTAATTTTATTATTTATATATTTTTAATAAGTAATAAATTTATTAATTTATTAAATAAAATTTATTAATTAAAACTTTAAAAGCTATATATATTAATTATTATTAAATTAATAATATAATAATTAAATTTTTAATTAAATTTTATAACTATTTTAATTTATTAAATTTATTTAATATTCTATTAAATAATTAATAATATATTAATAAAGTTAATATATAAAAATAATAGGGATAATAGTTTAATAATAGGTTTATTAAAAAGAAGTTAATTATTTAAAAAGGTATTTTAATAGTTATAATATATTATTATTAAAGGTTATAATATAATTAGAAAAGTATTTTTATTCTTTATTATATTTAAAATAAAATAGTTTAATAATAGTAATTTTTAATAATACCTTTATTAACTTTAAAATTAATAATTTATAAGTTTAAATATTAATTAAATTAATAATTAAATAAGTTTAAAATAGTTAATTAAAATTTTTATTTTAAAAGTAAAGTTAAATAATTTTAAGGGTTAAAGGGTATTAATTTTTAATAAATACTATTATTAGTATAAGTTATTATATATATATATATAAAGAGTAGTTAATTAAGTTAGATTATATAAAAAAGGAAGCTAAACTTAAAAGGCTAGTAATAATTTCCTTATTATAATCTATTAATTAAAGTTATATAATATAACCTAAATTATCTATTAATTATAATTACCTTTATTTTTATATTAATAATCTTTTATTAAATAATTAAATAACTACTTTAAAAATCTAATTTCCTTTAAATCCTTTAAATTAAATTAAATTTAAACCTTTACCTTCCTTAATTTATAATAAAAAAGTAACTACCTCTATTAAAATACTATTAAATAAAGGTACACCTTAAAAGCTAAAATTATTATTAAAGGTACTTAATCTATATATTTTAAAGTAATTTATTTATTTAATAATTTAAAATAAATATATTAATTTTCTATATAAAATCCTTAATTCTAATAAAATTATTAATTAAAAATATTAGTTTAAATACTTAAACTTTTACTTTTAAATATATATATAAACTTAATTTTTACTATTTATAAAATAAATAAATAAATTAAAATTTAAAAACTTTAATATATAATAATTTAATAATTTAATAACTTTAAATTAAATTAACTTTCTCTTTCTTATTATTATAAATATTATAATTATAAAACTTAATTAAAAATACTTATAAAAATATAAATTAATAACTTAAATATTTATATAATAATAAATAATATATATACTTTCTAACTTTATTAATATAAACTATTAATTTAAATATTAATTATAAAGTTTATTTTTAAAAGGAATTTAAAGTTAATTATAAATTTATTATATAGTTTATATATTATTAAATATAAATAACTTATAAAATATAAATCTAAACCTTTATTAATTTATTTTTTATTATAACTTTATATTTTTATTTTCTTATTAATTTCTTTAATTATTATTTTTATTTTTAATTTATAAATTTAATTATTTTTAATATTTTATTTATAAATTTTAATAACTTTTAATTTTATTAAAATAAATACTTTAATATATTAAGTATTATTAATACTTAAAGTTTAATAAAATTTAATACCTTTTAATTAATATAATTTTATATTTAAAGTTATAATTTATTATTAAAATAAACTTTTAATACCTTATTTAATATTATCTTTATTATTATATTTATTAAATTATTTTTATTATTAATTTAATAAATTTTATTAATCTTTTATATTTATATAATTAATAAAATATTATTATATTAATTATTAATTACTTTTATTTAATTATTTTAAATTTAATAAAATATTTATAAAAAATAAATTTATATAAATAATTATAAGGATTTATAATAACTTTAAATAGTTAATAACTTTTTAAGTATAATAAAAGTATAATACTTATATTAAAGCTATTAACTATATTATAAATTTTAAATATTAATATACTTTAAATAACTCTTTTATATTTAATAAAGGATTAATAAATAATATTACCTATTATATTTTAATAAATATTATTTTAATTAAACTTTTAATAAAAAAGTAATTATAAAATTAATTTATAAATTAAAGTTTATATTATTAATAAATAATTTATTTATAAAATTATAAGTTTAACTTTAATAATATTTATAAATATAAACTAAAATTTATAATTTAAATTATTAATTTATTATTATAAATATTTATTTAATTTAATATAGTTTTTTAAATAGATTTTATAACTATATTATTATAAAAAATTAAATATTATTTTTAATTAATAAATAAAGATTAAATATACTTTTAAATATATTATTTTATATATTTTTATATATAATTTAATATTTTAATATTAATTAATTTTAACTTAATATTTTAACTTTTAATATATATAAATATTATTATTCTTTTAATAATATATAATTTATAAAATTAAAAAATATTAAATATTAATATTTATTTTAACTTATACTTAAAAATTTTTAATCTTTTATTAAAACTTTATAAATTTAAAATATTTAAGCTTAAAATATTATTTATTTATATTATTATAATATTAAAGTTATTTTTTTATACTTAAATTTAATAATTAATAAATATAAATTATATATAAAAATTTTTATATTAAATTTCTTAATATAATATTTTTAATATATAGTAAATTAATAAACTTTAAATTTTATAATATTATAAAAGATTTAATAATCCTTATAATAATATTTAAAAGTATTTATATTAAATTTTTTAATAATTATATTAAAATTATTCTTTTAATTTAAATTAAAATTATAAATATATTTAAATAATATTTTAAAGTATTATTTTTATATTAAAAGTATATTAATATAGTTATAAATATTAATAAAAATATTAATTAACCTTTATATTATTAATAATTATATAAGAATATCTTTTTTCTTTATTATTATATTTTTAAAGAATAATTTAAAACTTTTATATAGTTTAATATTCTTATTTTTAATCTTATATATAATATAAATATTAAAATATAAATTTTATTATATTTCTTTTATTATATAGTTTAAAAATAAAAATATTAATTTTAATTAAGTTAAAGATTTTTAATATATTTAATTTTTAAAAGGTTATTTAATATATTAATTATACTAATTTATTTAAGTTTTAAAGTAAATATATAATTTTTTATTATAAAACTTATTAAAGTTTTTATAAATATAAAATATTATTTTTAATTTATTTTTAATTTATATAATTATTTTTTATTATAGTTAGAATAATAATAATACCTTTTAACTTTATATATTTTTATAAAAGTATTTATAAATATAATATAGTTTTTAATTAGTATATTTTATTAATTTTTAATTTATTAATAGTTATATTAAAGGTTTATTATTTAAAATTTTATTATTATTTATATTATTTTAAAAGTATTTTTAAATTTATATAAATTAAAAGGTAATTAGTTTATTAAAAGGTTTAGTATTATATTATATTTATTAACTATAATTAATTTATATAAACCTTATTATCTATTTCTTCTTTTAAATATAAATATTACTTTAAAGTAAAATAAATAAAATATTAAATATATTTAAATTATTTTAAATATTTAATATATTATTTATTTAATATTTTATATTTATAAAATATAGTATTTTATTATTTTTAAATAATAATTATTTTTATAAATATAAAAGAGTTAATAATAAATTTTAATTAATTTAAAATATACTTTAAATATAAAAGTATAAATATAAATTTATTAAATTTTATATATTATTAATAACTTTAAATACTATTTATAAA